AGGCCGGCCTCGCGGCGGAGGGCGGCCATGGGGCCTGTCCCGGCCGTTAGGGTTAAGAAACCGACAGCAAGGTGGAAACTTGTACTGGCAAAAAACGGTGCAAGGCCAGTAGGGAAAATACACTCAGAACGTTTTCTAAAGGGTGGTATTCCTGCTAAAGTCTATTTATCACAACATCGGCTCCCGAACCAAACTGGAAACACACGTGAAGTGACGCTGATGGCCATAAAAATGCAAAAATTACAGGCAGAAAATTGGTGCATTCTATAATTTTTCTTTTTCTTTTTTTTTTTTTTTTCCTCAAACTTCCTCAGCAAGCACAGAAGTGGTTCTTGTGCAGGAGGTGAAAGGGGAGGCGCAGGCCTGCTGCCTCATGAAGGCCAACAATGCCCCTGTCCCAAACGCCCCAGCCCCGAGCTTGACCGACACACTACGAGGCAGCACAACCCAAAACAAATGTTTAGTTTTAAAGCTCGTTTTATTACAATTTGGTATGAGGGACTTCCTGTGGGTCAAAGTGTTTGAACAGCTCCCTGCTTCCCGGTACRGTTTGGCATCATCTTGTCATACGGAGTAAACTTTAGATTGCGAACACACAGCGGCATAAACGGTGCTGTTCCTGATTTTTTTTTTTAAGGCATAGTAGGCCTAATTYAGGTAAACCAAAATTGTCTAGTAAAAAAAAAAGGAATTTCTAAGTTGATAAAATGATTATAATTTATCAGCAGCCATTCCAAAGACATGCTGTAGTAAAACTTTGAGCAAGTTACAAAATATATACACACTGTATCATCTTAAGATGCCTTTGGCATTCAAAAATGTAAGTGTAATAGAGTCTAAACCTCAAAACTACAAAAGGTGGCTCTTCTACAACATTTTTTACAATGGCTACAAAGCTAGCTCTTCTGACTATATGCATCATATACAATGCTCTGCCGCATATACTGCTTCCACAACAGTACACAAAAATACTTTAAACAAGAAATCCACATAAATAATGCTTTAGTTGTAACGAAGTAGGTGACTGACAATTTATAGTAAGTACCTTTATGACAGAAACRTATCTTGATGTAGCCAGCACATACAGTCCAAAAGACAAAAAGGGACTCAGGTTATCTCTGCTAAGGCCACAAGCACCTTGTGTTATGAAGAGCACCAAGGCAACGCGGACAGAAACACGTAAGAGGTAGTGAACCATCTGTTAAGATGTGTGTGTCCACCCAGGACTATAATACAGCTTTGTGCTTAAGGAAGATGTATTGTACTGTGGCATGTTCAAACTCATTCATGTTTCAAACACAAGCTATATTGCACATTTCGGAGCCCTAGCCAGTATTGCTCCTCAGGACTGCGTGTCTCCAGCTYTCCTCAGGCATTGCTTGCAGTGCTCTGGCGTTACTGCAGCACCAGAGGTCCTGAAGACTTCCGTGGTCAAATATTTAATTCTCAGTTCCAGGAAATTATACAAGAAAGCACCAACCAATATAAAAGAATTAAATACGTTATCAAAAAAGATGTTGAAGTCTTTTTTTTTTTTTTTTTGGTTTCTTTACATTTTTCAATGCCATTTCTCCTTAGGAGGAAGTCTTTTACTTTCTGAGGTTCATGGTAACCAACTCTGAAATATTTCTTCCATTTCATAGCAGTGATAGTGCTTGTAACGTTCAATCGATGCAACAGCTCTATGGTGATGTAAATACCAGCACGGGAGCCTTAAAGGAAGCACACTGCGCCGCTTTCTACGAAGTGCTGTTGCCCTGGTTTGAGATGAGAGAACATGTGAACCTGGACGACCGGGAGYTGACAAGTGTCCTGAGCGTGAAAAGAGAACTGCGTCTTGTGCCAGCTGCCGTCCTGGATCTGCAACACACACAGGCAGAACAGCAACTTGGTGTCAGAAATGAACCTCACAACACAAACTGAAACTGGCCCTAAGGAACCACAGGGGTACATAGAAACATTCTCCTCCCGCTGTTTCATAAAGGAACTGCACATTTAACGAACGCGATTTCTCCCGGGCACTAATGCCAGTGCTTTGATGAAGCAGCAGCTCCTCAGCGTGCTCTGAAATGGGGCTAGAGCAGGTGCCGAGGCCAGCTGGGGGTATAAGGCCTCTCAGATCACCTGGGAAATTCAYCTCCAAACTTAACAGCAAGCCTATGCTCAGGAACTCTGCAAGCATCCGAAGGCTTTCAGCCGGCCCTTGAGAAATCATCATGGGGAACGAGAGGAGGATCTCCTTAGATCTGTTCCAGGCTCTCTCCTGTCCCCGTGTAGTATCTGTAACTACAGGGAATCCAATGCTAATAGCAAGCATGGATGTTCGGCATTATTGTAATAGCTTTTGCATTCRGACTGATGTTGAATTTCATATCAAAATTTTGCACACAGACACATATGCAGAATGACATAAGTAGTAAGCTTCAAAGCAAGAAAATCTAAACTATCGTTACAATGTTAGGAAAAATATATATCCTCAAAGCTTATTTACTTGCAGAACATTAATAATTATTAAGCACTCATTCCATTATGGGCTTAATAATGCTAAAAAGTATTTACCATGCATTCGTCCATAAGCACCTTTGGTTCAAGTCGCGTATTTGCTTTAAACATTTGACCGTTCCATCCCTTGAAGCTAATCGGTGTTTTCTGGCCACCTGCCTCATTCAATCCCCACACGGGCGTGTTCAGACAGTGGACTGTGATGCTGTGGGTCGCTTCGGAGCTCAGTAAATGAAGGAAGTTCATCTGCACCTTTCCAACGCCAAACTCCAGCTAAGTTCCAGAAGAAAAGCATCGTTAGACTGACAGCTGGRCTATGCTGGCTGGCCAAGGCAACATGAAGTGACAGGCAGATGTATGCGCGGTGTTCAGGCATGGGAGCATGGATACATGTTTATATACGGGATCAATGCCAAAGAGCATGATTTATCTCTTTGAGAAGGTTCTGTAGTACCCAACACTGCAAACTCAGAAAGTTTGATAGGACATTTTCAAAGCTCAAATATAAACATTTGCTAATGCTCACAAACTTGCTGGGACACAGCGGGGCAGATACCATTACTCTGTAAACAGAAACTAAAACAAACGATTATATGTTTTTCAAACAAAGGTGGTTTCAGCAACAGTCTTTTATCGGCGCTCCCAACATTTGCTGTCCTTAGACAATACCTTGATCCCATTAACATCCTGAAGTTTACAAGCATACTTTAGGCASCAAGTCTAAAGTTCTTCTAGTTATTCCAAAGAAGAATTCCTGCAAGATCAGATCATACACAAGGATCTTTCAAATCTAAGAATGTGTGAGGATGCTTTACGTTATTACTGTTGCTCTTCAGGATAAACAGATATGTAAAACTCCACAAAAAATAAAGTCTCTATTCCTATGTATAGAGAGGTATGGATTAYGTGACATAAAGGAAATTATTTTCCACCTGACAAGGCATTTACCAGTATCTAAAAGTGTCAAAAATTATTTTGCTACTTCCCTTTGCAACCTCAGCATTCCTATACTCAGTTACTAATGTAGCTTAGGAGAATTTCTGGCTTGTTTTATACTTTGTACAGAAAACTATAAAGCAAAGCAAAGAGGAGCTCCAACAGCATGGAGGTTAAGTAAACAAACAACATCGATGCTCAAGTTAGTCAAAATTCATATACGTCATCTCCACTAAACTGTAATTTCCCTAGCACAATATATACTGACATGCTATCCCAAAGAGATAAACATAAAAGAAATAAACTGCCACTCAATATAACATAAGTTAAATAAAGAAGCATTCAGTTGTTCAAAGTTGTAGCAAGCAGCAACGTGTACCTTTGTCACAGACACGGGTGATAAACACGTCTGACCGCCTGCGGTGAAGTTGCAGAAGACCTCAATGGCATCAGAAGGACATCCAATATTTGGGTCAATCCAGTATTTTCCTATTAGTATATAATCCCAGATAAAAAAGTAAACCACAAATATAGTTGTTACTAAGCTATTTGTCTATTTATTTACTTTCTGGCAAGTCTCAGATATATTGTTACTACAGCTTCACTGGGAATGAAAGGAAGGAACAAGAGTTTCCACTACTGCAATGCTATAGTAGATAATGAGCTAAATCATCTTAGCCATCCAGTACTGGCTACCTATGCAAAGATTGTGATGGAAAACCTGATGCTCTCACAGCAACTTGAAAATCCTTTCTTTCTCTTCTTTCTACATTTTGGTCCACAAGGAAAAATAGGACAAATAGGGTGCATCTAAGTTATAGCAAAACTTAGCTCCCTTTAATTTAGGGTTAAATGCACATGAACCTGTGCTGTACAGTCTACATGAGCGTGTATAATGCTCTGTAAAATGGAGATGGGGTCAGTGACCTTGGAGGCCCTAAAGGACRGAGAGGCATTAAGCAGTGCACAGTCTTAATGAGGGTTAGACTCATCTTCACCGATTAGACTCGTCTTCATTGATTAGTCCTGACATATGCCAAGAAACAGCCATTTATTTCCTTGTAATGTCTAAAGTCATATCCTATTTTTTCATTAGCTTGTTTAATGTTAACACTTAATACTCAGAAGGTCATTTATATCTGAGTTTAATCGTTAAACATTCTAACAATCATTTGAAATATTCATCCAGGGTCTCCTTGGATATGAACGGTTGTCRATGCAGCTGACAGTGGCAGATGCTTTTCTCATTATTTACGCTTTTCTCATTAGAAATCAAGAATCCGATCCACACAAAGTTATGGCAGATGATGTAATCAGATCAAAGTCAAAGAGGAGTATGAATATTGGTTGGTAACATCACTTCCTCTTCAAAATCCGTATTGTGCATCTTAAATAAAGATAAAATGGCTGCRCATGCTTCAAAACAATCTGATAAAAAGCCCTACCTGTTACAATTTGAAGTGGGAAATAACATTTTGAAACAAAATATTTCAAAGTCTAGTTATGTTCAAGCTTTTATGGAAATGGACACTTACCATCAGACACTTTACGTTCACAGTTAAGCAAATCCCTGCAGATGCGGGCTGGATTATCCCGAGTGCCAAGGGGGTTCTTGATGCTGTGCAGCAAATTGCTAAGGTAGTGCAGTGTTTTGAATATCTCTGTACTGTGATCTAGTAAAGTTACTTCAGTATTCTGGTATCTCTGCCAGAGGCCATTAGTAAATGGGTTACCACAAAGAAATACCAAAACAGCAGTGCATGCAGTAAAAATCAAATGGCCATTGAAGATCCAGACAGAAGCAAAGTGTTTATGATGCATGCAATCAGCCATATAAACCATGGTAACAACACGATATTCCAATAAACAAATTAGTATTTTTTATTAAATTATCAGTACAATGAAGTTACAGGCGGGTTAAGATCATGCAAATACATCATTAAGATATGTTGGCATAGAAATGTGGATACAGAAAAAAAAAAGAAAAAAGGAAAAATTAGTGCATTTTTCAAGYATACTTGAAACTGTTCAGATTCTGAACAGTGAAGTCTGGTCTTAGACTATGTCTTCATTTAGATTGCATCTTATATATCTTACTATAATTAACTATATTCTATAGTGATTATTTGCAATCCATCACTAATCTTAAATAAAGTTTTTGTAAAGAGGCCTCGTTCTGGTCTTTAAAAAAAGATTTTATAACTGTATACCCTGTGTGCCAATAATAAATACATTGAAATACATTACCTCCATCTGCAGTGCAGCATTTGACTGGATCAAGGCTTGAACAGCAGCGTTGATGTCCATTTGTTTCTGGAAAAAATAAAAATTAGAACATAAATTRAAAAGAAATATTCTAAGACACAGGCAGCAATCTGCTGTGCACTGTTGCAGATTCATATAGATGATATGCTCATTAATTTAGGGGGAAAAATATCTGTGTAAACACATACCCTTGAAATGGGATCCTTACTTCCATTTCCRAAGAAAGTAAGCATATATACAGAAATACCGTATTACCTTTCTAGTAATAGATCCCCCCTACACACAMAAAATTTAACTATCATACTCCTGGAAGCAAAAAATAAGACACTAGAATAACAGGAACAGACTAGTGCACCAACTATTTCCCTCCAGTTATTTAATCTGTAGAGTTAAGAAAAAATGATTAAAATTAGTGGGAAGGTGTTTTATTCCTTTCCAGAGAAGGCATAACAAAGCATATGGCAATGTAGCTGCCATACAGCTGTACAATATACAGCTTTACATATAAATACAAATAYAAAAATATATTTGTAACAGTTGCACAAATACAACTTGGACCATACGTGTACRTCTCACTCGTGGTCTCAAGTCTCTTGCCAGCTGAAAGCTCCATTCCTGAAGGGAAGTCTTTGCTGGGTGCCCAGGAAGCAGAGCCATGGCTCTCGTGCCCAGAGGAGAAAGAAACGTGTGGTGGGTGTTTGAGCAGAGGGTGAGTGGGTGCCAGCCCCCCTGGTCTGCATGAGCTGCCAGCAGCTGCTGCAGAGCAGGGTCGCCCTCATAGAGCACGAAGAACCACCAAGATTAGCCTGCAACCAGCCTCAGGAGGAAACCAGTTCCCTGGTTATCTCCATTCTCTGCGCTGTCTGCAAGGTGTATACGTTACACAACAGATTTGAGTTTTTTTGTTTTAAAGAATTAATCTATTCATATGAACAAATAGGTCTTAGAGTTTGTTCTCTATTAGGATTTGTTCATAGGATATGAATACTATCACAGCTTTCTGGATCCTTCAGATATTGACCCCATCCTATAACTGGCACAGTCCCTTAGAAGGCAACAATCCAGTTAGGTTTGTATAGGGAGATCATCTGGGCCAAAGATCCCGCAGGATTTTCCTGGTGCTTTCTTTCAATTCTTTAAATGCAGAATTGTTTCAACAGAAAACGCTTTTTACAGTGAGATGGCACTAAGCCATGTYAAAGGTTCATGAGTTTTGCCTAATACAGTTTCGACAGCATTGTAGAAGGGAAATGTTGGTGTAAAATGAAACATTCAGAAGGTATTAGGGTTGTGACGGAGGCCCTTGGGTAACATATTCGCTTTACACTTGCAGTGACTGAAGAGGCAACACATGTGGAGAGGATGGCTTTCAGCAAGAAGGTCTGTACTGCACTCAATGTACTTGGGGAACTTACTCTTGGTCCTGRTGGTCCAGGTGGGCCCTAGAAAATTGGAGAAAGTAGGTTATTAGGTGCATCACATTTGCACATGATACGCTCACAGTGGAAAACTGTGCACTTTTTTTTATGCACTTACAGGTGGCCCTGGCTGGCCCCGAGGTCCCTGAGGGCCCTGGAAGAAACAGAGATAAGATGGAACCATTATAGACGAATGTCTCTGCTTCTCTGTTTTTAAATACCACAAAATGCTCCCCATGTACAATGAAGCAAAACAGTTTGTGACACAGGTCTTAGTAAAGCTGTTGATCACTAGTTGCTGTTCTTAAAAGTACCATGTTCTGTTCACGTGGGAATATTCCTGTGAGAAGTGTTGGTTGGGCTGAATATGAAAACTTTTTTATCATTTATTTTTGATATTAAAGCACATCAGAGGCCCCATACAAAGTATTAATTCATAGTGTGCCAATATTATGTGTTACAAATATGAATTATGTTGTAGGAAAGGTGACAGAAGCAGAAAAACGTTATAGCTGGTAATAAAAAAAATGCCTGACTGAATAAGTGTTTATTACCTCTTAATGCAGGCTCACCCTTCAGCTAGAACACAYGATGTTCCTTGTTGAGTAGCAATACTGCATGTTTCCTTTGTGTTATCTAAATTACGCCCTTATCCCTAAGGGCCATGATTTTACGCTGTAGGATGATATAGTGGGGAAGAGTGGGAGAAGGAGAAGCTTTCCCCCAGCTCAGAGTGCCTAAAACACACAGCCTTAAACCTAAAGCAGGGAAGGAAGCAAAAGAGATGTCTAGGGGTCGGGCACAGATCCTCACAGGCACTGGCCATCTCCCTCTCTGAATTATCCATGAGCAACGATTCAAATTAAGAAGATATGTATCATTAATATTTACACCTGTGCAGCGATAGTGATGTTTTTTTCTACATTATGTTCCACAGCCGCTATATATTCAAAGCCTCTAGGAGCTGCTGCAACATAAACAATAACAAAGACATGGAAAAAGAGGAGAGTAGGTAGCAGCAGCTTAATACCAATGAAAGAGGAGGAAGAGGATGAAATGCACAGGCAACATCTGCATTATGTATTAGTAAAATGTTTTAGCATAACTGAGTTAAAGCCAAATTCTTTAGCAGTATTGCTTATATCAATTTTCAAGCACAGCAAACTTTTCCAGCAAAAGCACTCTTGCCTCTAAGTCCTGGCCAGTGGAGAAACAACAGGCATGCTAACAAATGTTCTAAATTGATCTGTTCAGAAGAAATATCAAATGTAAATCATTTGTATGCAGTATTAATACTTGTAGTATTAATCTTTAAATGAGATTTCACAAGATGTGTGTGTTTCTACATGTGTTTCTGATTTCAGGCTGTGCTTCAAGCTGCCATTACAGCAAAAAAAAAAAAAAAAATCATACATATTTAAATAAAAAAAAAAGTAGGGGCCATCATTTAATTTCTTGCACCACATCTACAGCAGTAGGGCTATATTGAGGGACTGAGTGCTGAGGCCAAAGCCATGCTAGGCATGTTCTGTGACATGAACAGGTGACAGTCACAACTGAAGCTATTTCCAGATTTTAAACAAATATGGTCTGATAATATTTAAATAAGATGGAGACATAACTCAGGGACAGCACTGGGCCCAGTGCTCTTCAACTTGTTCATCAATGACTTGGATGAGGACATAGAGGGCACCCTGAGCAAGTTTGCAGATGATCCCAAGCTGGGCGGAGTGGCAGAGAGTCCAGAGGGCTGTGCTGCCATCCAGAGGGACCTAGACAGGCTGGAGAGTTGGACAAGAGAAGAACCTCCTGAGGTTCAACAAGGGCGAGTGTAGGGTCCTGCCCTGAGGCAGGAACAACCCCAGGCACCAGGACAGATTAGGGGCTGACCTGCTGGAGAGCAGCTCCACGGAGAGGGACCTGCGAGTCCTGGTAGACACCAAGTTAACCATRAGTGAGCAGTGTGCCCTCGTGGCCAAGAATGCCAATGGGATCCTGGCTGRATCAGGAGGATGTTGCCAATAGGTCAAGGGAGGGGATCCTGCCCTTCTCCTCAGCTCTGGGGAGGCTGAACCAGGAGTATTGRGGGCAGTTCTGGGCTCCCCATTATAAGAGGGACGTGGAGCTTCTAGAGAGGGTCCAGTAGAGAGCAACAAAGATGATTAAGGGACTGGAGWATCTCTTATATAAGGAAAGACTAAACAAGCATGGCCTGTTTAGTCTGGAGAAGACTGAGAGGGGGATCTGATCAATATGCAGGGGAAAATCTAGAGAGAATTGGGCCAGTCTTCTCAGTGGTGGCCAGTGACAGGACAAGGGGTAATGGGTACAAACYGRAACATACRCAATTCCATCTCCCTATGAGGAAGAACTTCTTTCCTGTGAGGGTGACAGAGCACTGGCACAGGCTGCCCAGGGAGACTCTGGAGTCTCCTTCTCTGGAGATCTTCAAAACCCGCCTGGATGCCACCCTGTGYCCCGTGCTCTGGGTGTCCCTGCTGGAGCAGGGGGGTTGGACTAGATGATCTCTAGGGGTCCCTTCCAACCTCAACCATTCTGTGATTCTAGCATCTGTTCACTCATTTGAGTGTGATCATTGCCAAACCTGGAATTTCCTTTGGAATCCTACTGCTATTAAATGGGCATAAATCATTATTATTGTTCTTCATTATTACAACACCAAAAACAGATGAATTTGCAGAGATGACATCCATGTGACTGCTCTGGAACACAGCCCCAGCTGATGCAGATCAACTGGGTTCCACAGGGCTCTACTATTGGATGACAGCTGAGAAAGTTAACATCCACATTTAGTTAAGCAGATCAGGARCTCAAATACTGTAAGACTGCTGCAGAATACTTCCAGGCCTCTGAGTATATATTACTAGACTCTATCATCACGCTTAGTGAAATATATTCGGTATAAAATGAAAAAAGAATGTGAAACAGAAATGTGAGAAGTGAATTTGACATTGTAAGGCCACATTCGTTATTTTTTTTTTTCCACAAGACTTGACTATGCAATTACCAACTCGGGCAATGCAGAATGTCTTCAACAGTTCGTCCCTAAGTAACCACTGCTCTCCAATGAATAGGTGTCTTTGTTCTGGATGCCAAGATTTAGAAATTCCAGTAGATTTTTCAGATGACTGCATGCTTTAGTTAATATTTCAATCATCTTGGCATATGTCACAATTTWAAAACTTCAGGATTATTGGGAGAAGGACAGTTCAAGTTTGTTTCAGTTTCCGATATAGAATTGGATTTTTTTTTTTTAATATAAAAAGTACACTGTTCCTACGTTTTCAAGCTATTTTGCAATGAAGGAATTTGATTTGTCTTGATTCACTGTCTTCTTGCCAATAAAAGCCATGTGGAAAAAGGTAAATATTGAATACTACTTTTTAACTGCAGTAAAACTCTTTAAGGCATATTGCATTTCTTAAATGCATTTAAGCTTCAAAGGCCTATATGAATTACCTTTACAAACCTTTTGAATATAACAAAGYTATCCAGAGTATGTTGAAAACCTTGYAGAGACGTACAAATATTCTTTGTTTTGTTGCAGAACAACAGAGTAATGTTAAATCACACATTTCATGCATTAAGTTAATTGCAGAATATTCCAATGGAATGTAGAGGATTACTTTTACAAATCTACTTAATTTATCCTTTGATCATATTAGAATTTAAGTGATAGAAGTGCAATTCCAGTTCTTAATAACAAAAATGAAGAATAAAACAATCAGTTTTAGTATGTTCTTTTAATTTTTAATCACTTAATTTGATTGCTAGTACAGAAGTTCAAAGGCCAAAATTCTAATCTTTTCTAATACTGTATGGTCCTGATCTTACATGCAATGATACACATTCTTAACTTCAAAAACATAAGCAATCTCAAAAACAGCACCACTCATGTTTAAAGCTAACATGTGCACACTAATTTTCAAGATTAAGACTTTGTTAGTATATTGGTCATTTCATAATTCAAATTAGAAAGAGTTGTGGTATAAAAATATAGGACACATTTTACATTATCTTCTGACTTCCATCAGCTTTCTGTTAATGTAATCACTGACTTGGGCAGAATGATTCTTGACTTAAACTGCTAGGGACAGAAGAACAGATTTCTAAACTGTTCTTGTTTCACATTATATTTCCCATTTTCCTGAAGCTACAAATAGAACATTTTATCAATCTGATGAAGCTAATTGCACAAAAATCTGTTTGATATAAAAATATTTAGGTAYTGAGAAAATGAATGCTGTGAAAATTAATAAGGGGATGAATCCCATGACAAAAATGATCAGATTGTCATAACTGCCCTAGCATCTTTACACACTGTTGCACAGGGAGTATCATAGGCCTGTCAGTTTGATTGGGTGTAGCTATCCCACCTGAATCATAATAGTTGGAAAAGATCTTCAAGATAAGAGTCCAACTGTAAATCCATCACCACCAGGCCGCTAAACCACATCCCTAAGTGCCTCCACCACTAAGTCACCACTAAGTGACTCCACCACTTCCCTGGRCAGCTTGTTTCAATGCTTAACTACTCTTTCCATGTAGAAATTGTTCCTAATACCCAAACTGAACATTCCCTGGCACAACTTGAAGCTAGATCAAAGGCAATTAGAGAAAGGAGAGCAACCCAGAACCACAAAACACCAGGGATTTAGGGTTTTGTCATCAACCATTTGGGATGCTACTAAGAAAACTCTTTGCTAGTCTTACACCTACTAGCACAAGAGGCTCACAGAGCTGGCAGCATGCAAGAATAAGGCAAGACTGTTATCATATCAGGGAGAGCCTAGAACTCCTGGTGAAATATGTATAATTGTAATTAGGATAATAGCTAATACTTACTTTTAAAGTGTTGTTTGCATCAGACAGACCCTGTAGCAGTTCCACAAAGGCCTGCTATCTATGTTTTTCAGTGGAAAAAATGACATATCTTTCTAGTAATAATCACTATATCCACAACRCACTACAACTGTAAGTTAAACAGTAGCAGTAGAATTGCTATGGGAAAAGTTAAAACCTTTGAGATTCTAGGAAGAATGCCAATATCAATTTTAAAAGAATAAATTCAAAGCTTGGAATACACAGCTGGCTGAAAATCATTTTTGCTCCTCTGTGTCTGAAAATAGTTGGAAATAAAACATCTCCCTGGCTACAGAGTTTAAACTAATGCTGCCGTGTATCATTTTAAATTAAACATACTTCTGAAGACAGTCTCAGGGAGGAACTCATGATTCAGTTGTCAAACGCCAGCACCAATTATGGAAACGAATGTTTCTTGCTCACTGTTTTGGATTTTGTCTTTCCTTTCTTTTTTTTTTTTAAATTTATTTTTTAAAGTGTCTGAGCATTTTTAGCTCTATCTTGATAATTTTTATAGACTGTGAGAACACACGAGAAACACATAACTACAAGGGTTAACAGCAGTATGAATCAAAAGTCTCGTGGTACTCCTACTCTGAGACAGAAATTGCCCCCAGAACATTAGAACAAAAGCAGAAAGTTCCCTGAGATATTTACAGCAAACTTAGTTCTGAGCCTTAATTCTTACAGCAATTTTCAGCATTTCTAATTTATTTCTATCATCTTTCATTAGACAATTAGGTCAGAACTGGCTGTCTCTGTGCACAGACAGACCTTAAGCCAAAACACAGTAAGATAAGAGAAAACAAATGTTTCTGAGTAGGGAAAGATGAAAGGCAAAGTAACAGGCACAAGATCACATGGGCCAGTTACTAGCAAAGCAGATGATTGTCACATGCAATAATGTCATAAGACTAAAATGATAGTTGATAGCTATTTGGAGTAAATATGGTAAATTGACACTGGCCTTTTGTATAGTCAGTACTAATTGGCTGCTTTAGTAGCTCCTGCACTTTAAAGTAAACCAAATATTAATGTAAGAGAATTAATATAATATTCTGTTCCTCTCCCTAGACAGGATCATGCAGACTCACAAACGTGGTTCTTTACACAAACCATGCTGAACCCAGAATATTGAATTTTGTTGGTTTAAATCTGAAGCRGGACAGATATGATCCCTACATGATCAGGGACTGTATTCCCAGGCAGAACACTCCTATCATGGTACCTACAGGAGACAACTTGCCCAGAAAAAGGTCAGGCTTCAGCTCATGGCATCAGCTTTCCAGGCTAGTGCTTCCCAGGAACTCAGCTGGACTGCCCAGTACACTGCATTCAGAGGACTCAAAAGTACATCCAAGGAACATGAAAGCACAAGAGTTGTTTCAACTTACAATTTCACCCTGTATGCCCTTTTCACCCCTGGGTCCCTGTAAGAAAGAGAAACTGTTAATCCAACAGGCTTTCTAGCCTCCTGGGAGTGAACTAATTAAGACGTGCAAGCACTACACTGCTTACAGAAATACTCTAGTCTTGGTTCATCTGTAGAAATATTTGCAGTTCTGGGCCTCTAATTCTGCTRTATGTTAATTACAGAAGGAATCTTTCCCTTCCCCTTCCTTTTTGAATTCTCCTGTACACATGTAAGTACTCATTTTTATTATTTTTACTGTATATTTATGYTATTTTATAACCATCATTTCAACTTTTTAGATATTCTCATTCCATTCAAGTCTTATTCCAAGAGCGGAACTCTGGTGGTAGGAAAAGTTTATAAAAATCTCTCGCATGGGTGAGAGAGGTACTCTGGTCTCAGGGTGCCCTTGCAAGACACTCTTCCATTTCCAGCACAGAGTGTGAGGCAAGGAATGGAAACAAGGACCGAGGCAGAGTGTCCCCACCACAGAGAACCTGGGTAGCTTTGAGGGTCATCAGAAGGGACAGGAAGATTGATGGAAAAGACTGGAGTACCCCAGTCAGGGCCTTTGGGTTCATCCAGTATGCATGTCTGGAGAAAGTTTAGGTCAAACAAAGGTACTGCACCAACACATGAAAGTTCAAGTGCACTGAAACCAAGCATGGACGCTCTCAATAAATATCTCAAAGCTGAGTCAGAATATCTGATGTGTGTTCACACTTTGACTTGCCTGCTGGCCCCTCCAGACAGATACTCTGTACACTGTACTTAGGGAAAAGGTCATTGCAGTTACCTTTTTCATCTTATTTTTATTACAGAATCACATGGGTTAGCTCATAAGCATGGTATGATATAAAGGCGATCTTGCTAGCTGCTGTTTGCAAATGGAAAATAAGGTTGCTAATCGCAAAAATAAYGATATGGGTGAAATAACCAAATATACAAACAGAATGGGAAACTTACAGGCCTGCCAGTTGGACCTGTTACACCTTCTCGACCAACAGGGCCAATGTATCCCTATAAATAAACATAAGAATTTATTAGTCCTGCCATGTTTTCAAAATGACAAAATTCCTCAAGACATGCTCTGGTTTAAAAAGTTTCTCAGCCTACAGTCCTGGCACGTATCTAAATTATCACCGCAATGTCCTTCTGAAGGCTGAGTGCACACTGAAATGCAATTAACATTTTTTTTTTAATAATTATTAATTATTTATGCTTGGAGAGCCCCACTATCACCTTCTATATGAGTCCATACACTAAAAAAGTGGATATTTAAGCACGCTGTACTAAAGATCAGTATTGAGCTACCTGCAACTATACCTTGAGCAATACTATTGTCCACAAGTATTTCTACAATACTGCCAGAAAGTATTGCTCAAAATGTTACTTTATTGTTTCATTTCCTTTAGAGAAAAATACTCTTTTGCAGAGTTGCTCTTGTACGGGGAAGTTTAGGAAAAGAAAATACTTGTCAGTACAGGCCACTGAAATTGTTAGCACTGCCTCTGGTCATGAGATGATGGCTCRGTGAACATGTATCACAAGCGCTGAGATGTCAATGGCTTCAGTGAGATAACAGCGTCTTGCAGTAAGACCTTCTGTGCTACAACCTCCCCTCTATCTTTTCACTTTACACTGTAAGCTGGATGCACATTCCCCAATAGTACAAAGATCTTTTTTTTTAAAAAAAAAAAAAAAAAAAAAAAAAGGTGGCTTCTGGCCTTGAAAACAGGAAAAACAGAATTCCCTAACAGGAAAAACAGAATTCCCTAAATGCAAAGAAATATGCCACCTGCAAGCCACTCTAAATTTCTTTAGTTTGGCAAAAGACTTACGACTTGGCCTGTTGGACCTTTCGGCCCCAGAATTCCAACAAAGCCACTGTCACCTGCAGGACCCTGAAAATGCAAAGGGATAGTTTAGTCAGACAAGAACATTAGCTTTGACTTGCTTTTAATCTCTTATAATCAGTGCAAGCAAGATACTTTTTAAGAGCAGTAACAGTGAAAATACCAAGCTCACTGATCCAGAACTTCATTCTTTGGACATGCAGTATAAAACTCTGTCTGCGGCTTTCCAGTAGTTCAGATAGTTCTTGAACAAATTATTGTTAAAGCCAATTAAATCTGTGCTTTCCTAACAAATTTCACTCTGTAAATAGCTTAAAATCTAATAGAAAAGAACAAACACATACTTTCGGGCCTGGGAATCCTTGAAACCCCATCAAACCTTGATCTCCATGTTCTCCCTGTAACAGAAGCAGGCATCCTCATTATTATTTTATGTGGGAAACTCTTGGACTAGTTTTGTGTCAACAGATGCTATTACGTACAGCCTGTCCTTTCAGTCCAGTGTCGCCTGCTGGCCCCTGGTCACCTTGTGATCCTGGAAGACCCCTTTTGCCTCGTTTCCCTGGGTGACCCTGAAGCCCTTTCTCACCCTGTGGATAAGAAGATAATATAGACTTTATTATCATTATTATCACAGTCATGAAAGTATATATAAGACTCCAGGAGTGTTAAGTATATAGAAATCATAGCCAGCTTAGGAGGTTGCAGAAGTGCAAGAAGTTAGGGCTGGGAGCACACCCTCTCATGCTTGGTTTGCTCTTAAGCTCTTTCCTAGGTGTTTACTTCAGCTCCAAAGATGGACTTTTGGACCAATACAGAGGATCCACTCTAATTTAATGTGCTTATTTTGCATCATATGACATCCTTTTCCCCTTGTCTTCTCTATTCTCTCTTTCAGATGGCAAGTKTTTTGCACAGGAACTACCTCCTCCAGTTCATTGTATACACCAAGGGGTGTAATCCAGATTGGGAGCAGTGGGAAAAAGTCACTACAAATAGTGAGTATAGTTTATACTGACATATTTTCATGGAAAGCTAAGAAAGGAGACAGTATTTTCTTCTCCCAATTTTCAAGTAATTTATGGGTTCTAAGGGGGCGTAATTTAATTCAAGTAATTTATGGGTTCTAAGGGGCTCTAAAGGGTCAGTAACACTGTAAAACACTAAGTTACAAGTTCTACTCTGAATTCTGAAAATTATTTCCATAATATTCTCTTTTTTTTTGCTTTTTTTACTATTGAAATGTGTCTAGCTAATATTAKCAATAGAATTTGAGGATATGCTGATGTCCGTAGCTGGAACTGTCTGGAAAATGGTGCACTCTCAGACTTCTTACAGGGCAGAATGAGTAAAAATCCACTCCTATGATAAATGAGCATCCCAGACAACTGTTGCCCCCAAACTTGGGGCTTAACATTGAAAAAGTAGAGCACTTCATCATCAATAAATTGCTCAGATGTTCAAATATGTTTGTTACCAGGTCTGGTCTCAGTTATAGAAATTTAAAAAAAAAAGGTAGAAATCCTTTGGCCCTAAAGCTTTGATAAATAAAAACAGATTTTTGCATAGTTGCTTGAGCTGAAAGTAGCATTTGGACAGATAGATGGGGATTCTACTTTCTACTTAGAGTTTACAGAAGTGAGGTCAGCACAAGCTGTAATGTTACCCTTCCAATGTTTYGGTATCAATCCTCACATAATTAGCAATAGCATGGCAGTCTCACAATCACTTTTTGCAGTATGAAGTCCAAATGGTATCAGTAATATCGTATTTAAACAAGATGCCGCTGATGTACCTTTAGTCCTGGTGCTCCCATGGCCCCTGGCATGCCTGGTAATCCCTTGGGACCTCGAGCTCCAGGATAACCTGCCAGACCAGTTATTCCTGGGTTTCCTTTATTACCCTTAACACATCCAAAATAATTGATTACCATCAGAACAATCTAACATGYTTTTTTCACTGCATGATAAAATAGGCAAACAATATACAATTAATTCACTAGAGATGTACTGAAAATACAGTCCAGATTCAAAGTATCCATTTGTCCCAAAAAAGGTATTTTTTTAATAACAAAACATAACAATGGAACATAACACAACAAAACATGAAATGGAAGCCCCCTCTTTTGGCAACGTTCAAAATTCAACATGCCTAATTATAAATAAGACATGCTAACATGTCTTTGTATATTCTTGAAAGGAATTCATGAAAGAATAGCTTCACCACATCAAGAAAAATCAGAATATTTGTTATGAAAATGTACCATAGATCAGACATAAACAAGAATGAACATTTATAATGAAAAAACATATTACTGAGTGCATGGAGTTAAGCCAGCTCCCATGTTAAAAATATAAAATGGAAATTTGTCCCATCCATAATGGTTGTTTCTATGATGTCTTTTAGTCGCAAAAATAGAATACATACATATGTATATATGGAGTGCGTGTATTTTTTTCTTTTCAAATGTCATTTCTTTAAGCATTTATAGAAATAAAGGTTACATGATTTTTTTTATACTAAATGTTATTTTCAGGTCTTTTGAATACAGTACTGTGACTTATAGTCCGATAAGCTTCTGTAGCCAATGTTCTGTTCTATTTTTCCACTAGAAAAAAAATAACTTTCTGCATTACAAATTATAACGCTATTATTTTTTGCTAATACAGAAGTCATTTTTTAAGAGACGAAAGATGATGTTTTGATTGAAAAGGCCAAAAATGTAAATGTTTGTTGGGGTGATACTCCTAAAAAAGCTCTAAAGAATTTAGAATACTTGAATGAAGTTCAGTAAGACCAACTAAAGCTTGGAATAAGGAGCATCTGTCCCCTCTGGGAAACTTCTTCAATTTTCTTTTTCAACAAGATATTCAAAACTAACAGTGCCTCATTCTGCATCTTGATGAATTCCTCCCACAGAATTTAGCTTGACCTATAAAAATTATTGGGCCATCTAACTAAAACCCCTGAGAAATACTACAGATTAAATAAATGCAATCAGGTTTCTGAGAAGAAAAAAAAATCATTAAAGGAACTTTCTCCCTTCTCTCTGGGGTGGGTTAATGCAGAGCTGTTACACCATTCCGAAAGGASAAAGTAGGTTGGTAGCTGCTCTTTGCTCAGGGCTCAATACAGATTATAAATCTGATACCAGGAAYGTTCCCTCCTTCTCTGCTCTGTCCCTGATACCTCACGCTTTTTCACTGTTTTTGGATGAAGCTTCAAAATTGCCTAGGCACATAGACACAGCCTACAAATTCAAAGACAAAAAGKGAAATGTGGGATAATCTCAGAACATAAGATCAATTGGGTTCTATTGGTTCATGTTCAGGAACCATACATTAACRTGATATTCATGTTTTCTTGAACATTTTTCTTCTACTGTAGATATTATCAGCGATGTAGGCTAATAAAATAGTTATCCCAACAACACACTTTCTCTCTGTTAACTTTACCTCCTATTCAGAATATCAATAGCAAAAGAGAACAAAGAATTGGTTCAATATTCAAGATGCTGGGAAAACTRAGAATGCCCCTTTTGTTTAAATACTTTAACTTTAGAAAATTTATAAACCATAAAGATGTAGAAAGTGACAATGTGGCAGGCAACTTACCTTGTGGCCAGGTTTCCCTGGCAGCCCAGGTTTTCCAGGGTTCCCAGGAACGCCTTCTGGTCCAGGGTACCCAATTGCTCCTTTTTGCCCTATTGGCCCTGGTTTTCCCTTGAAAAAAAATTCAAAAAAAAAAAAAAAAAAAAAAAATTGTTGACATTTTTAACATCCTCCATCACAGAATGAGATTTCAGTCACAGTACTTCCTAACTCTGCATAATAACAAACCCTGTGACCCAGATGAGTACTCACAGAGGGAGCTCTGAGTTCATATGTTTGTTTATGCTATTGCTTGACCTCAGACTTGCTGGGCTGCTGGCTCTGAAGAAACCTGGCTGAAATCACAAGGGGTTTCGCTGACCCCTCTGTGCGCCAGGGCTGGCCATGGGGTTGACCTCTCCACATGCCAGACTTGGTGTATTTTTATTTTAAAGCAGCAATGTAGAATCTGAAATGTGTCATCCTAGCCTCATTTGTAGCTTCTACTTGCACTGCTTCTAGTTCAGTCTTGCACTAGTCATGTACTTTGAGATTTCCTCAAGTCCCATTTTTGCTGTGTTCTCYTCCTCTCCTGCCCATATGTGCTGCCTTTCTGCCTTTTCCGTGGTTCTGCACAACTGAGGCTCTCTCCAGTCCTCCAGAGGGGAGAGCCAAGCATTTACAAAGACACACAGTCTGCTTGTCCTCAAAAGGCTGTTCTTCCACTCTATCCAGAAGGTACAAGCTCTGGTAAGCAGCTGTATTTCTCTGGTTACCAGCAATGTTTTGATGTGAGGTAGTAAAAGTTATTTATAATCTGTGCTTGTGTGGTATTATTTATTAGAGGACTAAAATAGCCCTGATGAATTTCTCCTTTGGTTATGTTTACAGAGCACACGCTGTTTCCCACTCCCGCTTTTCCCTCACGGAGCCCCGGATGCAGCCTGGCTTCCCTGGCCTAASCGGAGCAGGAGCGAGGTCGGGGCAGGCGCGCGAAGGAAAGCAGGCCCAGCGAGGCTGCCGGCCGCACCGGTCACGCACACATGGACGCCGAGAACATTTAACAKGTTCTCAAAAATTATTCTTATTTTCACAGGGGTTCCTTTCATACTTAGATAATTGGAATGTTCTTTCCGTTAAATTAAATTGCATCTATATTAACTTTACTGGAATAATGAAAAATGTCTACAGAACGTAATAGTCCTTCTGTTATCAAGGCATAGGACAAACTTGATCTTAACCATTATTTTTTTTTTGTTATAAAACAAAGATACATGGTAGGATTTTGTTACTTACAGGAATTCCAGGTTTGCCTGCTTCACCCATAGCGCCTTTCTTCCCTGTGGGTCCCTAGAAGTTACAAATATTTGGGAATAAACAAACATCCTTAACTAAATCGCCTAAGAAAAGCTGAGAATTGTTCCCTTATAGGCGAATGTTCACGTTGCCTGGCTTTGGATCAGATTATTTCCATTTCAGGAAACAGCAGAAACTTTTACTACAAGTGTATACATTTTCTGGTAGGCTTGTATACATTTTTCCTTTCCTGAACGGACAGTTCGTAGCTTTCAGATCATTTTCAACAAATGTCATAAAAAGTTAGTTGCTGCAAAGCTGACATTTTCAACTCTATCAGTTGCCTGATAGAGTTTTTGTAAGGAAGAACACTTTTACAACACCTTTCATAAAGAAAATGAAAATCATGAAAATTAGAAAAAGCAAGCAATGTATATGTACTGAACACGTGTGGAAAAGGTACTAGAAAACTAGATTGCTGTAAAAGGGAATGTTCTTTTTTTATCTATAATGCACATGAAAAATACTGTAAACCAGACTTTTGGGACTTAGTTGAGCCAGAAATATGTAATTATGGACAACTGAGTGACATAGATAGCAGATAACATTCCCCTAAGTGACCAAGGAAGACAGGAAGCCAAATATCAACAAAGAAAAGCACAGAAGCACTTCAGAGAATTTTGTTTATAAGATTTTTTTCACAGAATGAAACAATATAAAGTATTTCTCTAACTTTAGAAATCATTCATAAATCAGGAATTACATTCTACCTCTCAAAGACATAACCACTCAGGCAGCAGGGGCAAGAATAATATTTGTTAGCATAGATCAAGCAAAAAAAAAAAAAAAAGGCTTTCTAGATTTTCTGTATTATTCTTTAATACCATTCTCAAAACAAAAGGTAGACAATTACTATACTGCAATGAGCTAAAATTACATATCATGCAATAAGGTGAAACCACTGAAGATCTTTTCAAGTATAAATGTTTTGATTTACACTGGCCATAACGCTTGTGTGCTCCTGGAAGCGACCACAAACACTGCTGGAGCCTCGGGAAGCACTGGGCTCTACAATATCTCCATCTCAGCTTGGATGATGTGAAAGTCTTGCTTAGTCCTTCCTGAATATTCTTTATAAGTTCTTACGGATTTGAAATTGAACATACAGCAAAAAGAATCTTCTGTTAATTAGTTAGTCAAAAATCAGCCTAAACCTATGAAACACGTAGAACCTAGATTTGACCTGATTTTGACTTAGATATTTTTGCTATACAGGTGTCCAACATGACACCTTGCTTTCTTAGAAAAAGATACAAGTTTTCTTAGAACAAGGCACAAGATTTCTCAGAATTTAAGAAAAATATTGTAGCAAATCTGCATAAGGCATCAAATCATATTGGAAGACAGTAATATGGATTTAAGCAGGATTTAATCAATGTGTGTCAGTTCTAGTTCTAAAAGACCTGACATGGGACATGAGAACAAGTGGCAGAGATCCCTGTTCTTTCTGTTACATYGATAAAGACAAATGCAATATCATCATTCAGAACACGAGTCAGAAATTATGTTTTATTCTTAAAAGCAGCCTTATAATTCACACACTACATTTTCTTATTTTCTAGAGAAAGTAAAGGTTGAACATACAAAAGTATACAAGTTCAAACATAAGCAAAAGCCTACAAATTCATATTCAGTGCAGATTTTCCCTTYTTTTCCTACTTACTTTTGAACCTCTTTCTCCTTTTGGTCCTTGTTCCCCCATTTCACCTGGCTCTCCCTTTGGAAAGAACAAACATTAAATAAATCAAAAAAAATCTTTGTATGAGGATGAAAATGAATTTTCAGCAGCTGACAGAAAATCCTCATTGTTTCAGACACTTACTGGAGGCCCTTGCTGTCCAATTGGTCCTCTAAGCCCTGGAAGACCTATRTGACCCTGGGAAGCAAAAAATATAACATATTGCAAAATACAGATAACTCAGGATGTCAAGCTCAGTGAACTACAGATTTCTTTCTCATGCCCATCTTGTGATGGGCTGAGTGGGCCCAGCTCTCATGACAAGTTCCAGAAATGCTACTCAGCTCTGCTGAGAACAAACCTTGGGTATCCTTTCTTCTTTCAATTCCCTACATAAAACTTACTGCAAGAAAGAGTTATATATGGTTTAAACATTTCTGTAATACTAGGAGAAAGATCATATTTGGTTCACTGATTTATTATCATGCCTGATCTCTACCGTCTGTGCAACTTAAACAGGAAACCTTGCATCAAAAACTGCGTCTTTATATTGCAGCAAATAAACATCATCAGTAGTYAGAATAAAGCTATCACCCACTTATATTTGCTTAAAGACTGTAGGATAACGAATAATTGTTGGGGTGAGATCTATAAATTCACAGGGCTTAGATTTCAAAGAAAAATGATAGTTGATCAGCTCGGTGAGGCACTAGCATGTACTTGTCTGCACACATTTCTCAGAAAACATCCAATACTTCTGTTTCATTACACTACATACGTGTGTAACACTACATTCAAATAAAAAAGGGAAAAGCAAGAGGCAATACCTTGTAGCCCTCATCACCAGGCTCTCCCCTATCTCCACGTTCACCACTAGGACCCTGCACAGAAAAGAAAAAGGCACAATTTAGCAGCTTCAGCATATTGTTGAAGCATAGTGAAGAAAAAGCTGGGATTTCTCTCAAACAGACCAACCATCTAGCCTGAATTAAGGATTAAAAATACTGAAGCTAGCTTGTCTAAAAGAGTAAACATGAGTTATTTCTAAACAAAATGTATTAGARTCAGACAAGACACTATTTAAATATTTTGCAACCAAAGACTAGAGGCTAAAAGGTCTTATACAGTCATAAATTAAGAATATGGATCTCAGCTGAGCTTCTCCAAGCTTACAGTCTCTCACAAGCGAAAAGGACAGAATTAAAAATACTGGTGAATAAACAAAGAGACTTTGATTCTCAGGCACATTTTTTAAAGGACTTRCTACATCCAGAACCTGCTTTCAAGTTTGTTGTAATTCAAAGGCATCTTCCTTCCCTCAGCACACCTGCCTGGGAGGCATCAGGTGTGAGACACACACAGGAGCTCAGGGACTGCTGTGATTCTYGAGGGTCCTGCAGCTGTCTCTGCTACAGCCAGACATTTACTGGCTCTACTTTAGGGAAAGATCTTTCCTCCCATTCCACAAGAAATAAGACTTCCCMTCTGAATTTTACCTCTCCCTGCAGCAAATTGACAATATCTCAGTCACAAAGAAAGTAATGCGGCAGGGAATCTAGTCAGTAGACATCCCACCTCTCTCTCCTTAGAAAAATGTAAAAGGAATTGCTTTTTTTCTGATGTAAAAACTCATCGTGAAGAACTGGCTAGGGATCACTAACTGTGGTCTACCTCTATAGTTTGCAAATTATTAGATACCTGTATCATACTCATCCATGAATGCCATTATCCAACTGCTCCTATATTCCCCACAGTTTCTGCAGCCTTGTGGTACGTTTCCAATACCCATATTGGAAACTCATCCAYCCCATACCCATCCGCAGGATGAAAGACCCTGCTTGTAAGGCTTGCTCAGTCAGCAGTGCTGAGCCAGCTCAGCTAGGACAGAGAAATCTCTTCTCTCATGTATTTCTACAATTAAGTGAAAAATGTGACCCAAACATTATCTTTGGTTACATCAGAGTCTCATAATCCTGATTTTGGGAGGGATGAGGTATAAAGATTAAAGGCAGTCTGATGAGAAGTAGACTGCACAAGCAGTACTTCTGGCACAACTAAAGTCTCAACAACAATCATTTTTAGTAGGATTTTTGGTTGGCATTATTTTTTTTTTTTTTTTGGACAGATTCCTAATTTCTGCTGAAAAATACTCCACACAGAAATTATCAAGCAAATGGTAATGAAATTTAGCTTCTTCTTTCAAATCTTAGTTAGCTTTGCAGTGGTATTGAAAGAAGTGAAAACCTATTTCTGATTAGGAGAACAGGTATAATTTAGGATAGACTAGGAGGGCAAAAAATCTCTTGTACATTGTGCTGCTCTAACACACAGATTAATGGTATTAGTGTAATTAAACACAGAGCAAATACTCTTAAGCAGGCAGAAGCACATGACTCTGCTTTTTTGAGAAAGGGATTACTGATTTAAGGACCTGTGTTCTGCATTTTTGTACTAGTGTGTACTAACTCCTGAGACAGTGATCTAAGTTTCAGAAACAGTCGCATTATCCTCATTCAAGGACTAAAGTAATTTTTTTTTGAGAAAGAAAGACCTACTGGTTCACCTATGGGCCCAGGTGGTCCAAGAACTGTACTGTCTTCGCCTGGGTAACCCTAAAATAAAGATAAGTATTAAAACATTTGCTTGAAAATTCAATAGTGCCTGCAAAGTATGTATGTTCAAATGTTGATAATACCCCAGAGAGCATATTACACAGTTGGTAGTAGCAAGCATGACGCTTACAAATTTAATATAGTGAGAACTCCTTTTGAACATGCACAATCATTTTAAGGAATACATTTAAAACTAATATATATATATATATGCCCTGTTCTCAAAGGCAATTATAAAACAGTTGTTTAATGAAGTGTCCATGTAATCATTTTTTATAYCATGGGAAAAAGAAATAGCATATTTGACAAGAGGAAAAAATAAGATTTCTTCCATGGTTTTAAAAAATATGCTCCTTACAGAGAAACAGAGTGAACAGAAGATTCCAACCATTAGCCTGAACAGGACTACCCTTTGCTTTATTTTGTTGTTGTATGAAAAAAACACCATCCAAAATAAAGGATGTTTTTAAAGATGCATCAAATACCTTTCGGAAGTGACTAAGCAAGCTGGACCTCTAGCTCCCAATCAATTTAGYGTTCAATTATTGTTTTTAGAAAACTGCCTCAATAGTTATTTATAAAACCCTCACTAGCTGCCTACTTTCAGTCTTTGTTGCAAGCCTGTCCTACGATAAGAGCACATCTCTCTGCCAGGTGCAGATCCAATAATTTGGTCTATATGAGGGATCCCTGTACCTGCTAAGGGCCACACAGCTTCTGGCAGCCAAACAAACCTGTCTGGGGGATGTGGGCCTTAAAAGAGTAATAGTGGATTTGACACAAAAATAGCAGCGTTTGGGCAATATCCTACAAACAGTTCAAGTTAAGAATAGACTTCTGTACACCACAGCTGGACTCTCAGAAAGGTGCATGGGAATACTCACAGGCTTAAAGTTAAGTGAATAATTTGCTGGTTCCACATCAATTTTTTGTCACCATCTACTGAGGTTAGTGGTGCCACCTAATAGGATGAATGTCTTTTTTTTTTTTTTTTTTTAAGGTACTTTGTGTTTAAAAATGTTCAACCCTACAGTCTGGAACTTTGTCTCCCAATGATCTGTTTCCACAGGCTTATATTTCATATCCTTCCAGAATATCAATAAATTTTGATACAGTGGCTTTTGACAMGTTGTGGGGAAAAAAAAGCGAACATAAACATTCCATCCCTATGTGTTTCCTATGTTACTTTATTGTTTATCATCTCCATACTTTCTCTCCTTTAGGTCCTGGGGATCCTGGAGACCCTGGAGGACCCTGGTGACCCTAATGGAGCAAACAGAACAATAATCAATTTCAAAATAATCAACAAATTAATTAACAAAGTAAGTGTAAGCATCCTTTTAGGTACTTGATAGACAATGTTTCCTAACAATGTTAGATAATGATTTGCCATAGAATTAATGGATAATTCATTGACTACAGGGACACATATAAACCAAATATCTCAGCAGGGCTGGTGGCAGGTGAGGCAAGTTTAGGGCCTCACATGGAAGGTACTGCTCATTCTAAAGACATAGCAGCCCAGTGTGTAAAAAGCAGGACTCCAACATCCTATGATGGTCATCAGAGAATAAGAAATATTTTTCAGTAAAAGCCACAATATCTTTATGCCCTTAAAATATCATTCAATCACTGAGCAGATAGTAACGGAAAGGGAATCTCTCTGGCCAAGCAGTTGGATAAGGGAGTAGGCAATATGTTGAGTATATCCCACTCTAGGATAAATGTGTATCCTGGATACAACAGGCCTCCCATGCTATACAAAGCTATTTAGGGTACCACAGAATTACTTGAAACGTTTATGTTCAGTAAAAAAACTCACCCCATAACCTGGAATCCCTGGCTCTCCTTCAGGTCCCATWACTCCTAGATGTCCCTGTAAAATGCAATAATCAATGACACAAAATTGACTTTCCTATTAAATTTGTCCACCAATGCATAGAGTCATCAGTTTAAATAAATCTTGAGAAACATTGAGATTTTAGAACTACAAATTACTTCTTTGCTTCCACATATATTTTGTAAATAATGATATATTTCCCTGTTCCGTAAAACAGATGATCAAAATTTTCTATCCTATCTGTATGACCTCAGTGCAAAATTAGGATCAAAGAGGAATATACCTGAACTTTCAGAGATGCTGAGGAACTCTGTTTCTAAACATGAAGTAATCCAAGAGAATGTGAGGTTGCTCCTCACCTTGGGAAGCTGCRTGTGATCACGTTTCCTAATGAGCCCTTCCTACTTGAAAACACCGCTTGAAAATACCTAATGGTAGCTATTTATGTACTTCGTGTATGCAGGGATACACTTCCTGCACGTGGTGGCTGTGGGGCTGGGCCCTGGAATGGCAGGACAGGCCTGTCCGTCACTGGTGTGGAGGCTGCATGTGCCTCTGTGCTGCTGCTATGTGACTGGCGTGAGCTCAGGGAGTCTGTGACAAGAGGGGCTTTGCATGGAGTTCAAAGTTAATGGAAACGCAGTGGATTTGAGTAACTTGAAGTTCCCATTCAGCGCTCCACCAGTGCTTTCTTTATCTGAAATTCCATATTTCCAAATCTGGGACCTGACCAGAGCATGGATGCCCTGTAGGCCTTAATGTCTTGGTTTCTGTCTGGGTCTCATTCTGACAAGGAAGAGGCAATGGCACACACCTGGATGCAGGGGTTGGGACAGACTCCTAAATCCTGCAGTTTAAGCATTGCTTACATCTCCAGTTGCCTCAAAGAAATATTTGTAAATGCTTCAGCTGTGACCTGCCTCTTTCCATGGAGAGAGGCAGTGCTGCTGAACTCTTGGGTGAACTCTTAAATAAGCATCATTTATACGAACCAAAGGACCTCGAGTTCCTCTTGCACCTTTAGGACCAGTTTCTCCAGGTTGGCCAACATCACCAGCCGGTCCAACTTCTCCAGGGGGGCCAAGCTGTCCCTTTTCCCCCTGTWCATGTTATTTTATTAAAAACAGTAAGAGATTGATACAAATTTTTCAAAGGCAGCTTATGCCTAATCCAACTTCATTATTTTAAGAGTATTACATTTACATGTCTTTTATTATGGTTCTTAGTATTTCTGTAYCTAGAACTCTGCAGTGAAGAAAACTGTGCTAAAGCCACTCTATCTTCTTTCAGTTTTAGCCAAAGTTTAACATTTTTGGATACTTCGGAAACTATTGAGTTGCAAAATCACATCCTGATCCAAAATGAAATTTCCTTAGGTCCCAAATGTTCTTGACTGCTGAACCATGATAATTCCAATTGCTATGGCTAGCTAGGAAAAATAAAAATTGGCTTCAAGTGTGACATAAAACAGGGACAAACTTGGTRTGATTAGATTGCAGCATGAAACTATCAACACACGTTAACATAAAGCCTCTTGGTGTCTTTTAGGACCCTGACTAGCATTCATCAGTGCCAAGGGATTGGCTAGAATTATTTTATAACATAAATTCAAGTTTCAGATAAGAGAAAGGGAACTGGGGAAAAGTAATACCTTCTTCCCTAGGCGACCTCTCTGACCTGGGTTTCCTGGTATTCCTTCAGGACCCTGTATATTGAAAAAAATGAAAAAGGTTTTGGAACATGTTCAAACTGTGCTTCAAATTGGATAACCTGAGTGCAATGTAATAATGCAGAGAGTTAAGTGAAAACAATTTAATCAACTGTGACTGTAAGTTAGTAGAACTGTTTCAAGCTACAGCAGCAGGTGGTTGATAAGTAATCTCTGATTCTTGCCAAACTAGTGAAAAAAGAGGAAAAAATGAATCTTGTCCAGAAAGAAATACTAGTTTAGCGATAAAATTGTGTCAGGACAAATAGCACAAATGGTCTTCTCAGAACATGTTTATCCAATGTGGCTTTTAAAAACAATATGGAATCATTAAATTCTTCCTTTCTTCTTACTTTTAACAGTATATGTCTCAGCACAGGGGAAGTGCAAGGCAAGAAGAGAGGGTCCACCAAGGAGAAGGCATTACACCACAGCACAGAATTACCAGCTCAGGTATCACTGCCCGGTGCAATAGACCCTAATTACCGAAAGTGTGTTCCAGGCTGAGACGGACAATATCTCCTTACATTGTCTTTACAATTCCTTGGTAGGATGGTAGAAAATCATTTAGGTTAGGAAAAGTAGGGAGCCCTCTGATAATCACAGACAGTAGCAACAGCTTTCATCTGGATTATCCAATACCTCTCATGGGATACTGGCTTAAAGCCATTTCTGATCTGCTTTGGACTCCTGACCATAAAAGGGTCTATAAATCTGACCAACACTTTAAGAAATCCTGTGCTATGAGTGTCTGTGCTGCAATGTTTTTTTCAATAAAGAAACCAGAGTGTTTGAGGTATCACTTTTACTATAAGCACTCTTTTAAATTTTCCTTTTGTTATTAATTTTTATTAAAAGCACCAACAGCTAAACATGCATTTGGTGGTAAAAACATAGATCACAAATGTGTGGTAAATAACACCTGTGGTAAAAATCTTAACCTGGAGCCGAATTTAGTATGCTGTAAGGTATAAACATCAATTTACAAACTTTCTCAAAATGGCATTTCTTGTCTCCAAGGAACTTTTAAACTATACTAAAAGCCAGAGAGCCCTGGGAGACTAAACAAAAGCATTAGAAAGCAGAGTCATACAAAACTGAAAGATCTTACTGCACAATTTATGGCAGTATATCTATCTTTCCAATTTCTTTGGGTGTTTTTAAAATTTTAAAAAATGATTTAATAATTTGATACTGCTGACACCCTCAGTGAAAGTAAGGATAGATGCTTAATAATGACATAAGATTATCTGGTGAGAAGTGAGAGGCTCCAGGTTGTGTTATGTACCCAGCTGGGTGACAAGWGAGAAGGAATCACTATCCGCTAAGAGGTCCAAGATTAAAATAGGGAGACCATTAACCTTCTCTATCCATCAGTTCCAAAAAGCTGAACAGATAAATGATTATCTCTATATGRAAAAAAAAATTAACAGCAAAAACAAATAAGTAGAACATCCAGTTTGTTCTGAAAACACTTACAGGGATGCCCATTATGCCAGGCTCACCAGGCAGACCTATAATTCCTGGTATTCCAATGTCTCCTTTTTCACCACCTTCTCCAGCAAGTCCTTGGTCTCCAGGGTCTCCCTAAAACCGATTTAAAAGTTTTATCAATATACTACAAAATTACTTACTACTGAGAAAAATTGTCCTGAATCTGCTAGATCTCCCAGTTGGGCAGGAAGCTCACTAAAATTGACAAGAATCTTTCCAGTTTTGCATCTGGCTACAGGTCTATCTCCCTGTATACGCCTACAGATTGGTGCACTCTCTCCTACAGCAAGATTTCGGCTTAGCCATTCCAATGCCATTGTTCTCTCCTGTATGATGAGCACCATGCAAAGCAGCTCTACTCAGTTCTCCAGCCTCTGTTTGCTCTCCCAAGTTGCATGACTTGGCAGTTCTTACACTGTAGGTATGTGCCTAAAAGGCACAGAAAATCTAACAAATAGTCTAGTTAACCCCTGTTAGAGCCTCCTGTGTTAGACTACGTGCACTTAACTGTGCACTTAAAACAGATTTGAGTTCTTAAACTAACAATAGCTCTACATCTGCTTTAAATACTGATAGTACCTTTGGGCCATCTTTTCCTTGGACACCATCTTCTCCTGGAGGTCCTGGTTCACCCTTACAAAAAGGGAGCAATTGAAAACAAAGTTATTGCCGCTTATCTACCCTTCTCTGGAAAGAAGCATTACCTTGAAAGAACTCAGGCTGTTTGGTTTTACACATACTCATTATACTTTTGGATTTTTTGAAACATGCTGTTGTAATAGTTTTATTTATCCTCATTTTTCACTGATTTACAGTGACAATTGAATGTAGAATGCAAAGACAAAGTAAAAGACTATCAACATTAAAGGAGAGGCTTAGATAGCTGTATCTCCACACTGCAACCTGCTAAAAAATTGCAATGTTTGTTTTTGAAAGCTATAAAAAATAACTTCCTATTGAATTCTTTTGAAAATTTGGAAGTTTTCTAACCTGCGCTTCTGAAAGATTTTTAATGTACTTTTCAGGAGAATATTTGCATCCATAGCTTACCCTTAAACCTTGATCACCTGGCTCTCCAGCCTTTCCAGCAACTCCAGTATCCCCCTGGAATATCACAAGAAAGTAAAATAATTTGATTGTAGCAGACAATATTTCTAATAGCAATATGACTTTAAAATGCAGTCATTGTGACGATAATATTATTTCTTAAGGCCTTAAGGGCTGTATCATTACTTACTTGGCTAATGAACATTGCACAGAAGAGGGCAATTTCAACATTTACCTTTGCACCTGGTTCTCCTTGTAAACCAGGTTCTCCCACAGGGCCAGGAGGTCCCTGCATAGTAGGAAAGGTAAAATTATACACAGACATCAATAATAATTTTGCAACTACCAATTAATACAGCCATAATGCAAACTGAAAAGCATGAGACACTAGCAAAGCTGCATGTGTGAAAAATAAAATAGGACAACACAGTTCTTTGGTCTTACTACAGACTGACAGAAGATAAAAGACGGTACAGGAGACACTCAGGACCACATGGTGGATCAGGAATATATTACAGACTCGGCAGCACCATTGAGCCTGTATCCTTCATCATAATTTACTAGCAGACTAAGCAATAATCCATCTTCTAAAAACCTGACAACTCTATCACAGTTTGGCTTGGAGCCAAGTAGATACACCACTGGAAGAACAAAAGTAACAGGATCTTCAGCCCTTGAGGAATTAATGGCATCAGATCTTACGGAGTTTACATTTAAATCTCCTCTAAGTTGGTAGTTAGAAAAAAAACGGCTTCTGGGCGACTAAGGAGGTGCATATCTTGGAACAAACAAAATCCTCCTCTCTCTCTCTCTCTCTCTCTCTCTCTCCCTCTCTCTCTCTCCCTCTCTCTCTCTCCCTCTCCCTCTGAGCTAACGCCTCAGCTACTTCACTGCAAACGTAGCTAATATGTTGCCACATTTCTTTCAAAGAGATATTAAAACCAATGCAAAAATAGAAGCAAAAGTTAGCAAGAAGACTGCCTGCAGCTGCTTTTTTTCTTCCACCACTTGCAAAGACATGATTAATGCTGTTCCAGTTGCAACCTCTCGGTCTTGGGCAAGCTAACTGCAAGAATGGAAATAATTAAAAAAAAAAAAAAAAAAAAAAAAAAAAAAAAAAAGGCTTTTCATTCAGCTTAGCTTTTAACTTCTACATACAGAGGTCATGCAAATTTACTTAAAGACAGGGTTCAAAACAGAAGTCGCTCATTTTAGACGTTGTGTGTGTAATAGCTTTAAGGGAGACTCTCAATAGCTCATGGTATTTAAGTCAGGTTCAGCTAAAACAAAAATAATTCCTGAACACATTCTCCAGGCAGATTCTGTCCTTCGAGCGCTTTTAATAAGTACACAAACAGATGCTTAAAAGTTTACCTCAAAACCCATTTCCCCAGCAGGGCCAGCATCTCCTGGTTGTCCTCTTGGACCCTGGCATTGAACAAAATTTTGGATGCATCATTCAGTAATGGCAGAACATGATATTATATTACATGATACAGTCTGGTGTAAGGTGTATGTTACTGTCTTTCCTCCTGAATTCCCTGGTGTATGCAAGGACCCCAAAAGGATACAGTTAAGAGCATTGAAGATGCTATTGCCAGCCTTGACACTGTAAAATAATAGATTTCAAAAAAAAAAAAAGCACATATCTCCCTTCTTTTTAGCCAAAAGTAAATTATTATTGAAACTAAGCTGTCCTCCTGATTAACTGAGACTTTGTTTAATTAAGGTTTGTTAGACTCTGTCTGGTTTGTTTTGTGGAAAAGCCTACAGTCTGGTAGGGAATTAACTGAAAACAACTCCTGTGTGCTTCACTTTATGGATTTAGCTATGTTTATAYAAGACAGTCACTGAGGTGTAACAGACTGCAGACTGGAGCTTTTTTGGTAATATTATGAGGCACCATAGCACAAGCAATAAGCTCATCACATCACACCTACGGCCCTTTTCTTAAAGCAGCATGCTCACGTTCTGTGTACATGTTCAGATATCTACATCTGCTCACAGAGCRTGATTTGTGTGTCTAATGGCAGAGTTTTGCCTTTAACATCCACTGTGAATCTCTGTCAAACCCCTGGATGCGTTCGGTCTAAGTTTTGAGAAAATTTGAGAAAATAAGGAAGAAACTTAGACTGAGCAAGTTGTTACAAATAGTTCTAATTGCTTAATTTTCTCCCCTCTTCCACCAATATTTAGTGGAACTGGTGTCAGGGCCAGAGGAGCTGCCTCAGCAGCTGGCTTCTGTGCTCTGAGGAGCTGATGGAAGATGAAGTCAAGCTGCTTGGACAAACAGCTAGAGCACCATGCATTTTACCCTGTAACATCCTGGGTCATTTTCCGAGMTGCTTTGTAGCTCTGTGTACACACAAAATCATTTTACCTTTTCAGCACTTTAAAGAAATAGTGTCCTGCTAACAGGATAAACTTTCCTTAACTGTAATGTTGCATGTATAGATGTTACCACAACGCATAGAGTAGATATGTACGTACGTGTATATACATATATATAYACACACACGACCATCAGCTTTAATCTAAGCAGATGATAKTTATGTATATATATACACACACAAACACATGTACATCATATATATTATACATATGAGAGAATTCAGGTTTGACTGGCAAATAGCAAGAAACACATATGTAAACTTGTCATTGCAAGAATTGTCAAGGGTCACAATGCAGAAACTAGGTAAAGTAGATTAGATCACGTGAAAGAGATAAAAATGACAGGAATTCAATAATAAACATTAGATTTGTTTTTGTTGACACATCCCCCTACAAAGTTGGCAACTGAAATGAGTAGATAATTATATCTAAAAGACAGTTTACTAAAGTAAAATCTGTTGACTGTTAGAATTTTTAAAAAAAATTTAGAAGAACTGTACGTCATTTGCTGGGCAAAAGGACTTCTAAGAAATGATAAAAGCAGACAACTGACAAMTTTTAAGTTTCTGCACTATAAACACCAGCATTCTAAATCCTCCTAGGAAAGCTCATGCTCTTTCACTATATTTATAAAATCTGACTCACTCCCCAGAGATGGTGATGCAATAGTATTCTCGTCATGACTACACYTTTCAGCACACTGCATATATTTGTTGCAGATTCTGCATGATCTTTTGATACAACATTAGCTGCATAAAAGCGAGTGTGGCTTTGAAATAGTAATAATCAGAACAGAAATCCAGTCAGCAAGGGAATGTCTGCAGTTTATTAGAACAGTCTCTATTTTGTTGAAACTTTAACCTGCCMAATAGATGCGGACCCCAAGCTCCTGAAATAACCATCATAAAAACTGCCTGAAAAGTTACTGCTTATATCTGTATTTATGCATAACATTTACATAATTCATAATATAGATGTCTACCTCAATGCAGCAGAAGCTCACATAATACTGAGGTCAGAATTCTGTCATGCTCTCTGATGCTGTGCGCTTCTTACTGCAGTGCTTCCCAAAAAGATCAACAGAGCTGCTAATGTACGAGTTGCTCTAAGTAAGGGAGGCAGATGCTGGCCCTGTCATTTTGGAACAATTACCCCATGATTCATTTTTAACCACAGCTGACAACACCAAATCTTGGTAAAACTCAGCTCCACTTTCCAAGCAATTCAGTACAATATGTGGAAAAATTATTAAGCTGCCGGAAAGATCAACTTACTGGCTCTCCCATTGGTCCCCTGTCTCCTGTGGTTCCAGGAGGCCCAGGCAGACCCTGGAAGATTAAAATAAAACAAAATTAAATAAAAAGTCAGTAGGGAACAAGATGTTTCATATTCTGCAAAAAGCCACACATGCTCTTATTTCTGCTTGCTCAATAACTTGTTCAGAAATACACAAGGAAGATGCTCAGCCTTTTCTGCTAGATGACGTGACACCCCAGCAATAGGTCCCGTGGCAGGTGAGGGAGCCCTGAGCGAATCCTGCCTCTCTTTCTTTGAACGTGTAGGGATGGCCCCAGTCTGAACCACCATTTATCAACTCCTCTCCACCCTCCTTAGTCTCAGGTGCTGTGTGTACAAACTGTGCCTACCCACGAAGTTTTAAGTGTTTGAGATGAGTCTTGAGGTTCAATGCGACTGGCACAGAATAGGCAGCAAGAAGCCCTTTGTGTTCAGCCTGGCTCACTCTGTATCTGTCTCATATCCCTTCCTAGAAACTGTACCTGAAGCAGTGCTAGAGTAATATTTTGTACTCTGAAATAGCTATACAAGTTTGCATCACTTAAGTCTAAAGAGGTTTTGCTTCATTTATTTCTTTCTATATAAATGCACAAAAAAGTCACAGTTTAAGAAAAAATGAAAATCTATTATGCCAAAAGTGAGAGGCAACAAACTTCCAAATTTGAGGRAAAAAGGCAAAGAGAAGTTCAGTGGTAATCAACACTGAGAATCGATTTCAGCACAAAAATCACTACCATTACTGCTTTCCTATTTCCTGAAAATTTGCTGCAACTTGGATTGTCTGGTAACCATCTTTACAAAAGAAAGTGCCAAGCAGAACATCTTACACTTCCACTGAAAGAAGCACTAAAAAGAGGAACCACGTCTTCATACACAATATACATTCAACCTCACACTGGTAGCACATATTTACCCTAAAAATCTATTAGAGAACTATATGCCACAATGACTTTACCATTTAAAACTACAACAGAACTCCTTGATGTAACTTGTAGCGTTCTCCTGCTTACTAGAAGTGCTTTTTTTTTTTTTTTTTTCCCCCTTCTGCAATTGCAATCATACTGCTCTCTGTGGAAAATCATCCAAAAAACACTGATCCAGTAGTAGACAAGGCTACACTCACACTTGCTCCCACTTCAGCCCCCTTATTCTTTTACAACAAACGTGAGCTGTATCACCAGAGTAAGGTCTAAAGTTTTGCCTGTCTTGATGGCAGTGCCATAGCATTTTAAATACTTACTGGTACTCCTTGATCTCCTCTTTCTCCTGGATTTCCAGCCTTACCCTGGTAAAAGATAAATARCCAAAGACAGTGCTTGCTTTAGATAAATTCCAAACACAACACAGAATTTAACAGTAGCTACATTATGTCTCAACACAAAGATTGGCTCTGATACTTACAATGAGGCCAGGGAGTCCTTTCTTTCCTGGATCTCCTCTTTCTCCCTGACAAATAACCAAAAATGTGTGAGAACAGTGTCCATTTGCGAGAGAAGCTGTACAATGTGCATGTGCTGTCAGCTTAAATACGGGGTAATGCTGCAGAAATTGCAGATGGAGGTTTAGATGTGCATGCCTCATAATAAGGAAGCACTTTAAGTAGGCAAAAGTTTGCCAGCCTCCTGTTGTGTTAAACAAACTTATRGCTCCAGATATGCTTCATTTTTTCATTATGACTGTCATGGGCTAAATGCTCTGTGTTCTGAGCAACACACTTACCTTAACGCCTTGTGTCCCTACTTCTCCTGAAGGACCATCTGGACCTCTTGGCCCCTGAATATTAAACAAATGATTTGGGATATTAATTCTGCATCATTTTTGGTTATCATCAGGAGAGAAACAACATATTGTGTTAGCATGTACTATGAAAACTCACGGCCTGAAAATTAATTTTCTTTGTATGTTAAGCCTGAAATAAAGCATCAGAGACTGTAAAATCATTTTCCATCTTGCTGTAACAAGAAGCAAATTTTTTTTCTTTAATATTCAAACAAGATGTTTAGGGTCTCTATTGGAYCCAGTTTGCAGGCGAGTATTTTCCACTCCCGTTCACTTTGTACGCATGCAACAGACATATTTACAAGAACATTTAGAAAARTATCCACATCAGCAATTGCTTATAGGGAATGTTTCCTTTTATATAAATTAAAAATTGCATATGCACAAACCAGCTTGCCACTAAGACCTTAAAACATGCAGATTAAGCTCACTGATTAGTAATCAATGCCTTATCAGTTTGAGGAAAGAATAAAACCAATTTATGATCTCATATTGCAGTATTACTAGGCTAAAGGTGCTGTAATACAGTTGCTAAAATATCTAYTGTAATTAGTAGGCTAAAATGTCTATTCTAAGTCGACATTTTATAACCAATATATGAAAAAATAAACTATTACTTCATATTACCTTATTAAAATTAAGCAAATGTTTATTCTTAAAATACAGAGAAATGAAGATCAGATACCCAAATCTTAAAAATACAAGTTAAAAAAAGATCTAAAAATAGATAATGAGCAAAAAAAAAAGGTTTTATATAATGCTGACTTCGTAAGGTATTTCTATAATTTTAAACATAACWATTGTTTGGATACTCAAAAATCTGAAATGAATGATCATTTTAAAACAAGAACTAAGTGAGCATCAAGATGCCGGTGCCAGGTCTCTACAGCAGAGCATACCGAGTGGATGGGACACCCCGGCTCTCCTGGCAGCCTCTGGGCCATGATAAGATGGCATCAATCAGAGGGAACTAGTACATTGCCACCACACGCCTAGAACATGCATTTCAACGCATGTTGTAGAGCACCCTGCATCATGGGTCATGGTTTATAGTGCTGGGCAGGCAACCATGTCTGATCTGCAGAGTTGTAATACTGTGCAAAGACATAATAATAGGGTTTGTGTAATAACTTGGCTGGAAGCACATCTGATTCTATTTAGTTTTTCCTCAAAAATACCTGTGATTATGTCCCTTTTAACTCTCTGAGACCAAACACCACCAGATTTTCTTCTCTGTCTTGGATTTCCTTCAAAACCTGTGTCACAACAGCTGACAAGCACTCTCTCTCTTTAGAGTTTCAGTGAAAGAAAGGGTTCATTGGTAACTCGGGAAGAATTTATGTCCAGAATGATCAAGGCTTTCCTTCTGAAATGAAAATCTCTTACAAAAACACCTTTCCTGTGAACTGATATAAAATTACATCCTCTGGTAGAGTCAGAAATATCTCATGAGCAGTTTATCAGTCATCATTCCAGCACTTCAGCTTCTGGCCAGCACTAGTAGAAACTACAGAACAGGGAAAATGAATGGGGAGAGAAAGCTGGCTGAATATTTCTGATATCTCAGTAGTTTTGGACAAAGCTTCTGTGAGACAATCCTTGAGTTATCCAGGCCACCTTTCTCCTTTTGGGCTGGACCAGGACTAACTACTTAGAGACAATTTTTCAACCTAGAGGAGAAAAGATGGTGCAGAACACATTCCTAGTTGCTGCAGGGCTGCTGCTAAGAAAGTGCTCATCCAAAAACTACTAAAGTCTGTGCAAAACCTCCTGGTGAAGTTCAATTGCAGATCAGATCCAAAACTCCCATCATTTTCAAAGGTGAGGTATGACTGCAGAACAACTACATGACTGGGCCTCAAATTACATTATATAACTGTGCAAGTTGGAGTACTGAATTACAACAGTATAACTGAAAACTCAACATTTTGATGAAATTAATGTTAGGTTATCTCTCCGCGATTCTCCAAGAACAAATGGTAGAGGAACACAGGAGGACAGAAATTCAGAAAAATGGGTCAAGAAACTGCAGAATAGTTTTAGCCTTTTAGACTTTTTAGAAACACAACCTACCACTCGTCTTTGTGCATCCTGCCCCATCTTGGATAGAATCTCAAGATGAAATAACAGAGGATGAAAAAGACATGTATTGATTCTATAGCTGTCTATACAGTCTGAGAAACAATCAAGTCAGAAAATTGAATAAGCTTCTCAGTCTGTGTTATATTAAATGCACCAAAACCTTTCTGCAAGTCCTATAGACACTGTAATTTCAGCATACATAACACCAACAATCCAGTCTTTTGGAACAGAATGGCAATTGATTTGATCACAAGTAAGCAAGTGAAAAAGCTTACTGTTCAACATACCAACCTCTTAATTTGGACATGACAACAAAGTAAACCAACATGATGCTCAACTTTGGGCTCTGGAGAATGTCTTCCTGTAGCCTACCTTTAACCAGGCATAGAGCAGAGTGCAGGAATCCAAAGGAAAGGTAATTTAATGTTCTAACAAAAGCACACTAAAACATGCCTATAAATAGTAGTGTGACTCATTATTGGCACAGATTATTTGGACTTGTATCATTTACTACTATAGCTAGTATAGAATAAGATGCACATGATTTGCCTGCTGTTATTTAGTTTAGGTTGCAACAGAGCTAAGGAATGAGCTGCTGCCAAACAATTAATACTACTTTTGCTTTTGGCATAGGGTCAACTTTGTCTCTAAAATGGAATATACAAGATTTGAAGATAATAAACTGAGAAAAAGTTAATTTAAAAAGGCAAACAGTATCAATCAACTCTTTTTTCTTTTTTGTCCTCCCTCCTAAATCTAAGAAGAAATAAATGACAAACACATAAACACACTATGAAGCTACTTTGCTCTTCTGATGGTTGACATGCAAAAATATTGTGAAGTCACATCCATTTTAATCTCATCTTCTTTGAACAAATTTAGATAGATAAACACATTCAGCACTTACTGATATCCTTATGTTGTTGAGGTGTCTCAGACCAATATAGACACCAAAGAAGTCAGGAACCTTACTGCCTGCAAAGCACATAAGTTGCTGTTGCCTGACCCCAAATTTATGGCATTTTATTATGCCACTTATCTGTATTTTCAAGACTGAATTTGATGAACTACTTTTTATGAAAACAGAGGCAGAAAAAAGTATTATTTTCTAAGCTTTCAAACTCTGAACAATTGCCTGCTAAGASTCCAAGCAACCACCGAGAGCTTTGCTCAGGTCCCATCTGTGAAGTGAATCTAACAATACTCTGTGCCTTCTCCTCAAACTAAAAGCCATAGTTTATTAATCAGAAATTATAGTGTAACAAAAAGCAGTGCCACTGCTCACTAGCCCAGTTTTCTCCATACATTAGAATATAAAATCGCAGCAACAAGAGAACATGCAAGATCAGCTTCAGGGCTGCCAGCACTCCTCATGGCATATCCTTCCCAAGAATATGTTTCTGCTGGTCTTGGGGAGAAATTCCTCTCTTTAGATACAACTATTCCCACCTGCTAGAGTGCGATTTTGCCTTTGAAGYATCTACAAAGCAGCGGTTTTCCTCTGTGCTTTCATGATATTAAACAGTAAAAAATAAGATGTGGGTCATAAAAAGACCCAGCTTTCCATGTGATTTGAGTTTAAGTGCATCAAGTTTTGAGCATGGGCAGAGGAAGGCCTGGGCTAGCACTAGACTCCTCAAACTCCCCAACAGCGAGGTACTCTGTGAGTTCCCCAGCAATCTGCCTTCTTCAGCTGGCCAGAGCTCCCCCATACACTGCAGACTGAGCAGCTGGATACCTTCAAGCASAAGGAGTCTGCTGGACAATCTTGGATACAAACTGGTTGTTGAAAGGGCCAGAATTTATGAGATGAAGAAATTCCACTGTGTGACAGTGCAGAAATAGTCAGTGCTCGTAAGACTTCCTGCAGATTCCAGCTGTGAGGATAGGATATGTTCTTGGTTTGGGACACTATGAAATGGAATTTCCATATGCTTTTATTTATTTTCCATATGTGACTGTGGTATGAATATTTGAGGTTTGCCACACAGAGCTCAGCCTTCTGACACTGTTCTCATTCTGAAGCCAGTGCTGACAGACTCTGGGTTTCCAGGATCCCCAGATATTTTCCTTGTGCTAGATTCTACTTTAAGCCTGAGATTTTGATGTTGTGAATATGCACAATTCACAACAGTTCCAAAGAGAGCTCAACTGTAAAGCCCAAAGATCTGGGACTGCTCTGAGATGCCTTCCAAGAAACATTCCCCATGATGCATGATGGAGGCAAAGGCCTAAACTGTAGCTCCAGATGGATACTTCTGCAGAGCTTGGGATGTTCAGGATTTGAGTGATCCTTAATCATAAGCACCATATTCTACAATGAGCTGCCAAAGTCACAGAGAGGATCTCTGAGAAATTCCTGTCTCAGTTGGAAGAGGTGACAGCCTTTAAATAAAAGGCCACCTCCTACATTCGAAAGGGAATCTAAATTAAAATAGAATTTYCCCCATTAAAAGAGCAGCAGGCAACAAGCACTGCTGGGCAGAAGGAGAGCAGGCGGGAGCCCCACTCTGAGCAGTTGCTTGGCCCCCAGCTCCAGAGGTGCTGGCAGGTGGACTAGCAGTAGGGAAGGGATCAGAGAGGGTGTTTTAGAGGAATGACAAGTCCAAGGGAAGTACAGAGTGCAGCCAGTAGCAGCTCAGTCCTCACCTCAGGGATGACTAGATAATTACACCAAATTATTTTTCGGCTGACCTTCTAACTCACAGCATTCCCTAGGTGAACAACCATTCACCACCTCCTGTAGACAGACATGGTCCAAAAGGTTTCATTTTCTAGATGAAGCCTGAATAAAACCATTTTACATTGAAAATGGTGCATACAGACACTCCTCATCCAGACACCACTGGCTTCCTAAGTCAGCAAAACACTTTGGCAGGCTTTTCACTTCAAAAATGCTCCTRCTCAACTCACAGCTAAGTGTACCTGACTGCTTTGCTGAACCAAGTCATTGATGAAGAAGTGGAGCCAAACTGCTACTTTCCTTCAGCCTCACAACTGGTTTGCATTTCACTGTTTTGATTTGCATTTTCAAAGTTGTCTGTGAAGTAAAAGGGCTGTTTTTCCTTCCCCTTCTCCCAGCTAAAGTTGAGATTCTCTCTCCTGGCAGAGAAGGCCACTTTAGTACTAGTTTAGTATTAAACACAGRACTCCTAGAGCCTTCTTCCACCAAGTATATTTATTTGTGTAAGGGCCTTGCCAGTGCTCCAGGAGCCGCTCCTCTGCAAGCTGATGCCGGCGTTGGATTGTCCCTCTGTCCCCAGTTCTGGGTATCCTAACTSTGCACACATCAGTGCAGTTCCACATGCCTGGAAGTAAGGCTGGATTCGTGCCCTCTGTATCCAATTAATGATTGTCTGTGTTTTAGCAGGTATTATTTCATGAACAAACATGCTTGCAATTCAGTTTTGACTGCCAAGCAGGCCTTGACCAACTCAATTAACTGGGCACGGCTAGCAGATAGATGACATGTGTGTGTGTGTGTGACCCATTAAATCCTCAGTATTAATCCTAATATTAAGGAATGTGTGGTTAACAAATCTCATATTACAAGAAATTTACTAATCACAATCTTATATTTTAAATAGATGGGTTGTACATTATACATGCTTTTCAAGCATCTATTTTTAACAAAACTGAAGAAACACCATCAGATTTTGATATGGGTAGGCTCCTCATTGGACTACCTGACTTTTTGTTGTTGTTGCTGTTGTTATACAATAACAAAATGGCTTCGTGTTTCACCGAAAACAGACATGAAATACAAATGACAGCCTTATCTGAGGTTCCAGATCACAGAATCACAGTCTTCTTTTGGGTGATTTACCTGGCTTTGCTTTTTCCTCTCTCTCTTAACCATGCCTTAGCGATTTACATTTTCTTTCCAAAGACACAAATGAAGCGCTAATAAACAAAAAATCTCATATAACTGCAACAGTCCAATGGTAGTTATRAATAACAACACTACTTACTCTTCTTCCCTTAGGTCCCTGTGGTCCAGGTGGTCCTGCTGGCCCGGAGGGTCCCTATATGCCAAGTAAACTTATTATTCATTGCAGCCCCTGTGTAACCTTTATTCCGAATAAGAAATCACRATGTGATTGTTGGCTATATTAGTTCTTCACAATATTCCAAAATTATCAAAGGAGTCTTATAATTTATCAACATTAGGTTAAAAAAATATATATATAACAATTTGTTATAGAAGAATTGGGTTTTGTCTCYAATGATGACCTACAACTAAATGATAACATAATTTTATATCAAATCAGGAAATTAATGTCTTTTTGATTAATAATTAAACTAGAGATTAAATGAATACATATAGATTAATACTAAGCATCAGCAAATTTTTAAAAATTGTTGTGCAGTACTGTGCGCTAATATGTTATTTTCAAAAAACCATCAACTTCCCTACTTACCTCAATGAGTAATTTTTAAATGGGTGAGTAGGTGATATAATTAGTTTTAATATTTCTTATGGTTCATCCCAATAAAGAGCAGGTGAACAGACTTCATGTCTGGGTGGGACATGACAGTTTTACTGGCTGCAGTACAAATCATCAAGCATTCTTAACTTCAGCACAGTAAATTAATACTTTTCCAAAAAATCATATTTTAGGTCAAACCAAAGCATGGCTCTGTACTTACAGGTAATCCTTCTGGTCCCACAGGTCCAGGGCTTCCTGGAGGTCCTGGATACCCCTGGTATTGAAATAAATATAAAAAAAAGAACTTTTTAAAACCAAAAATATTATGAACAAAGTTAACAATAACAATAAATCCAATAAATTGCATGAGACTCCAGGTATGCTAATAAAATGCTTAATCTTAAAAAAAAATAGAAAATACACATTAACTTGGATATATCAGAAAAATACTAAAGGATCCTATGAACTTTTCTAACAAACAGGCACAAAAACAGTTTGTGCACTAGTCAGGAGAGAAATTACTGGAAGAAAAAGGCTACTGCAATCTAAATGAAWTTGATACCATCTGCCCCAAACTAGCAATACGATCTTGAGAGATTTCTTAAAATTATACTCTTCTCTTTAGCACCATAAGATGTGAGCATGAGCTTCTCCTGACAAAGCCTTGCAAATATCCAAAAYATTCAAAGTTTTACTTGCTCCTAGAGGTAATGCTTTGAGGCAAGGCGAAAGGAAAAAAAACATCATTAGAACCAGCAGCCTAGAATAACACTTTCTATTCAATTCAGTGGTGAGTTTACACTTAATGAGTGAGCTAGTTAAGTGTGCTAGTGCATCCTGTAGTTTGTTGACCRTGACCAAAAACATCATGTGACAGTGGTGTGAACTTTAATACCAGCCTCCCTTTAAGTAGGGCTGGTCAARACAAAACGCCAAGCACAGCTCCCGTCCAYGGGATGTGAACACTTGCTACTGAGCATGGCTCTAACTACAGTGACTTAAGTGGATTTGCTTATGGCAGCAAACATGYCCRCTAGTTGCTATAATGTAGTTTATAAGATCAGATCCTATATTGATAAAACCTCCTTTATTAAGCTCTGTGAGGATTTTTTTTCCCTCTGGATCAAAAACAGCTGATTGAAGATAATTCTGATCAGAGATATTTAATGAAGCAAGAAGTGCTTCAGAAAATCATCCTCTCTGCGGCATGGCTCATTAAGTTTGCTCTACAGCCTGGAGTGCTTTAGTCTCTTCCTTGGCAAAGGATGTGCAAAGGGTACATGCCGCAAGCATTCAATAATAACGTCCATGTCCACACGAGCAGAACGAAGAACATGCTGCACCGCACCACTCCTGGGCCAACATCTGTGATCTCTGCTCTGCTGCCTGCTGTATCAGTGCCAAATAACAGGACACAGCACCTAAGCTAGGTCAATRGGTAAAGAGTACATCAACCGGGTGGCATGTTAACTCTACACTGATTTTAATATTAAATAAAAGATCATTTCAAACCAATCTCTGCAACAGCTGTTTGGCACACTCATGGTATGATCCTAGAGTCTCATCGTTAACATTGTTTTGACATTGAAAAATAGATCAATATCCCTTTCAATTCCTTTTAACTTTGGAAGCCCTCTGAAAAGTTCCCTCTGATCTCCTTACAAGCGGACAAAACCTGTGAGCACCTCTCTGCATTCTGAAGCCATCACAGGGCTCACTACAACACACACAATCAAATGCTGACCACATATCTCACAGAAGTTCAGAGCAGCCATGGCAGTGGGCTGTGTAGMTTCATACTCCTGTGCCCCAACAATCTGCTTAACGTGGGGCTGACACAGGGAGGCCTGTCCTTGCTCCTGAGGCCACGCTCTGAACCTCGCCAGTGAAACAGAGCTGAGGYGTTTGTAACGCTCATGTGCCGATGCACATGTGGGCCCCTGGGCTGTCAAACGCTGCATGAAACGCTGCAGTCTGATTTATGACAAGCAATACTCTCAGGGAGGCAGTTCTCCCACTGGAGTGGTGCCAGGGGCCCACCACGTACTGCTGTGCAGGGGCRCGAGGGATCACTCTAGTTACCTGCCAGACTACTAAAACAGTTTCTAACACCACGTTATACAAAGCAGAACACAGATGTTATTTTCATGCATTTCTTAATCTTGCCTTTCAATTCACTGTGCTTAGATCTGTAGATTCCATACCAGCCAAAAGCCATTCTTAAAAATGCAGTTGTTCTGCTTCCTCATTCAGTGAAACATTTGTAATGCTAAATCTACACAGTGATAAAGCTGTTAAAAGAAACTTTCTTGAAATAACGCATCATAAATACTGTTCTTCTCCATAAGGCTTRCACAGACAGGAGGGTGAGAATTTATTACCCATTTGGAAAGCAAACTGCTTTCATATGCAATATAAAYATGGATTTCACTTTACTTGTGACTTACCGTGGCACCTTTCTCTCCAGGAGGACCTATTGGTCCTGGACTGCCTCGCTCTCCCTTTACGGAAAAATAAATAGGAAAACAATAATGAGTGCTCATTCACCAACTCATTCCATTTCAACAGTTTCAAGCACATCTGACTAACAAGGTTAACCTGCAAGAACGATATCACAGTGGTCAAGAGGGTTTCAGACCACAGTCTACAGTGGACTCAGTTGCCAAAGGGATCCACTTCATGCAGTACATAACATAGTTGGTTCAGGGCAAGAAAATCTAGGATAGGGAGTAGAGGCAACTCAGAGACCGCCCTTCAGGCGCAGTGCAGAGGTTTTCTTTTGCACTGTTCTGTGATTTCTGCATTCCTATTCCTAGAAGCCTGTTTTGAAGAGARATACAACTGAGTTTTTCTGTCTTTCTCTCTCCTTAAAAAAAAAAGGAGAGAGATGTGGTACTACATCAGCCTCTGCAAACTGTGGCTAGCAGTTCCCTCCTCTCCATTGGGTGCACCATATTTATAGTTATTTGTGTTCTTTAATCCACAAACCTCTCACCTTACTTATAAACACAGCAAACAAGCAAAAAATAAAATATTTTCCTCCTCCCTCCTCATTTCTTTAATGCATGCCATTAAGAATACAGATATATAACCAATGCTAACCCTGCAGCAGCAGTGGAATCAATTARAGTAGATGCAGTAGGAAGGGACTCTTTCTTGTCACACACCTTKTTATCTTTTATCCATATAAAAGATATTGATCTTTTATTCATATAACATTCAGCCCATGCATCAGGTCTGGCTGTAGATTATCCCCATTACAAAGACTACACTTTCACAGAAGATACTACACACAACAAAGTGATAATGATACATATTTTACATTACACATGTAAGGACACATTTCTTTGAAATAATTAYGTGCAAAGTACATCCACCATTTAAATCCACACAGTATATTTACACTGTATTTAATCCTATAAATACATCTGATAATAAATTATACAGAAACAGCACAGTAATGAAAATAATGTACCATCTTGCTTCCATTTGTCGATATATTTATTAATCTAGTTAGACTAGAAACAGTATGCCAAGGTAACATTCGCTGGGCAGAAYATAATTATGAAGAACAAGAATTCTTTTATGCTGAATTCTAAGATGATATTATGATTAAAACCATATGAGACTTGTCTATATTTAAATCTTAACAATCAGTGCTTTCTACTGACATATTTCCTTTCAAATATTACATAAAGCAACAGTAAAATTATCACCAGATTTTCATGGAAGTTCTAGTAAGTCACTGAGGAGACTTTTTTTTTTTTCCCCCCCCTCTCAATAACACCTCTTTAAACGGCAGCCACCAGTTAAGGTGAAATAATTTATCCCAGGAGGGTAGAAATGTAAATGATGCTGGATCATTCTGACAATTACATTTGACAATTATTGGGCGTGTAGTCCAATAACAGTTTCCTGTTTTCAAGCTTTTAAATATTTCATCTAAATAAAACCAYGTGAAATACTCTTAATGTGACTAGGACAGGACAAATAGCTTAGCTTTGCCAAAGATTGCTCTAAGAAACCCAATTGTTAATGGAGGGAAGACAAAACTAACAATATTTTCCCATTTACTCAATGTTAAGTAGTATTTTAGCAAAGTACATAGCCAAATTCTACTATTCWACTTTCATTTCTTCACTACATAGCAGTGAAGCCAGCAATCAGTGTATAAAATAAATATAATTTGAGTCAGTTTCTGTGAGTCTATAGCAGGGGATAGTAAAGTGCATCCTATAATACAAATGTGATAACTAATCYAGCCTCCTGAATTCATTACCAAAATAATCCAAAGATACCAGGTGCAGACCTCACATACAGTAGTTGGGTTACCACCTATTAGATCCCTGCACTTCAAAATAGCTATCAGAGTATTAGCTTTGCCACAGTTGCTACTGAAGAGACAGGTGTGTTGTTATACCTTTTCACCAAGGCTTCCGGATGGACCAGTTTCTCCAGGTAACCCAGCTGATCCCTGCATAGAGAAGAAGCAGACTTTACCAGTGCAATGCCTGTGCTGGTTCATGGTTGGCAGATCCCGGCAGCAAAGTGCGAGGCTTTCATCCCAGAGAGCAAGAGAGCACCTGGGCAAGCCCTTCCGTGCAAAACAGGACGCTGCACAAACCAAGCCGCCGTACAGCCTGCCTGCAAGGACCACTGCACCCACATACACAGACAGTAGAAGCTAACAGGAAGGAAAAGAAACTTCTTTAACTATTATCCTGTGTCTAGTGTCTACCACAGCTGCATCTTGTGGTGCTAAGATATTCCAGTTTGACCACAAACTCAAGGGGCATAAATTCATTGAAAAGAAAAGTAAAAGCCAGACAAAACAAAAATGATATTGGATCAGCTGTTTTAACAATTTTCCCTTGAAGTGTTCCAGCCTCGACACCTTTGAAGTCAGGGGGCTCAGAGCCTTCAATACTTTTAAAAAAAAAAAAAAAAGAAAGGAAAAAAAAAAAGAAAACCCAACACTCTTTAGACTGTCCAACAGATATATACTGGATACCACAAGTACCACCACATAGAATAGGAGGTGCAAAGGAAAGTACTTTGCAATACGTTACTCTCRGTGTAAGCCATATCCCTGTTATTATCAAAGTAAATTAAAAAAAAAAATACAAGGCCCTGCTTTAGAAAAGGATGAAACAACAGCTTTACTTCAGAAAGCGCTTAGGAAGTGACACTATCTGTATTTGATCAGAACAAGCTCATTTCGGCCTTCCCTGGGAAATTATCTTGAGCAATTCTGAATGGAAAAAAAACTATGCAAAACTGCAAGGATCAGCTTTGCTCTTAATTGTGAATTCCRAATGTGTCATAGCTTCAGGAAAACGCATCTGGCTATTGTCGTTTTGCAACGAATGTTGATAGGGAGTTAATTCCGTCTAGGAAATGAATATTGTGGGCTTTGGAGCAATTAGTATGCTTGTGGGGTTTGGGTGTTTTTTTTTTTTCTCCCCCAGAAGAAAAGGCAATAGGTGCCCCAGGTACACTGCATGACTTCTTAAGAGACAGCAGAAACACAGAAGCTCCTTAAAAAAAAGGAAAAAAAAAAAAGACAGAAATTGAAAAATATTATGCAAATAAAACCTCAGTTCAAGTGTTGGCACTGCTGTYTCTGCATAGGTAGAGATACACTAGCCTAACTAGCACTAAAGTGACACTTGAATGAGTTTTTTTTTTAACCATTACTAGTGTAATTACTATCAGTTTTAAAAGTCTGTTAGTAGCTTATTCCATCAGAAACATTTCATAGCAGTAAAAGTTCAATCTGAGAGTCCTCCCTTGGAATAAATAACATTTTTCTAATTCTTCAGCAATAAAATTTCAATGCCRTACAGCTTCAAACACTGGTGCAAAATAGGCACAAAGAGGCTAGGGCTTTATACTTGTACTCGGAGATCTCATAGTTTCAGTAGGAGTTATGCCATGCTTACAGTGCTTTGCACATCTCATAACTGTGACACTTTCCTTGACCTGTCCCAGAAGAGCTGGCTGTACAGCGTCAACCGAGTTTCCTTACTCCTTTCTTCTCACAAGCAACTAGCTATTCAAGACAGCTACCTTTGAGACTAACAACACTTTCACAGCCTACTACTTTTTGGAAGGGACTAAAGAGATAAGCAGGCATCTTGATGCCTGTTGGATGCATGTATTATGTATCAGAGCACGTGCGTTACGTGCCAGTACTGAGCAGTCTCCTGGCACCAATCAAAGATTGGTCCTGCTGATACCAGCACAAAGTTGATGCCCAGAGGTCAATGGCAGGAATGATGGGACTTTGTGCCTGACTCTCTAATGAGTGTGACAGCTACCACCACCGCCAGCACGACTCGTGCTTCAGTGCCAGGCAAAAAGCTTTGAAACAAAGAGCTACCCTGTACTCTTCGCTCATCAAGATATGGGTTGGAGGAGGTAACGTTTCAAAAGACTTCGATTCCCTTCTCCCAGAAAAGGGAGAAGGTGCAAGTCACAGCCAAGATGCAATTGAGGCCTATTTTCCTTCGACAGAGGCAGCACTGAGCTCCCAGCCCATGTCATTCCGTGGAGGAGCGACAGTGCTGATTAGACAGAATCATAATCGCGCCTTGTACCATCAGATATGTCCTTAGTAAAGAGCTCCTGCTCAAATGCCCCGGTTGATTCAGGAGTTCTGTATTCCCAAACAAGATGTTCTGGTTTGGTCTCAAAGAGAAGGAATGACAAAGCAGCAGTGACGGGATATGTGCTCTAGCTTGCATTGCCCTGGYTTCCTGGCCAAGGACAAGTGTTGGCTATTAGGCAGAAGTTTCTGAGACACTGCCTGTTCCTCAGGAGTATGTAATCTKGATTGAGGCTTCAACCCTCTCTCTTTCTTACATAACAGGATGAATCCAATCCAAAGCAGATTTAAGTCAGTGTGTTCCTGCATCCCTCTAATACTTTGGGGAGTACTATGGGATTCCAAAAACCAAATTGAATGCATTAGGCAACAGAAAAGTAAAATAACTAAAATGTTTTACAATCATCATAGCTCTAAACCTTATTTAAAAAAAGTCGTAAACTTTCATATGGAGGGATTTGTGTAACATTCTCCCGTGACGATAACAGCACCTAAAAAAAACTTTTTGACAAAAGCATTCACATGGAAAATGAATCAGGGATCCGATCTCTGCCTAAGAGATCCAATCTCAAGCCTAAAATACAAAATATCTTGCCAGGGCATATGCTCCATGTTAGAAACTGAAGTTAACTGAAGTTAAATAATTGAAAACACATTGTATATTTAATGCAAATACAACTCTCGAGTAATTCATTAAAAAGCTAGGTAAGGAATGAATATTTGACTGGTCCCAAAAATTCCTGTGGAAGCAGTTACCTGTCAGACTGTACACTAACACATTCTTCTGTGTTAACAGAAACATTTCCAACGCAACATCATTTCATTTAGAGTTCAGCATTTCCAAATAAATTTATTCAACATTATTTTAATGAGGTGTTACAAGCAAATTTAAGAAACCTATCTTGCTGTATTAACATTTTTTCCAAGATTTTTAAAGGTATTCTAAAAGTGCATTCTACATCCATCCAGCTCCAACATGCAACAATGTCAGCTTGCTCATAAAAATTCCCACTTAAATGTTTCCTAGGAGTCCTTCAACTTCAGTCTTTCTGAAGGGCTTTATAAATTTTAGTATTCTGTTCAAAAAAACTAAAATGAGTCAACATTTAGATTTGATTTTAACAGATTGGAATTTACTTAAGGATGCATGAAAGTTCAAGCAAGTCACCTATGTTAAAAAGACAACTAAAAAAAAAAACGAGGAGAAGAGGACAAAGAAAAGTGAATTCTTTAACAGTCAACTTATACTTAATAACCAGTTCATACACAGAAAAATATATTTATAGCTCAAAAGATTAATAAAGTTTAAAAAATAAATTTCAGACTAAGCTCAGTTTTGCTAGCCAGACAAAGTGGAATTTACAAGTTTATTTAAATACAAGTAAAAGGTAAAGGACCAATACTAAATTTGCTCGCTAATGACGCTTCAGTTTCGGTTAGCAAAATGCAAGRGTAGATTAGAAAATGGCTCTGTCAGACCTTGTCATCTAAGCAGCTGTTGGCTGACAGTTGTGCAAACTGCTGTACAGTGTCATGTGTGCGAAGTAAAAAAATGCTCTTCTGACGGCAGATATTACACTCAGTTGTATCTTTACTAAACTGAATTTGGATAAAAGTTATTTACGTTTATGCATCCAGCTAGTGACTTACTTTTTTTTTTTTTTTTTTATCTCAGGTGGCAAACGTCACACAGAGCAGATTGTCCTTCTGTTTCAATGTTCTTAGGCAGGACTCTAAAGAACATCAACTGATTTTAAATGCTAATCCTAACCTGTAAAATCATAGAGCGTTTGGGGCTGCAGGGTAGTATGGCATATACTAGCTGATGAAGAGCACTGTCTGCAAGTGTCCTGAGAGAAATGGGCAAAACAGCTTGAAAAAACTAAYCTCCAGGTCTGACAACCCGCTTCCCTTTGCTTCTCAAGAGAACGAATTAGCAGCAATGACAGGATATCTGCTCGTCCAGGATGAATTTCCCTCGCAGGAAGTACTGCACAGACTAGACAGTATTGTCATTACTATGACAAATTCTTCAAGAAGCAGCTCATGTTAACCTCTAACAGCAGRTTTCTGAGAGCAGCTTAAGCCATTCTTTCTTCCGAAGGCCTTGGCAATATTGATCCATTGCCTTCACCAGCCTTTGCTTTAAAAAAAGATTTATTCAGATGGCTTGTCTTTAGGCCCACAGCTTCCAGTTCTGGTTTGTATATCCCAAAAGTCCAGACTTTTCACAACAGTTCAAAGAACTCTTGCTACTGATCATCTTGAAAACTTCAGCTTAAACCCATTTAATCTTTTATTCAAATAAAAGGAATGGCAATTTCCATTCTCCATAAATTAAGCATCCCTGGGGCCCAATCTAGCCATACTTCACTTCTGCAGGAAACTGGATAACACTTCTCAAAAACATCTTGACTCTTGGGCACATAGCATCACTGCAGAATTTTTCTTCCCTTCCGCAGTCTCACATCCTGACCTTTCTCAGTCTGTTACAGAGCCTGAATGCTGTTCTTATTGTTTGCTGGGCCATAGCTTTCTATTTTGTTTAGATTTTGGTTGTTGTTTTCTTCCACTTCTCTTTGCAACTTGGTTTCTCTACTGTTGTTTTTAGAAGTATTTGCAACTGGGAAAGTTTGCTGACATGTCTTTTTCAGATCTTTGAAGTAGAGACAAGATTATTTTTTCAGGATTTGGGTTTATGGACTCCGCTTATTTTAGTTTGTCCTTTTGACACCATTTGTACATGCTGCATCTGACAGTTAACACATTTGTACTCTGCCTCAATATGCCAATAAATGACATTGATTTCTAATTCAAAATCCTATGACCAAATGCTGAATTTCTGTAATGAAATAAGCAAGGAGAATTACCTTACACTTAGTTACTTGTGGTGCTTTTGTCTACTAGTATTATGAAACACCAACATATCCCTGAGGGGAGTTGCGTCAAGTTCAGACRAGTTCCGTTCACAAAATCAAGCAATGGATCATTTTCTAAAGTCATCAATAGACTAGGATTGACTCTGTACAGCACAGACAGGTCATTTATGAGGCGCTTGAAGCAACATGTTTTTAGAAGACTTGTCATCCTCCACTGATCTAAACATATATAATACAGTTGTATATGTCAGCAAAGTCAAATTTTCCTCATCCCAAAAGCAATGGCAATTTTCTCAGTAACTGAAGCAATTGTTTCCTTCTGCATGACTTTCAAAAGATTTTGTTCTATCGGCACTATGAATATAATCTGTCTGCTGTCTTTTACTTCTCACTACCTTAACTAAGACCTTTCCRATTGGATTTGTGGGTCCTGCAGCAGCTAAGAGCCTTGCAGGGAGGGATAACTGCTGGCTCCTCTCAGCCCTGGGTTCTGCTCAGCCAAGCAGCACCACCAGAACCTGCCAACCTTCCCCTTCCAACAGGGTTGACTCTGCAGCCAGAGAAACACTTCTGCCTATAAGGCTCAGTTAAGGAACAGTAACTAACGTGCAATCTTAGTCATGATCTAGTTTTAAAACATGTATTTCRTTTTGAACTTACAAGCACAGTGAGCATCTTATAATCTACTCTGTTTCCACATAGGACAAGACACCAAAAATATTTCTGCAGAAATGGGCTATAAAGAGTCAGCAGTGTGAACTGATAGATGCTGGACCATGTATCTGCTGATCAATTGACATTTTAACATTTCATCATATTCCCAGTCTTACTAGGCTGCAAGTAGCCAAACATGCTTCGGGCTCCAGCTGCTGAATCTTCCCTGCTCGTGGATAGGTTTCATTTGTATTTTTCCATGCAGATAATTAATAGTACTTGACCTGGAAAAGCTGTTACAGAAAAGTRGTAACTCTTTTGGCGCCTCAGGCAGCTATGACAGGCACATCAGCCCAAGACAGACAATAGGTAATACCAGAAAAAAAAAGGAATAGAATAAAAGGGAATAATATAATATTGCTTTATCAAACTTAAAAATGAAGCAAGCCCTGGGCTGCCTGGGCAGGTCATGGAGCCTTTGTACTTGGAGCTTTTTAAGAACTATTCAGCCAAATATTTGTGAGGAACAATAATGACAACTGATCCTGCCTAGGAAGGAGAGGATGGACTACATGCCATTTCAAGGTCACCTTGAGCTTTGTTACTTTACAGAGGGCAGAAAGAACAAATCTGCAAAATACATATCAGGGCAAGTATAGCCTCTTAAAATGTTTCACTAGAAAAGGATCACTTGTTCATTTACATTAGCATTACTTAGATACTTAGAACAAGATTGTAAAGTTTGCTTAGCCCAATAGGAAAAAAATACATAATTAATTCTAGAAGGTACTTACACTGGCATTTTTTTTAAAACATTATGTATGATTCTGAAAGATCAAAGGTATCACTGACACTACAGCTTCAAAGGCCCACCTGCCCCAACAACCACCACAAAAAATTATCAGCACTGAAAAGAATGGAAAGAACATGAAGTTAAAAAAAAAATGGGGGGGGGGCAATAAAGCAAAATCACACAATTAGAAAGAAAATTCAAGCTTACTGCTTCACCAGTTTTTCCAAGGTTTCCTTGGTCTCCTTGTTCTCCCTAGTAAATGGGAAAACAGATGATGTATTTCATTAGAAATGTAATTTCTTTCATATGCGCATATTAAATTTCTCTATTTTCCTAAGAGCCTCTTTATTTTCCAAATTGCAGCAGCCAATTAAAACTTTCAAGAGTAAAATTATGCAACTGAGAAAAAAAGAATTTTATCTGTGGCTAATTTTGATTTTGTAATGAGGAGTTACTGCTCCTCATTACTGCTGTAATTCCTCTGTTTATGATAGAATTGCCCACAGAAATGAAAGCTCTTTATTAAGCACTTACTAAGTATATCATCAGCAAATGTTACAAATAAATGATGTATTCTTCATTTAAATCTTCCTTTTAGGAAATAAAATTATGCATATTATTTCAAAATTGCTTCAAAAGTTACCTGTACATATTATTGATATTTCAAGTTTGTCATAAAATGCTATACTGCAAAAGTAACAAATTAYTCAAGTATTATGTTTATCTATTTCAAAATGGCCTTAGTCCATATTGATGATGGTAAAAGATGTTTTAAATCAATATTTGGAATGATATTTTAACAAACCATTTTCTCTTTCCAAAAATCCTATGCTTGGAACTGTTRGATCAAAATCTGTTCCCCTTAATACGCTGCGAGTCAGGGTTCTACACAGTATTAATTATTTGTGTATGACCACAATTCCAGTGTCTCATGTGCACTCACACCCTTTCTCTGGCATATGTGGATGTCGTCCACAGTTGATACTTCAAACACCTTTTATCTCATACATAAAAAATGACTTACCTTTAATCCTTCTGGTCCAGGGTCACCCACATAACCTTTCCGCCCCGGCCTTCCCTAAAATAAAGATTAGTGCAAAGCATTTCAAATGTTTTTACAAGATAAATAGCTAAATTAGGGTAAAATTATCAAAATATGTACCCTCCAAAATAGACATGGCTTAGTAATAGTTAACACCTGTGTTAATACTAATACTTCACATTATGTTTCATATGAAACATAATACTTCATATCAAATAACATTAGAGAGGCTGCAGCCTGTGGACAGCAACCCAAGGCCTACRTGAGTATCTAGCACGTTCTTCTTTCAATAGCTTAGAGAAACTAAGCAGTCACGAGGCCAATGATGTACACGTTTTCCATTGAGAAAAACCAAGAACAAGTTAATTGAGGTCAAACTGACCCAAAAGGGATCAAAAATATTTCACTTTGGTGGGTTGCACAGAATTTGTTTCCTCTTGGGTCACTTTGACACCAACTGATGGCAGCCTGTGTGTGTGGTGATGCACAACAACATGAAGGTAGGGTCTGCTCTGCAGCTCCTCTTCCCCCAGTGCCATTGTACAACGTGGATGATGCTGTCCAGTCACCAAGCCCTGCCCAAGGAGGAGATAAAGGATGAGGCAGCCAACACAAAAATTTCCATGAGGCTCTTGGCAGGCCTTCAGGCACACGAAGCTCAATATCCAACTGAGTCACAAAGTGTTTTGAAATTCTATTTTTTTTTTTTAAATTTTTGTCAGCTAGAAGTAAACTGTTTTAAAACTTTTAATCTAATGCAYGGTGAAAATAAGTTTTTAATATCCTATCTAAATGGGATGGGAATGCCAAATTTTGATTAGCTTTATCATAGAGGCAAGATAGCTAATGAACAGGAAAAATGACATAGGAACACATTTATTCTAGAGCTGGGAACAGGGGGTAAAGTTTTCCCAAGTCCATGTAAGAAATGGGAAGTTATCCAAAAATGAAGGTCAAGACAATTATTCTCCCCACATAAGCCAATTAAGTAAAGGCAGAGGTTCATATTGSTTTCAGTAAAGTTAGCAACAGACCTCTGGATGCTACTATAGACCATTACTCACTTCTAACTCAGACTTTTTCTAAAAATAAGCTTCAAGTCCCTCAAAAAAATGCTTAGCAGTAGAATTCAGTTGCGAAAACAGACAACTGAAGTTATCTTCTAAAATGTGTCGATACAAATGGTTTTGAGACATTCCAATTTTACTGCTTTGAGAAGCTATTAATTTATAGTTACAGAATGATTTCTTAAAACAGCAGCCCTTTATATTGCTCTCTGAGCTGACTCCCATGCTCTCTGTTCTCWTCTCTGTATTCTGATAATACCACCTGTTTCAGCCATAGGACATGCACACTGTGGTTTCTTCTGTCTCAGAAACTTGACCACTTTGTTACCGAATCTTTTTCCTTTCCAAAGTTTTTATTTTGTAAACAGTGGTAGTGGTTTCATCCCAGTTCCTGCATACGGAAAATGACTTCTTTCTGCTCTCATTAGAGGACATACTTCAAAAAGAGATGCATTTATTCAAAAGGTACTATTTTGACAGTCATTTTTCACAGTAATGTTTTCCTCCAAGGGAAAAGTTCTTCTGGTGTTGAAAAATAGTCTGCAGTAACAGATTTAATTATACTTACTCTTGGTCCAATTCCTCCAATAGGTCCAACTGGTCCTACTTCTCCCTACAAAAAATGAAGGCTTCAGTAACCTTGATATCAAGTGCAGCTTTTACTAAAAATCTGCAGACTATTTACATACATATATATGCCATCTTAAGTTGGTTCATATATGCATTTATGGGTCTTTAAGTCTGAGAGAAACATTGAGATAAAGTATTCTGACCCCAGTTAAAGTAATTAGCTCAAAAGTCATGCCCCATGCAACAGCAGGCAAGTTTTTTAATTTAAAAAACTTTGGATTTTGGGCAGGGAGAGACTCTGCAACAATGGCCAACCTCTCTCTGACCTATGGTTACTTTCCTTCTAGCAGCATTTGACACCTGAGGACTATATGAGCACAGGCACATTCCTGATTTTTCCAAATCAGCCAAGCTGTTTCATGCTTGTTTGGAGGGATAGAGGTGTGTGTGGTGTGTGTGTGTGTGGTGTGTGTGTGTGGTGTGTGTGTGTGTGTGGTGTGTGTGTGTGTGTGGTGTGTGTGTGTGTGTGGTGTGTGTGTGTGTGTTGGGGGGAGGGAGTCAGGCTGTTACTCCCAGCAACGTAATTTTCAGAGGTTTAAAGGAGAAGAAAGGAGACACAGCCTAGCCTGCTGTGCGCACTGACATAATCACCCATGACAGGGAGCAGCAGTGTTAACTCTTCAGGGTAGCCTCACTATAAAGTTATACTGAAGCACCATCTGTATCAATGGCGTGTCAGGATGTCGTGCTGTGATCATTTCACAGTTCACTAATCTCTCTCAATAAAGAAGATTCGCCTCGGCTTTGGGGGCAGGCAGCACACAAGCTTTTCAATTCCAAACAATATGCAGCAAAGGAATTGAGAAACCCTAACTTCCTGGTTTCTAACAAAACAGATGTTAGCCAGTTGACACTATTAGCCTTTAATCACTCATAACCTATCACAACAGACCACAATTAAGTGAGCTACTCAGAAGTCCAAAGCATATCCTCAGGTTCATCAATTAAATAATTTTTAAAATTATTTTAGCATGAGACATGACTTTTTATGGTGATAAAAAAGTAATATTTAATAAACTTACAAGCTGAAAAGCTGCTTTCCTCCACATTCAGGTTTATTACTTAGTGCTAGAATATTGTAATTAAGTTCATATAACCTTTTTCTCYCATCCCTACCCCCACCACACTTTAACTAAAAACTTTGTACAAGAGTGGACCTGAATTCCCTGGGATTCCACTGAGACCATGGAAATAAAACCTCACAGCACCACTAAAAGCTCTATGTAACACTTGCCAACATGCAATAAATGTGAAATCTTGCATGACAACACCATAAATACCTACTGTTATCAGCTAAAAATCTCTCTCAACTTTTTCTTTAAAAGCAAACTGTTGATTAGATATGTTTTCCATCTTACCTCCAGTCCTTTGGGGCCTGCTGGCCCTGGAGGCCCTCGGTCACCAAGAAGTCCCTAAGCATCAGAACAAYGACAGTGAGCCCTTACATCAACTAAAAAGAGGTCTAAAAAACCTCTTACAAACCTAGACAGAAATAGAAGAAAAGTGAGGAAGTAGACCTCATTACTTACTGTTGTCCTTTTCCCTTAGGCAATCAACAGTAGACATAGCAGAATTTTAACATCTGTTGATAAACTGAGTATCTTACAATTTTAAAGTACATAGATTTTTCTAAGACTTCTTTTTCTTTCTTTTGAAGAAGAAATAACAAAAATGGATCTTACAAAGGAACAACTGCTCTTCTAGGAAGACATWAATCAGGCCACTACACTAAGATTAAAGGAGAACCAATGCAACTYATTTTGGCATAGGCACAGCGTAACAGTTGATGATGAGTTTGCAATGGAAGTGAACTACAAAGTGAATTTGGACTATCAGATTGTGCAGACCTACTAGTGATTTTCAGTCCTTACTTCCCCATCAGAATAACAGTCAGCATCCCAGAGATAAAGAACCTCAACCTCTGGCAACTCTGAGTTTCCGCATCTGTTCACAGCAACATTTCCAAAACTTAGTTAAARTGACCTAGCAGCTACTATAGCAGTAACTACTGTGTGTCAAAAATCTCAGCCATCCAAACTACRTGGCAGTAATTGGGAAAAGCAGTTGAACTGATGTAGGACAATTAAAAAAAAAATATGTAAACATACCTTTCCAAAACATTTCTAGTACATTTAGCAATATCAGATAAATCAATGTGAAGCAAGAAACCACCTTTTGGGAGAGATATGATTAGCCTCTGTCTCTGAAGAAAGAGAGGGTGGGAAACTTCCAAGTGTAAACCTGATCAATGTCCTACTAATGAAGCTGAAGTCCAGGCTGAAGGTGCAGGCATTGGTCCAGTAACAATATACTTAGCACACAAAGTAAAATGGAGCAAAAATGGGGGAGCTTGAGGTACTAAATTTCATCACCGAACCCATCAGTCTACAAAAGCTTGAGGTGGAGAACTGCAGTGTGACAGGCCACTACAAAAGCAACAGGAAGGCTTTAGTAGCTCCACGTAAATAATATTCTTGGGTAGTCAGGAATTCTTTCTTTGGCAGAAGTGTACGTTCATTGCAACAACAAAATACATGAAGAGATATGGTTTTCAGTATAATGTAGTTGCACAGTGGAAATATTAGCAACACTGCTACTGCATGAACCCTTAAAATTAACTAACTTGGAACTGGAAAAAAAGCCCTTTAAAACTTTCAAAAGGTTATTAAGACTAAATTCATCTTCTATTTCTGCTTTGAGATTTCAGCCAAACAACAGCAAAAAAGTAGTGCTGGAGATGTACCAGCATGGCTGGAAAGAACCTGGGGGAATCAACAAATGGAAGTACCTTATATTTTTCATACATATAACTTTCCAGTTGACTATCCCTTCCAGGACTAGGGGGACTCCTAGTAGCTCCAAGTGTTAAATATGTTAGCAAAACAAAACATCAAATAGCAAAAGAAGGAAGTTCTCAACTACTTCCCTAGTATAACAAATATTACTGGAAAAACTAGTTCAGTAGTCAAAATGTCAGTTTTTTCCTCTTTTCTTGGTTGTGGAACAGAAATTCTTACAAGAATAACATAGAAAATAAACAGAAATATTCAGAATTTCTCAAAGGAAATTTTTTTTTTTTCCCTTTTACATAAGCATGCCTTTTTATGAGCAGTGGATCAAGATCAAACACCTCCTTAAACATGGTTTCCAAAATGAATAATGTTTTGTAGACCAAATTACATAATACAGTCTTCGAACATCACTTTAGGGATGTCAGATTTGCTGATTACTACCCTAACTTGGAGGAAATGGACAATCCAGRAGTRCTGCTGGTTTTTAGAGGTGGCTGAYGATGCTCACAGAGCTTAAGCTTTCCACCATGAGGACGAATTTCTCCCATGTCAGCTGCTAAGAACTGAAGATTACCTTGCCTTCTTGGCTTTTAAAATGGGTACTGCTTCTGATGAAGCATAAAACAAAAGTTTAAGGAAAGTAAAGTGAAAACAGATTAAAAAAGCTGTGTGAAAATTTTTAAAACTTTAGTCAACACAGGACATCTGGGAATCCTGAAAGCCAAACATTTCCAGCATTATGCAGCCCTCCATCAATATTAAAAGYAACGTGTATTTGAGATAGTATTACCAAACTGGAAATATAAACCACCAATTCTGCTTGTTTAGAGCAGGCTGCCTATGTTTTCTGCCTCATTTGCAAATGTGCATGAAGCACCAAATCTTGCTCAGCTGTGTAATTTCTGTACCTAAGGAAAGCTAAATCCAAAATAAACTTTGTGCATTACCTCTTCGCACCTTTTTTTTTTTTTTTTTTTGATAGAATTTGGGTGAAAAGACACTAGATCAATACTGTGCATCTAAGACATTTTAACTAATTTTGTATTTTGTTGTATGACAAATAATATGATCTCGYTTAGCAAAGGAATTGAACACTGGTATTAGATCTCAGTTTCAGCATTCATGTACCAGTAGTTTGGATAATTAAACTTGATCTACAGTTCAAGAATCCTTTAATTTCCCCCTTTCTATGTTCCCTAAACATAATCTTTTATCAAAGGCTCTTTTTAGGCACTCTGATAATTCACCATTCTCAGAAACACAGGAGCAACTACCACTGCAACATTCAATCATTCATAAAAGGCTGTCAACATCATACATAAAAATAAGAAAATCAAGCTAATGAAGCTATAAAAGAAAATGAAATGCATTAAAAGGTCTGTGCCTGTCTCTGGAAACTTTGTTTTCTCCTCTCTGYCTCATCAAACATTGAGTTTTCAGCCACCCTAGTGGACTGGCCTATTTTGGGAAAATGATCTTGACACAGTTCAAACAGATGCAACAAAAATTGGATTGAGATGTTCTCCAGAATGATGAATTTTGGCATAGACTCGTTATTACCATTTTCCATTTTTAGACCACTTAATAGTTCCCTGTCCTGCTTTTTCATAAGCAAGCAGCCTTGAAATATCACTGCTCTGCTGATATCACTGGTCTTATTTCCATCTCAGTTTATTCACAGACAGCTCACATACTTGGTCCTTGGTCCATTGTCACTGTTGGTCTTGCACAGTTCTTTTGTCTCCTTGATTTCTGCCCTCTACTTTACCTACACAATTCAGACAGGCCTTTTGTTTTGGTGAGAAAAATAAACCATCTCTTGTAGCACAGTCATTCAGACACTATCTCCATCTACACCCATTTGACTGGGTCTTTCGTGAATACAAATGCTTGGAACTGCATGTGCTACTTAGATAAAGTCTTTCCATGCTTTGTACAATGGCATTAACAAAATTCTTTGCCTAATGCATTCTAGAATTGCATTTCATCTCAAGCAGCCTTATCATGCTGTTCCRTCAAAGAGACCTGTCAGTGTCTTTCCTTCTACTGTGGCAAACTGTCCGAAATCTTGAGTTTACAGTAGGATTTATTGTTTTAACCCCTGCATGCATGAGTYTGGAGCAACAGAAGCAGATGAATTGGTACAAAGGACTTTTTAACAAAACAACAGCCAACTTGTTTCCTTATACAAATTTCATTCTGACATTATTTATTGCTGAAAATAGGATAGGCAAGAATAGTCTTAATAATGATAAATGAGGAACCTCACYGGACTTTCTTTTCAACTACAAATAACTAATCTTTACCTTACCTTCCTATAGGCTAAACAACTCAATCACCTCCCTACAGGTTAATTTCTGAACTACCAACATTTTTTTGTACTGTTCTCTACCTTTTTGATTTTGAGCAAAATTACCAGGACATGCTTTTATCCAAAACTTAGTTGTAAGCTTTATATGTGGAAATTATTGCCTAAGCTTGATTTAAATTATTAGTTCTCTACTAAAGATGTTCAATTAATCTGGCACAGTCTATGCTTTATTAGGTGCATATGAATTTTATCCATTTTCCATATTTTTAATTATTAATCCCCTCAAAATTTGTTCAAAAATACCATGTACTATTCAAGTGAATTTATAAAGGTCTGTGTGCATTTGGAACTCATTTTTTCTTATTTAAATAAAGGTGAAATATTTACTACTTTCTAACTATATGGTGCTCCCTCCAAGTTTTCTTGTACCTGACTAGCCCTTATGTTTCCATCTAACACCAAGTTACCCTTATAACAGTGTGGACAGCATGAAGCATTACACTGACTTCCTCACATAAACACCAGAGGCGAAGTCCAAGTGGTCTGACAGCAGCATTGCCCTCTCATGATGCCAGTGTCCATCTTGCACAGCTGCCCCTCAGATTTACACTGGTGCTGCTGCTGTGCATCAAGTTCCAAGGAGTCTTACCTTTGGACCTTCAGGGCCATTTGCTCCGGGCACACCAATATCTCCTGGAAAACCCTAAATAAATCACACAAACAATTTGTAAGGCAGGAATGTTTCCAGTATTCTTGTTTTGATCCTGTTTGTTCATTTAAGAAATTTAACAAATTTGAACCACGGAAACRAAGAAATTGGTTTGTTCGACCATCCCCAGAATGTCAAAGTCCATTAAGTTCCCCTGACAGGACTTGGATAAATGACAGATTTTAGGCAGCTTTCATTAAACTCCATTTAGCAGATGTCAGTATGGATTTCATTTCTCTTAACATGAGACTTGTTATCCACTAAACAACATTTATAATTAAAGCATTGAACTGGTCTTGATATACAAAAAACCCACAAAGCAGAAAGCACCACACCTCAGACTCAAGAATCCAAAATAAAATCCAAAATAAAATCCAAAATAAAATCCAAAATAAAATCCAAAATAAAATCCAAAATAAAATCCAAAATAATGAAGCTCTTTAATCCTTGGCTTCACTTTAAGGCTCAGATCACTGCAAGATTAAGAAAACAGTAGAACACTTTTTGTGCCTAAATCAGCAGGTACTAATCTAGCAGTAGGTTCTAACCTAGTTCTGGTCAGCAGCAAGTGAAGGGCACTTGCAAATAATACTATTCAGAGCAAGTCTTTGTGAAGTAGTGTTTGTTAGAGATCCAGTTGTTGGTAAAGAACCAAACAAATATGCAATGGAAATGAATCACTTATAATTATATCACCTAAAGCTATTTGGCCCGTGAGCACTGAGTGGGCCTCAATGGAGATGCTTCCATGTGCTCCAAGTAGCYGGCTTTGCAAGGAAGGTTATCGAGAGGAAACAAAAACGAACGCTGCTAACCCCTACAACACAAACATTAGTGAGTTTAGTTTCAGAAACACTCCCTGAAGAAATATAATCTTTGCACATCATGGAAGCAAAAGCACTGCACATGCTGAAAATATTTTAAAGAACATTTCATAAAGAAATTCCAGCATGAAATTCCCTCTGGGCACTCTTCCATACTGCAGGCTAATGCATGTCAACAGTGAAGCTTCAGGAGTAATTTTTAGTTTTTTCAAGCACAAGAGAGGCATACAAAATTGTCTCATTAGGAACAGTTAGCTGCACTCTGTTTTCCCAAAAACCACCAAGCAGGAAATACAGCTGATAATCATTTTAATGATTATTTAAAATTGTTTGATACCAATCACAGAACACTTGACAGAAAGGTGAAGTCAGACTAAAGCAGGAACTTGACAAAATATACTACTTTTTCTGTAAGCAGAACAGTAGAGCTGCCACATAATAATAATTTTTTAAAAGCATTTAAGGCATCACTGTTAGCTGATGAGCTTTCTTCTACTTCTTATAAATTGTTCTTAAGAGGATGAAAATAGAGTTATAGATAAGATAGATAGGTAAACAGAATGTAAATATTGTTAGATGTGTTTATTTAATAAATCTGAAATAAATGTAGGAAATAAAGTTCATGATTTCTTAAAAAAAAAAAATCTAAAAAAAACCCAAGTGGTAAAAGAGTTCAGTTGAATTTTCAGGATAACTGAAACCAACCTAACATGCCATGTTTCACAACTGTATCAAAATGATCATTTCTGTTTGCAACAAAACAATAATTACTACCAGAGTTGTGCAAAATCTCCAACATGCCTCTAGGTGGCACATGGTTTATTAYTCACAGGTGGCAAGGCAGCCAGATTGTTACCTAAGTTATATCAGTGGATCAGCCTAAATTTCAGAATAGTTCTTAAGAAATTTGCCAATAAAAACCAGCCCCATTTACTTATTGAATTATACTGCAGAGTTAAGCCAGTAAATTAACAATGGAAGTTGTTAAGCCATCCTTTAATATTCTTAGATTTGATGAGCTTACAGGCACACAATAATTAAAGGAAGGAACCTTTATGATTTTCTAATGTGTCAAAATGCACTAAACATGCCATAGAGACAGCTCTCCTAATGCTAATAAATATTCCAGAAAATATCTTGTCAAAGAACATGTCTACTTAGAAAGACTTCTATGTTTTTATATGGAAATTCACATAAATATTTCCAGAGGGCATCAGTAAGAACTACAAGATCTAAGTGTTGACAAGTGCCATGAGTTACAACAATCATTCAATTTAGAAATGTTGCTATTTCAAAGTCTTAGGATACAAGACGGCTATTAGGCTGAAAGCACCAAACTGAGCAACGCTAAACGTTTAAAATCTTCATTGTTTCTCTTTGCTATGTGTCTTTTTTTTTTTTTTTTTTTCCCCTCTTCTTCCTCCTCCTGACAGCAGCACCTACAAAGAAAGTGCAGGAAAAGAAAACGAATGGAGGGTTTTTTTTTTTCCCTCCCCAAAACAACAGCTGCTTTTCCCATAAAGTCATTCTAGAATAAAACATAAAATCATTATTCTCGCATAAAGAAAAGGCCAGGAAATCAACAGATAATTTATAGCTGTAATAGGTAATTTTCTGCTGAGATCCTTCAGAACAGAATATTAGTAGATACCATGAGTTCTTCTAAAGAAATGCAGAGGGTAGACTCCGGATTTTGCCATCAGTCTGATGTCTGGCAGCTGTAGGTTACAAAATATTTTCAAGCTTTTGCAGTCAACATGGCCTTTTGCCAGCAAAGCACTTTAGAGTTTACTTAGTTTAATCATAATAGTAGTAGCAGTATCAAAAATCACTGAAATACCAGCTATCTCAAAACACAGATGATTTAATCTCACCATGAAAACATTGATTTTTGTGCTATGTTTAACCATGAAATATGTTTCATAAAGAAACAACAACAAAAATACTCTAATATTTATTATCTATATAATAAATAACCAAACCCTAAAGAGACTGATGGATTGTTAGGACTTAACCAGTGAATGCCTTTTAGCTCTGCAGTCAGTCCTTGGAGATGGCAGCTGCACAAGCTCACGCTTTGCCCCTTTCTGTGGGGCTGCTRATCGGGAGCCGACTGTTAAAAGCCTGGAGCACACGCTCCATTTCCACCAGCAACTCCCCTGCACTTGCAGCATCCAACTGCTCCTGGGGTTTTCCGCAAGACAGGCTCTAACACCCTCTACTTACTGAGGGGATCCCCAGGTATCCTCAGCAGGGCTGGGACAGGAGCTCTGCAAGGGCAACAGCCTCTCCTGGGACTGTGAAAGCTCCTTCACTTGACAAGCTCCCCCGCTCAGAGATGATCTCATTCAGTTATGTGCAATGCTTCACTTGAATGACAACATAGAATGAATTTTCAGTGGTGATAGTGACTAAATGTAGCCCCTGAATYCCAACAGGAAGCTTAATTAAAGCTTTTGTAATTAAAGGGAGATTCCTGCATAATACTACAACCTCTCTAGACCAAACAAATGAGAGAGATAATTTGGCATTCTCATACAAGAAGCATTTGTGATTCTTCTGAAAACACGAGCAATCTATGCAGACACACAATTTTACTCAGAAAGAGAAGTGTCACACCTCTCTGAGGTCTCACACCACTCAATCTGAAAAAGACAAACCTGTAAGAAAGCAAATCCAATGGAAAATATTTATGAAAGTCTGTAAAAACACACTAGGACCTAGGAGGAACTGGTTAAAAAAATTGGTTCAAGATACTACGCAAGGTTAAGCAGGAAGGCTTTCTGCAGACAGAACAGTTSTTCAGACACATGCCAAAGCATGCAAATAATTCAGCTATAAAATTATCTTCATTTCTGTATTCTCTCCAAGTCATTTATATATTAACTGATTTTATTGCTAAGTTTGATAAGTTATTCAATTTATTTAATACTAAAAAGGCTATTGCATTCATGGCATTGTTGGCACAGCCTCAAAACATCAGGTGGTAAGATAAAAACGTGCATTAAAAACTTCTTTTGTTTCAAAATGAACAATTTAAAGCAGCCAATGATTCACTTACAAAAAATGTGCCTCTTTGTTTATTATTATATGAATATATTCTATTGCTTTGTAATGTTATTGCCTTAAGCATGAAACATATAGCAGCTGAATCCCATATGAGTACCTTCCTGAAAGAATGAGCTAAATACTTCAAAATAATCCAGAGATGAAATAAAGTTCTACTGAAGATAACGACTGATACTCTCTCTACTCCAGATGAAAACTATTTAGAATACTCAGAGYACATCTGAAGGCAACTATCATCCCCAATCCTGGGGGATAATTCAATATCATTCTTAGAGCAAAATTTACCTACAAGTAAAATGCTATGGCTACATGACTGTTAAAACCTATTCTAATTTCATTTATCTTAGAATATCCATTACACACCTAGCTTTAAACATCCTAGAGAGTTGTAAATTTAGATGTTCATTTTTAGATGCACAAAGCAGGTAACCTTATAAACCTTGTGCTGGAGAATACACTCTGAAAAGGACTTGCTCATGTGCTGTGTTTTCGGAGGAACAGGTATGTTCACCCTGAAACAGCCCCTAACTCTGTGCCCTAATGCCCAGAAGAGGATTTGCCTTAAACACTGTAAGACCTCCACACAAAGAAGAGGGAAAAAAAAAAAGTACATGGGGCRGCCAAGCACTGCATAGCTGCCCAAGGGACAGGGACAAGGCCCCTGTTGCTCCCTCCTTACAGAGCTGGGCTCAGCACCGCAGCCCCCGGCGCAGCTTCGCCCCAAGTGCTAATTTTGCCCCAAGCAGCTAATTTAGGCTGTTTGTTTTTCAAGCAAGTGCCACTACCACCCTTCCTGGAAGGCAGACAGGATGTCGTGTTCAGATCACCTTCAAATCACTCTCGTTCCGAGAAATTACTCACTACAGTTCTGAGGTCTGTACGGACTATTTCCAGAAGGATAAATGAGAACATGTAACAGGAATTGAACATGTCCATTTTCTACATGGGGTCACAAAATGTCCAAGCATTCAGATAAAGAAAGGAGAATGGGGAGAACAGGGAAAACAGCTCTGTTCGACCTGACAGCTGCCCATTTCTGGAGGTCTTGAAAGAAACATGACTAGAGATGCACTGGCAGGAAAAACTGCAGCAATTGCCCATACATCACATATCCCAGCGTGTCTAGATAGCTCCTGCCAATAACCATTAGCTAYTTCTATAAGGTATAAATCAACAATGAAAATAAGACATAATCTTCAAATTTAAGAGGATATTTATTCTTCCTTTTATTAAAGAACTTCTGGAATTTCCAATTTCTTCAAGATCCTGGTATACAGCTGTTCTGTCTCCCTTACATTTGTGCTATAACCATATGGTGACCATGTTTTTGTGTGTGCAAACAGGACAGGCAAAATTCACTTTGTTTCATAAGGGTTTGGCTTATGTGAGTAAAGGTATGAGATGCATTGCTTTGCAGCTTCAAATCTGACATTTTGCTGTCAAATATTTGAAGAAAAACACTTGGTCACTCATGATTTGATTATCTATCCAGAAACAATTTGCCTTCAAGTGCCTGAAGTAATTCTGCTCTGCCAAGCTGAGTGTGACCACGGCACAAGCTTCAGGACCGACAATTTGTCGGAGGACAGAGGATGTGGGGATTTCTTCTGCTTATAGAGRAGCTACTCACAAAATGTGAAATCAAAATGTGAATTTAATACCATTCTACTTGAACAGTATTAATATTTTAATATCCCCAGTCACTAAAACATACTAGCTTATTCTGAACAGACCATCCTGTGAAGCTAAACACATTTCCTGGCAAGTTTACTCTCAGCAAGGACTTGTCTTCAGCAAGAAAGTCCACATTCTGCAACACCAGTGAAACCTGCAGTAACTAACAAGGTGATAACACACAACTTTCTCTTTGAGGATAGAGCCCTTGGCTTCCCAGTTACCATGGGTGAGAGCTCAGAACCTCTGTTTGAAGAAAAATGCTCCTACAGTTATAGGAGGTCTTGTAAGACCAGAACAATCAAACTAGCTACTATGTATCTTATGAATATATGCATTTTTATATATATACACACACACATATATATAAAGAAAGCTTCTGTGGGAGGAAGCAGATTAAAAAAAATGAATATTTGCTGTCTTCAGCATCTGTGTGTGTAGATGCTTGCATTTCCTGTCAAGTCCACAGTATTTTTATTTTTTCCATAGCTCATGACCCAAAACAAGGGAAAAAAATGAATCAAAAGAATCGAGTTCCAAAAAGCAAAAGAATTGAGTGCCATAAAGCACCCAAATGTAACAACTGAGGACTTCCAAAATATTTAACAGTTCCTAGTTAACTACTGTGCCAGAATCAAATACTTAATGATGCTTCCCATGTAACCGGTGTCCATTCTTTGCATTCCTTCCAACTTTTTTTTTTTAAGAAAGTAGTATTCTTCCAGGCTTGAAAGATTCTGTTTGTAAACACATTGTGGAATTTGTGAGTGAAAGCATATCTCAGATGGGAGTACATGGGATGAGGGTAATCCTACATCACTTGGATTCACATAAGAACTGATTCCAACTGCATATGCAAATGAGGTACTTATGCTGTATTAAAGGATATAGTATATTAATATTTTGCTTTAGAAAATATGGGGTTTTTGTACCTTAAGGAAAATTAACCGATTAGCCTATAGGATAGGACTAGATAAACAGTACTTGCAGATTCAGCTAAGTCAAAATATTTGTGGGAAAAAAAAAAGAAAACAAATCCATCTGACTGATTTTTATAATTTAAAAATAAATGACATGAAATTTAAATTTCATCAAGTAATTTCTTACCTCAGGACCTGGAGGACCCAATGGTCCCTGTGATCCAGGATCTCCAATTTTTCCCTTAAAAGAATACAGACTGTTAGGTTTTGGTTAACCAATTATATAWTAAGTAATAGACTCTTAAGATTGAAAAAAATATATATTTATGGAAACCAACAAAACTGTTCAGATGACTTTTCTATTAAGCAGTTAGTTTCATACTGCTCTATTAATTACAGACTCACTCTTCACGCCTTGTTTAAATTACAAGGAATAAATGCCTCTGAATTGCCCTGAGATTTTATGAGATTTTTCCATGCTCTCTGCAAATTCAGTTAGCCCAAACGGTCATCTAGGCCAGTCCCAAAGCTCCTAGTGAATCTAGTTCTTACACTGCCACGATGACTATTTCCCTGAAAGTAACTGTCACATACAGAATGCCAAACGTCTTAAGTAATTCCCATTTGAAATCTGACATAATATATGCTGATCTTTATAACATAACTCAGGCATGTGAGGATGTGACTCAGAAATCAATTATAACTGACTAGAAATAAAGCTAATTTAGTCTTTTTTTTTTTGAGTATTTTAACATAAGTGGCTCCTAGAGGATTATATGTGGCCTACATGTAAGACACAGAAGTATCAAATATAACATGCAGTGATATACTGAGAGAGAAAAAAATAAAGTTTAAACTTACAGGAGGTCCTGGCTTTCCTCTGATCCCTGGTGGTCCTGGTAAGCCAACAGCACCCTGAAAAATAAAATAAACAAACAAACAAAAAAAAAAMCCAAGCAACTAAATACAAATTAAAATGGATCATTGCCTTATGTTGAAAGCAATAAACAGGCTGGTATCACTTTGCCACCCAAAGTACTCTTCAAAATCAATCTGTGGGATCTCAAATGAATTCAGCAAAAGAGTTCTCAGAGGATACACTATTTTAGTGACTTCTGATTTAACAGTTAAAGAACTGAATGCTTGTCGTAATTATGCATTAAGCAGATCATGGGCTGCTGTTAGCCAAAGTTGGTCCAGATGAAGTCCAAATGAACTCTCAGGATCAATGGGAATTATCTTGTTCAACAGCCTCTGAGCAGCTTTCAATAAATAGATGACACCAAACCCTGAACACGTGACAGCCAGAATTCTGCCATGCATTTTATGTGTYGTCATTCACTGCTTTCCCAAGTGAGTTTTAATTAATATAGCATTTTTCAAAACTGTGGTACCCTGTAATTTTAGTACTGCATTCTGCTTTTAACTAACTGAGTTGCTGTACTTCAAAAGACTCCAAAAACCTAAAGAAGTTGCTGGAATTGGACTAGTCTGTAGAACAGTGCAATTAGAAATTACCTTGTCTCCTGGGTACCCCTGGTCTCCTGGTTCTCCTGCAAGGCCATGTTCACCCTAAACAACACATTATTTTATACAGATATATGTATGTGGTTTATAACATGGTAGTTCTCAAAATTAGAGAAGGAGAAAAATACAATCAGTGCTTATTATTTAAAAGCCTAGCACAGAATGTCTTTGAGCTAGGATTTACAGCACCTAGCAAACCTTACAGACACACTATATACCATTTTGTTCATTAAAAGTTCTCTGTTCAGAAGTAATTTTGTCTAAATGATCAGATTCCAGGTCTGAAATACTTTATAAAGAGAAAAAAACAGAAGAGAAAAGAAATCAAAATAAAAACAGAAGGCTTTGTCAAGCATGTTATTTGGCTCAAGATTTTATAAAACACTGACAAAATTGTATTTCTAGGATAAAGGAAATATTTAAATCACCTTATCACCTTTCATTCCAGGCTGTCCTGCACTCCCTGGAAGACCCTGTTAAAGTGAAGAAAATAAAAATCCAAAGCTTGTCTATATCTCAGAAAGCAGGGAAGGCACCGGGGCTGTGGGAGCATTTCACACCGTACCATGGGCCCTGGAATTCCTGCTGGTCCGCCTGGTCCCGCTGGCCCAGCACCTCCCTAGGAGACAGCAGAAAAGGCAACTGCATTAAATGTTTGCTGAAATCTGGTAACTTTGAGACTGGTAGCGCAATATGGTGCTTTCTGTGCCATAGACACAAGCCAAAAATCTTTGTTAGTCTAATTTCCTGAAGGAAAGCACCCATACTATAAGTCCTCCACCATCAGGATTCCCATCCACATCAGTAATGCCAGAAAACAATTTTCCCTCCTCTTTTGAGGAGTAAGTATCCAGAARTAAATGGTGTGCAGGCTGATGTTGATTAAGGAATCTTTCATCTCTATCTTTCCTCTCTGCCTTTGGTGTAATAGGAATATCAGTATTCTGCAAGCATCAAATTTGGCATAAATGAATTATTCTGCTGTTGATGGTAGCATTTTGTAAAAAGCAGGGTTTTTTTTAAATCTTTCATTGACTTGAAGATGAAAAAAAGTAATTCTCCCCCAATTGCACCAAGTGTGCAGAGAGGGAAACAAAAAAAAGTATTTAAAAGATCAACACAGCATCACTACATTAGGGAAAGATGGTTAGATGGTTCATTTTTAAGGGAAAAAAWTGGTTTGGTCATTGCAGTAGCAGGTTTTCTCAAAATCCCCATCTTACTAAAACTCATGGCCTTGCAAATCATGAGAGACTGACTGCTCAGCCAGCCAAAACTCTAAACTTGGCAGGAGTTTTAATATATTGAAAAACTCATGGAAGGAAGGAATTCTTGGACTCGGCTTGCCCATGCTGCTTGCTTTACCATTGTTCTCATGAACAAACATAAAAGCATAATTAGTTCTGGACTGTGCATGCAGCTGGGTTGGACAAGCTACTTGAATTAATTTTGTTGGCTTCCGCTAGTATAATATTTAATCTGGTGCTCAACATTGCGTCTTTGTAATGGTATAATGTGATACAATTGACTAAGTGTTCTAGGACGAATATTAAGGTCTCTCTTTGCTTGGTTCTGGATGACCCTCAGCACTTGCTTGAACAGAGTGACGTGAAAATTGAGGCCAGAACTTGGGAGTGCACAAGCCCATGTGGAGAGAGCAGGTGCGGGGCAGGAACTCTGCAACAGYCGCAAGACTGCAATAGTTTCTTGTAAAGAAAATACAGGTAGAGATTAACTCCTCCCATTATCTTACTGTTTGGGAAACTGGGAACAACATCACTAAGACACCCAGAGGGGTGCACAGGGCTGGTCACACCGATGTACTGCATGAGCCCAAGACTCATCTTGTTAGCTACCAAAGTTTTTTTCAGTCATGTATTGACCTTAGTTTTAAACCACACAGATTTGCTGGTGCTTTGGAAGCTTCCCAAGGCTGTTGAGAAATTTTGAGAAAATATTGGTGGACCCTTCCCCTCAACTGCAAAGTCTTCCTGAACCAGTAAGGTCTTATCAGCCAGGAAGTCTGCTGTTCTCAAGCAGCATTTTTGTCTCAAGGAAGCAAGATGGTATTAGATATGTAATAGGTATCAGGCTGTCAGAAGGTCGCACAGTGACCCTACCTATTTATACATAATGTGTATATATATATATATATACACACACACATATACATATATACACACACACACACACACACACAGAGTCCTCTCTGGAAGGAAAAGACCCAAATTGTCACTTTTCATAAATAAAACCATAAGCAAGAGCAGCTTAGGTTGATAAATACACATGACTAGGAAGCAAACCTTGATTTTTCTCTTCATTTTAAGGAAAAAAATATGCAGAGTAAGCATGCACATAACTATGGTGCTTTACACAGCTGAAACGGTGCAAAGGGCCCCAAAGTGAGAGGTGGTAGCTCACACTGATGGAGCTCACATGCAGAATCTTTAGACACTGTGTGCTGGTCAACATCACACACGGACAGAAAAGTTAGATGGCCATCAGGGTAAACTAACCAAGTTTTCAATAATGTTTTAGAGATCAAGACAAAGAAACAAAACCCCCCCCACACAATCAAGGCTTTCTTTATTCAAGTGTAAATATGCTGTTTTCTCCCACATATTATGAACTACAAACAAGGCTGGGTAACCATATTCAGCTGAGCCAACATGGACAATCAAACTCATGTCATCTGTCAGTAAACACATGAATTATTTGAAATAAGGGAATAAGGCCACACAGCCTCAAAGTGTCACAGATGCTCTTATCCCTTGTACAGTACACCCAYGTTGTGAGACACGCTCTGGTGTGACTGCCTTGATACAGCTACAGTCTGCAACTACATAATGGGTAACAAAAGCTTATTCTAAGAATGTATCTAAAAAGGAACATTTGAAGACAATGAAGAAAAACAGACATGAAAAAAGAAATTCAGCCACAGAAGATCAGAAACAGGAATATAAATAGAAAAATACTATCTGGATGCTCCACACTACCATACAGATGCACAAGCAATATGAAAGCCAATTTTGTGATCTTAACTGCACCAGTGGCTAATGAAAAAGTCTAAATAATTCCCTGAATCCAATCAAAATAAATGGATGTCTACTCACTCTTAGTCCTGGAAACCCAGGAGGTCCAACACCGCCAACAATTCCCTTAAAAGATAAGTAACTTTAGATTATCGGAATTTTAGTATTTTAACAAATTATCAGTTCTACTAAGATAAATAAAAATCATCTGCAAAATAAATTGGAATTTATCTAGGGAGATCCTGAAAAGTGTCAGCTTGCCATTGTGTAAAGAAATACACATACTGAAATCCTTGACTGTGAAATCAGATATTCGTGCAATAAAGTCATTCCCATGTTAGTCAGGAATGCCAGATTTGATATCCTGGTATTTTAAGAGACAAGACGAAAAAACAAGAGGGATGGCAGAGGACTCCATAAGACACTATCAAGGTTACATTCTCCTTATGGAAAACTACTACTTGATGTGAACAAGTCCCTCCAGGCCTCAAGGTTACATTCTCCTTATGGAAAACTACTACTTGATGTGAACAAGTCCCTCCAGGCCATCACCCTTCCTGCAGACTGGCCCAGTCTCTGTGACCAGGAACTCCATGGAAATCCTGCCAAGGGCTCGCCGCAGTCTGACATGCTCTGACATTGCCCCAACAGGGTCTCCTCAGAAAACACAAAATAATTTTCTCCCATGTCTCAAAATTCTGGCACTGGAGGATAACAATTGCATGAGCAATATTTGCGGCAGCTCTTCTTAAACGATTTTCCAATCTCGGGTCAGGAAAGGGCAGGTCTTTAGCAAGAAAACCAGCTCTGCCCATTTCCAAAAGCAGCTGATAGCAGTTTCCAAAAAGGAGACCCAGCAGTGAGATCAGACTGAAAGTGCCCTTTGCTTGTGTGGCTCAAAGCTTTTGCACTGGTTTCTCCTATCAAAAGAAACCTGGGCTTGGAGTCTGCGCGAGAGCTTCCCTACAAACAGGGTGAGAAAAGGCAAAGCTCCTCGGAGCACAGGCAGTGAAGCAGTGTAGGCACCACAGCCTGAGGGCTGCAGCAGCAGCGCACTTCAGCCTGCGAGCACTGCCAGGGATGGAGCTACTACCACACTGATCATAACCCACTAAGTAGTGRCATACCAGGAATAATGCGTTCAGTATCATTCAAAGCATAAAATCATAAAACCAACTATCAAATGCACTAGCATTCAAAAGCCAAGGTTTTGGTACACAAATTCAGAATGCCTTTTTTTTTTTTAATGGGATCCTAGAATTATGGTTTAAATAAAGAATGCAAAAAATATCCAATGCMAGAATTTCTGAAGGCAAAACAGTAATCAGTAATACAAGAGGGACAAGAACATAGCTCACTCTTCAGGTAGCCAGCACCTGTGGCACTGAAACTGCTGGGAGCACTAACTTCTTCCCTTTCACTTTACGTCCACTGCTCACTTCAGTACTGACCTAGCACTTTCCACATTTAAGTAGCAAATCTTGCCACAGGCTTCAGAAGTTTGCTTTTCAGAAAAAAAAAATCCATTTCTATTTTGGAAGTGTTATTCATGAATGTTATGTATTTTACCATGTTAACACAAAATTTGATACTTACAGGATTCCCATCTGGACCAGGTGGTCCTCTGTTCCCAAAGTCACCTGGAAAACCCTAAAGCGGAAAAGAGAAGGTTGTTCTTTAGGAACCAGACACAAATGATGGTTTGAGCATCAAAGTCGTACAGATTTAAAAATTGACATCAGCAGCAGGGTTTGGGAGGGAGACAGAGAAAAGGTAGAATTTTTCAGCCTACTCTTCAASTGGTGTTTGGTGTTTTATAAAATCGTATCCAAAAAGATGCGATTACATACTGCAAGTGAAGGATAAAAATGAGTGCTTTGAGAGCACTATTACAGCAATGCAAGTCAGATTATTGGTGCTTGGAGTCTATTTCCTTCGTTGGTGCTTTTACCTCAATTTTTTTCTCCTGTGGCCCACAGAATTCACTAAAACATTCCATCTTTCACTCTCTTCTTACTGTTCCCCAATACTGTTCCAGACCCAGAGTGAGAAATGTGCAGTAGAAATCAGATTTTCCACTCTGGCACAATACTCTCCTCACCAGTGTGAGCACTTGCCTTCCTCGGTCTGCATCCAGAGATAGAAACAATAATGCAAACAAGATACAGGGAAGCCTCATTCATTTTGATCAGTTTTTGCAATAGAGCTTAGGTATCAGAGATAGCAATCCTTCTTTAACACAAGGATGCAGAAGAAATTAGACYGGCCCAGTAAAACATTAAAGCATCCTGTAAAGCAAGATTAACTTGTTACCCTTTTCTAATAGCATAATATTTTGGTTGGGATGTGAACTGTTAGAAGAGGTAAAATTGAGATAATGTACATGAGTATTTAAAAAAAAAGTCAGCAAAAGGGAAATGGAGAATGCGATGGGAGAGTTTTTCCAGTGAYCAGATCACAAACACAGCTTGCAGATTACTACTTACGTACAGCACAAAAACACAATGCCATGGATTATTAAGGAGACATTGCCCACATTATCGTAACTCCATTCTCAAGAGCATGAGTCTAACTGATGCCAATAAAACTATTTTAGTAAGCAGAAAAAGAGAAARATTTCCAACCTAGGAAAACGGTCAGAAAAGTCTAAAATTGGAAGTAGTTTAATAGTACTACTGTGCAACAAATGTTTTACTACATCAATATTATCTAACACGTTACTATAAAACATATGAAGGAAGACTATTCCTAATAGAAAACAGAACCTTAACTGCTTTTGCACAGTTACAATGTACTAGACTAATAAATTCCTGGTACAGTTTATAAAGTCTGTCACGTTGACTGCTGGTTGTAACTAGTCCTATGTAGAAAAAAAACTATGTTAAAAAATCTCCCTAAATGTGGTCTAACTACATACAAAAAAWACCACATCAGAGTAACATGACAGACAACGCATTAGAAATACTGCAGAATTAGCCAAATTTTGTACTATAAGCAAACAACAAAAAGAAATGGGATACATATGCTTTGGCTATAAAGCATTTTTTTTTTWAAGTGAATATCCTACCAAGCTCAACCAAATCCCCACTCTAATCTTCATAATAAAGATTTTGGCAAMTGAATATTTTGTTCCATTTCAAATATGCCAAACATTACAACTACTCAAAGTTACTACTCAGCAAGCCTTCTAAGTGGTTAACATTTTGAATATCAATGGTATAGTCCCTTGTCAAGTATCAAATATATTACCTGTCAGTCTCTTAAGATGAGAAACTAAAGATCAGCAAGTCTAATTGCCCTATCTATGATCTTTCTAATATGCTCTGTAGTTTTCAATCCTTATTAAATATTAAATGAACTACTTTATCCAGTGGAAGACCACAGTCTCCACTTTTTATATTTCAGATTACTTTCCAAAAAATGAGATCATATTCAGGCTTTGTTTTCTTCCAGAAGGAACTTTGCCAGTCAGACTATTCCTTTTCCAGGATTATTATTGTCAGAAAATGYGTCCAAAGAAATAAGCTGCATCCTAGACAGGGCCAGGCATCCGATCTCAGGCACATTCCCATGCCAAGCACCCTTTAGTGACAACATGCAGCCCCAGATCCCTGGGGAACTCTTAGCTCTCTGACGGTGCCTTTGCCCCAGCGTCCACCACAGCTACTGTTATCTGGCAACAAGGGAAAATCTCTGTCTAGCAAAGCACACTAAGCCAGGCTCCCATTTAACTGCTTTGCTGGATTGGTCACTATATTGGGAGACTTTAGCCAAGTAGGTGCTTTATGGGCAACAGAAAGGCTTTTGAATGACATTGGGATTGTGGAAATGACAACATTACAGGGGAACGAGCACTCAAAGGTTAGTCAGCAACATGGCACAGAGGCACTCTCAGTGACGTCTCTTGTGTATTAAACAATTTCAGATTGATTTTTATAACTTAAAAGCCCTCATCAGAGCACGATGTGGTACTGAGGCTGTGTTCTCGTAATAAATGAGACAAGTGCACAGGGCACACAGCGCCAGCCCAGAGGGACAGACACAAACCACCACACTGGCAATCAGAGGCTGCAGTGACATCTGCCACTGAGAATGAGACTGTAAAGCCCAACAGGTTTGCAGAGCACCCTCCTGCCACCTCCTCTGCTTTACGCCCCCTGAGCACAAGCCCTCCGTTTCCCTTCTACATTAACTGCGTCGTGTGACTCACTGACACGAGCACACTACCAACTACTGCAGTATATTGAGGGACAGACTTGTCCTTGTACACTSCTCTCATGCAAAGCCGTAGAGTTTAATTCACACTATAAGCAAACTATAACATGTTCAAAAAGCATAGAAGCATCCTTATTAGCTGAATAACTAAAAAACAGAACCTTACTTTGACGTTATACCTTAACAATTTAATAGCAGCTTCAGAAAGAGCAGTTTATTTGTCTAATGACACTTCTATGTGTACCTTTCTTTACACAATAGACCTCTATCGAAGGCTAGTGTCTTTTTCATATGATGGTAGCAAAACATAGTAAATAAAAAAATTAAACAGAATTCTCCACAATTTTTATAGCAGACATCTGCTAGAGGAAAGGGAACAGTACTGCTGCAAAAGCATGTTCAAAGTGCTATATGGAAGTCATCTGAAATGCTAAGTGCAAGAGGGTGCATGACTGGGGATTGCTATTGCTGTTTCCAATAGCAAACCACAAGCTAAAATTGGAAACTCCTGGATAGCTTCAAAGATCTCAAATAATAAGGTCACAGCAGAAAACAAAAGACTCGGCACAGAAGATAAACCGCAGAAATAATGTAAGCCTTGATAATGTAGGCTTGGAAGATCTGTGTTTATTTTCAGTTGTAGAAATATAYGGTAAGCATAGAATAGCTTTAATTTACCATAGCCCAGAAATATCAGACATTRGAAGGTGCTGATTTGCATTTTAAACAGCACCAAAATTAAACTTCTAAAACTTGCAWCATATCTAGACCTTGGACAAACACTAATTTTAAAAGAATGTATTTCTGTGCTTCTGTACTTTAACCGTCCTGAAGGTGACATKAATAACCATCCACAAGGCTCATCATGTCAAGCCTTCTTCACTTCAGTACTTGTACTAGGAAACAAGAGAAAGCTTTCTGCAGAAAATACAGAAGTAAACKTTTTCACATCATGCAGTGACTTACAGGGCCATTTATGCAGAAATGATAAGCGTCAGAACTCTTACCTGTCTCCCTTTAGGGCCTCTTTTGCCATGCAGACCTGGAATGCCCTGGGAAGAGATAGCCCATCATAACTAGGTTTTCTTCTCTTCAATAATTTAAAATCAGGAAATTAAATTTCCACTCAATTGGAAAGCATAGTTTGAGAACAAGCACCATAAAGAAAAGACTTGAGCAAAGAATCATAAAGCCAGTGTCCTATAAGGGGCACATATATATATATATATTTTTTTTTTTTTAAATCAATTTTGCCTGTTGACAAAGGGTCAAATGAACGGTAACATCTTCTGTATTTTTTCAGGAATCAGTTCTGATATACACTGCTTCCTTAACATATTGCATTTCCACACAAATTCCAATACTTCACTGTATATGCATKTCATTAAACTATCAATCTTTCTTTAAACATACCCTTTCTCCTTCAGGTCCAGGTTGTCCTGCCATGCCTGGAGGTCCAATGAATCCCTTAAAACATAAAAACACTTCTTTTAAAAAAGGCTRCTTCCTACCAACACTACTTCGCCTTGGTATTGGTCAGCTGTGAGTTCAAGATCCAAGGATTAATTCATAATTTACTTTCCAATCAACTACAAAAACAACTCACTATGATACATGTAGCAAAWACACTAACCATACAAAGAAAGTGTTCCAAAAAGTCAAAGTTGCGGAGAGCTCTAATAAATGAAATATGTAATAGAAGTTACTAAAATTTGTCTTTAAAATGTGTTATAAAAATCATAACATGTTCGTTATCCTGAATAACTTTCCTGGTAGTTCTTATATACAAGTGTCCCAGAGAGTTTATACGCAGAATGTTTCCCTTAAAATAAAGTCACAATGTATTTCCCTCTCACCTTCTCCTTCAGAAAGACAGAAATACATTTTCATTTCAAGTCAGCCTTCCTGTGTTTTTGCATGGTACCATAGCTCTTCCATGGTGATTGTAAAATGTGCGGAGAAACAGACTTTTTGCTAAATCCATCGCCAAATGTGTTACTTCAATATGAAAAGTCAATGGGTCCTCCTTCTGTGGAGGACCCATTAAGACAAGTGACTTGCTAAACACTGGGTAAGAGAGGTCAGGTCACTGAGACATGCTCACAAGCCAGACAGTTAAGAACTAATTAAAAGAACAGATAGGTAGAAGAAAGAAAAAAGAAAAGGAAAGAAAAATCCCTGAAATCAAGATATTCAGAAGTGGAGAACTTGTTGTTTGAGCACCTTTAGAAAATACTTTTCTCTCTGGCTGACTCAATTTTTCTTTCTACCACTATATAGATCTCAGAAGTCTCATCCTTTTTCCCMCCTATCTTTCTCCCATCACATATATCAAACCCTATAATGAAAATTATAAAAGCAGGACATTTTTCCTGACAGGAATCTTCATAACTACATGATAAATAACATATATGCAATCTTTTCTAAATGATAATAGCAAGTCAAGTTAGACTGTTGCAATGCTCATGAAGTGTGTGATTTCCAAGTGTTTCCCTCTCTTCAGGTCTTGCTTGTTGGTCACTCAATTCCCGTAAAATGTGCAAAAGCTTCCAGGTCCCTATGCTTTTTTACTGCATTTTCTTAAATGACTGTATGTGCAAGTATTTTATATGCTGTCTCATAAGGCTTGTAAATTACCTCTTGTAGCACTGCTTAATTATTGCTTAATTTTGTTACACTTGGTAGCTCATTTTTCATGCTTCCATTGGGGTGCACATACTATACTACATGGATATAAAGACACACTCTATATTCATTAAAAAATGACAGTACACTTTACAGATAGAAGTATGATAAAGTGATTTTTCATTACCAGATTTAAACTGAAATTGTAACAAAGATGTGAGCAACAACAACAAAAAATCATGATTTCATACATCCCTCTCTAGGCCTCTGAGTGTAATTAAATATTTTTTACTCATTCTTTCATGGTACTCTGCAAGTCAGTGCCCATCTTGATATCTAACCCTAGTGAAAACCAAGGAAACAAAGGCACTTCCCCCCCCCCCACAGCTCCTTAAAACAGCCGAAAAGCAGAATATAGCTTTCATGTAGGACTGATCTAAACTTAAAGCTCTTAAGGGATCATGCATTGTAATACATGACCAGGAATCCCGTAACCAAATTCCTCTGTGGCACACTAGCATAATCGCTATCCATAGGGCTGCATTGTCCTTTTTATTGTCAATTCACACAAAGGAGCACAAGCCTTACGACCTGATACTTCATTTCCCTAGCATTACCGATACACTACTAAAGGTTAATCATCTTCAGTTTTGTATCAAGAGAAAAAAAGTAACTTTTCAAGAGCGACTGAGATCACTTAATGTTTTGTTTGTTAGAAAGAATTGATAATTCTTCTCAATTCTGCATTGAGAATCTATGCAGAAGTCAAGAGAAGAAATGCAAGAGAGATGCAGTCCCTGAGGGTACCTGTGGGCACTAGATCATGACAAAGGAATTTTTCCCATCAAGGTAATGAAAAAAGACACAAAGAATTTTCCAAAGTCTAAAACCCTGTTCCAGGTGAAGGTAGTCTCCTCCTCTACCTCAGAAGGCAGTCTGAGTATTCTCCTTTTAAAAGCAAAGGCCAAAACCAAGTCTAGCAAGACGATGAGCTTATTTTAACAGAAATTTGGAAATACAGCATGCTGCTCTGCTATCTGTACAATGTGAGCACTGTAGAGCTGAGGGCCTGAGAGTGCCTCATGAAAGGCCCCTTCAAATCCCAGATGCAGCCAGCTGCAAGCAGGATACAGAACACCCCTGTCACTACCAGACCTGGAGAGCTGTCCTCAAGGAATATTTACACATGGAAGCACATGTATGCATGGGCATGTGCCTATTTAAAAAAGAAAAAGAAGAGCCAACCAATTTTTTTTTCTGCCCTGTGGACAATCAAGTTAACCTTGCACCTGCAAAGCACAGAAATTAAACCTTCAGTCTCTGGAATAGGTATCATTGGCTGAACTATTTAAAAATCTTGATGATATTGACTTTTATGCTTTTCATGCAACAGGACTGCTTCCCTTTATCAACTGCTGTAGCAGCTACAGATTGCAAATGCCAGATCTGTCTTCCCTCTTGACAGTTCCCATTATGGAAATAGTGCTTCAGGCAGGAAACATTTGCTCCTCTTCACTCCCAGCTCTCACAGCCACGTTCAGCACTGCTTTCCTCTGCTTGTCTGTACACATTCCAAGTGAGAGGAAGAGCAACAATACAAGCCTGCTCTATATTGCTCCCTGCTTACCGTGGAGRGAAAAGAAAGCAATAAAAAGTAGTAAATCCTTAAACTTATTTTGAAAACAACACTGATTTCTCACTTGTGGATTCTGCAAAGACCAGATCCAGATGATTGAGTGGACAAACAACTGTCAGGGTTCCTCCAGTCCCCGTTCTCATGTACTCTATGTATAAAAGTACAGTCATGCATGCCAAAATGCTTAAAATGCTTACTTACTCTTACACCTTTAGGACCTGGGTTACCTTCTGGGCCCGCTAAACCCTATTACAAAAAGACATGACTTTTACTTCACTCTAACAAAACAGAAATGCTATTTAAGAGAAATATAACAGTAACTGTTAACCACAAACAGACAATGCATCTTTCAGAATTTTAGGTGTTTAAGAGAGTGTCACCAAGGACCATATTCAGAAAGGTCTCCCCTTAATTCATGCCTGAATCTAACACAGTGACCGAAAGTTTATTTACATTAAACTGATTTCTTCTAGGAGGATTTCTTTTTCCAGATCCAGTGATCTGGCATTACAGTGACATCATTTCACAGGGTGTTTTTTTTTTTTTTAATGACACGTTTCCAATTCTTTTAAAGCCAACCTCAGAAGAGCATGTGCAGACCAAATGGTCTAAAAATTATACATGATTAAACACAATCACATTATCATCCACTACAGTATAAGATACGTTAATACAGTTTCAAAATATACAAGCCTACAAAAACAACTCAATAAATTGGTGAAATATTGATTAAATTCACCCTTTAAGCAGATAMGAAACCAACAGAACTCAATAGCTGAATCTGGCTCACATATCTCTATGTAGGGAAAAACAATGAATATTTTTTCTTTATGTATTTATATTACCAGACCAAGGTATCAATTTTTATACAAGTGCTTGTCTTTATAGAGAGATGGCAAGTGCTTGTATTTTAAGACAGACAGTTCCCAATTTCGTCGGTTCTCAATTACCTGAACAGAAAACAAAACAAAACACTTAATTTTCTACAAAAAGCTGGAAAAATAGTTTCAGCAGTAAATATACTGGTGCAAATTAAGAGGAAGTTTCCAGCTGCACCTGAATTAAAAAAGTTCAAACCTAGAGCATAATAAGAGGTTTATGAAAGAGTAAAGTGTTTAGACATTCAGTGCTTTGCTAATGGATTTGTGTGTGTGCGCGCCAGAAAGGTGTAAAATTTCTATATCTAAATCACCCAGGGCCAGGTTTAAAAGGCATAAAGGACTATCGGTGAAAGTGGTGTGGTTTAAACATAAATGATACTATGCAAACCAATGCATTTACACTATTAGCAATTCTATAAGTTAGACAAGACTTTTTAAAAAAGTACAAGAGATCAAAGTAATCAGTCAGCTTTCCAATGTTCATCTGTCCAAAGCTCTACACACATTAAATCATATTAAAATTTACCATGGGGGAAATCAGATGAGGGAGAAATGAAGAGAATGATTTGAACAAATACCCTATATCAGATATTTTTAAATTAAAAAAAAAAAAAAAAAAAAAAAGAAAGAATGAAACAAAGACATTAGTATAGTTACTGCACCTGCCTGCCAGGGTAACCAACTGCTCCAGTACTGCCAGCCATTCCTGGAATTCCCTAAACAGCAAAGTCAAAACCAAACAAATAAACAACAAACAAAAAATCCCAACATATGTTAATGTCAGTTTTAGAGCTTATTATCTTGTAAGTCCTATTAATATGAACGAATTTAACTGCAGTGAAAATTTGCTTTTTGTGCTCGAGTAAAATCCCACAAATTACTATATATGTAATTTCAGCTACCTTTCCTTGGGAAAGCATTGCAAGTGGAGTGGGCCAAGATATTGTGAAATATGATAAAGCAAAATATCAAATTCCAGAATGAAAGCCATATACTATATTTATAAAAAGCTATTGAAAAGGTCTGCAGAAGACCAGTCTTTAAGATGAAGTATCTGCACTTATCTTAGGTATATCAGAACAGACGTTTTGAAGATTTAAAGAAGAATTAGCTTTGTAAAGAATGGCAGAAGTTCCCCCAGAATCAGGTCAATATAGCACTAGATTAGTCATGAATGTATTGAACCTTTTTCCATCTTTCTTCCTAATCAGGTCCAAAAGTTATTTTTGTTGTTTGTTTTATTACTCAACATCTGTGCATCTGAGTTTATTTTCAGAAAAAAATGCATCTTTCTGAAATGGTGCCAAATGGCCTGGCTTTATCACAGAGCCACTGGAAGCTCCATCCACCTCTGCTMAGTGAATTTGATTTCGAGCAGGCCAAGCCCAAAAACTGAACACTCTCCCAGCCTGACCCTTCCACTTGCTGTCCAAGTCAGGACTTCCTCCCTGAGCTGTTCACAGCTGATCTATGGTGAAACAGCTGCCTTGGGAAGCAAACTGAAAAGTGCAGAGACAAAAWGGTTGCAATGTTTTTTGTTTGTATGAGCTGCCACCAAGCTGATTCTGTCGTTTGCTTTCAACTGGTTGTGATTCTCCTTGTAACGTATGTTATACCACAGAACTGGGATCTATGGTCTCCTACTCTAGCTTAGATGGATCTCAGAAAAAATTACATACATGTAAGAAGAAACTCAAAAAGCAGCAGAATTATTGCATTTACAACTTCATTTTTAAAACACCTCCATTCACAGCTCTTCAAGGAATCCAACAATTCACTGATTCAAGGAATGTGTCTCTTTGCTGTAAAAGATTCTGAAAATGCAGATATGCCAGTGCTACAGAGAAGTGGTAACTGGTCTAATTCATCACATTCTCCAGCCAGGCATGAACACAGCAGCAATACATACAACTTACAAGACAAAACATTTTCCTCCCAAAGTGTTCTCCGTAAGGCTGGTTATTTGCCCTTATTTTTATATTTTAAAAAATACTGACAGAAGAAGTATGGCAAATCTGAGACACTACACTGCCAAATATCCTAAACTTGAATGTATCTAATGGCCTTAAAGGAATTTGCACACTTGACTGCATAATTGGCAGAATTATTCTTCAACGCAAGCCTCAATTCTTTCCTCCATGGTAACCAATTAGTCGCTTTTCACCAGCGCCTACTTTAAAGTTGAGATACACTTCTCCTGAAGCTAACAATGCTATTTTTTTCCTCCACTGGCTATCTTTMTCTCCCTGTTAAATTATAGTCTACTCAGAAAAATCCCAGTGGGCCTGTAATAAAAGTCACCACTCATTCAGTTAAGATTTGTGTCAAACTCAGTTAAAGCTACAGATAATGATCATGAGTGTTTATCTCCCTTCTGGTGATTATCAGATGTTATCATTACCATTTCTCTTTCAGTATTGTTACAAGAGAAGYTCATGTTTCCACTTATACTGCAATTGAGATTCCCATTATTGCTAATAAGAGGCATCAGCAAGGAACCATCTATGAAACACACTCAAATTACACCCTCAACTGGCATGGAAGTGTGAAGAAAGCACCGACCAACCACTTCATTCTCTACATACTAGGAGATAAAAAATGCATTAAGTCAGCAGACATTTTAAAAGAATTTGAACTGTGCCTCYAAGAGGAATTTTACACCAACATCTGCCAAGCCAGTGAGGTGGCCGAAGAAAACAAGCTGGCCTTTTCTGTTTCATTTGGGACATTTTCTTTGCACTGATCTCTCGAGAGTCTGAATTCTTGGTCAGGAATTTTTGATCATTTCCTAAATGAGTCAGTAATTTGCATTGATTGCTTATGCTGAATGCTTGCATTGGATCAGGCCTTCTTCTGTCTTCCCCTATTCCCATGTACTCTACAGCATATTGTGCTCTGCCATCACTTACCGGCTCGCCCTGTGGCCCTCGCAGTCCCAGATAACCCTTGACACCCTGCAAGTAATGGAACAAATGTGAGATAAATACAGTTAAACACACAAAATTAACCTTTTCTTCTAGCTTCAAATGCTCCTCAGAGTTTATCAAAGCTTGTTTGCAGAATTAGTGTTGTTTGTGTTCAGCAGCTCACAAGAGCAAAATAAGAAAGAGGAGGTAAGGAACATTCATGGCAGTTGACAATTTCAGGGTATCAGTGTGGTTACAAACCTGCTTTCATTAAACAAATGAGTACACTGGATGTCTTCCCCAGTGACTGTTGTAAACGGGGATTTGGATTTATTCCAATGCATTTCTACATTCCAAATCCTTGCTGCAATTCCCTCTCCAAACAAGGCAGTTCAAAGGAAAAGACATAAGCAGGGTGTCATCTCAGATTGCTTTAGGGTATTCTCTAGAAAGAAAGAAAGACCTTCCAGGACCCAGGATGTCTATTTGTCTCTATTTTTTTTAATATTAGAGAAAATACCAGGTCATATTATATTATGGAACTTATCCCACTGAAGAAACCAGCCCATTCCTTAACACAGAAATCTTCCCTGTGATGTTGGAAGTTGAAGCTGACAAACTTTTTGGCCCATTCTGTGTTACATATGCTGTTCGTATCTGAGTTTTAGTCTTTTGCTGCATTTAAAGGTTCAATCAAAATATAGTGCTAGAAAAAAGTATTTTATTTCTGGAGAAAAGGACGGTAGGTGCTACTAAGCACTTTTGAGAGTTCCCACGTAGCAGAATTCAGTTTTAAGGTGAATGAGCTTAGCTGATCAGCAGCTGCAAGGACACTCTCAGAAGAGAGACCCACAACTATGAGACAAAGCAGGATGCCTAACCACAGACTGCATGGTTTTACACCACAGAAGCTAACTCCTGACAGAGGATAACTGCTGCACACTCCTAGGTTAGAGCAGTATGTTCATACTGCTTTTCAGAATTGMCATGGTCTTCACTCAGTGCAACTTAGTTGGGAAGGAATCTAAATTATGTTAAAGTGAGTATTATTCCAAGGAGAGAGTTTACACCTGGAGGTTTCTGGTGACTTAGAAGTCTAAGAGGATTAGCTAAATTTTTAAGTCTACGTTCATATTCCTGAGCATACTCATATATAAATAAGTCCCCTTATGCCTTCAGTTAAGATGAAAGTAAACAAGAACAACCACAATTTAACATGTACACATTTGAGAAATGAAATACCTCCCCAATTCTAATGATGATTAATATTTTGATTTGAAAACTAAAAGAGAAAGGTTTAAAGTTTCCAATTATTCCAATGCAGTTTCTAAACTGCACACTACTAAAATACAGTAAATGGCAAGAATACTTCTGTTTGCGTGAGAGAAAAAAACTTTACTGCCAACTGAAAGGACTCAGACAAGCCTTATAAGCCAGTTAAAGTTCCTGACTTCTACCATATGCCTAACACAGTGGGACACAGACTGAATGAAGTCTCTGTGTAGCAAAATAATACAGACATTAAATCATAACAGCAAGCACAGTTCAAGCCAAGCTATCTTAGTTGTGTTCATTCTATTTTATTAGATTTTTTTTCCCCACAACTACTATTAAAATACATTTGGCAACACAGGCAAGTTTAGTAGAAAAACAAAGAAGGTTCTGTGACTTCTAAAAAAATCAATAGATAAAGTCTTATACCACCACTACAAGCACTAGCTACAGAGAATATAAAACAAGTTAACCTAGGAAAAGAATCGAAGATCTGGAACCAAAAATTTCCTGCCATAGGGTAAGTCTAATAAATAAGTGTCCCACTCTGTCACAGGAACCTTTGCAATGACTACTTATCTTCATGTTTTCCTCATAAGACCAAGCTTTGTCTTGTCTGCTGACATTAGTAACACAACTAAGATTTCATCCAGCATCTCTTAGCTGGAATTTCCTAGGGAAGGAAATTTTTTTTYTGGCAAATTGACATAGGACAGATTTGAAGCTTAGTGTGCAGCGTTACTTTCAGAAGGAGCATATGGAAGGCTTCACTGGAAGCAGGCAGATGTGTCCAGCCTCTCTGCATGGAAGTTGTACTATTGGAGATGCAACTACTTCTACCTTGCAAACAGAGGCAAAATCAACCGGCTTAACTTCAGTTAGTTTAACATTATCATTATCCAAAGRAGTAAATGACAGGTTCTCTGCTCTCCACTCTCATTGCTCTATAGCTTGGGCACAGAAGCTCAAGGAAAATGGCACTCTCCACAAAAAGTACTAAGACACTCCGGGTTGCATACAGTTTACATTACCACAGCTACTGCCCTATGTTCATCTATTTGCCTTATTCTTCACAGAATACTGAGAAACATGGAACCCTTCTCAGAGCGCAATGAAGTTTTTCTCCTCTCTCTACACAAATCCTTCAATGTGTCTGATCATACTATATTTTAGCAGGTAAATTTTATCAGGATTTTCTGGAAACTGATTTCGATGCTTTACTATTAAACACATCAAACATACTGCAAAATAACTGGCCAATCTTTTTCTTTAAAAATGTTTTCAAACATCATCGGAAAGTACCTGTGACCACGCATGTGCTGCAGTCATTTTAGTACATTGGCACAAACTCAGGCAAATTTAACTTCCAGATCTCTGCTCTGAAGACTACTACCCTGTGGTTGACAAATCCATTCCCCATTTCTCTCTCTATTAGAGCTTACCTGTCCATACAGGGCAAGAAAGACTTTTTTTTAAAAGAAGGGAGGATGGATAAGAAGGGCSTTTCTCCCATGAGGTCTCTGAACTGTTAAAAGAAATGTTTTCTGAGCATTGATTTTGATGGAAACAAGAACAGCTCCAGATAGAAGATCCACACAAGTCTTCTGGAAATGGCATTCACCTCAAACGTAGTCTGATCTCCTGCCACTGCTTCTCTGTTTGAAAAGATGAAAAGAACTGGCCTCTAAACACTTCATAAACATACAATTATCAGTCCTTACACTAGAAGAAATTTGAAACCCTAAACTTCATATAAATGAGCAGAACAGCCTATTGAATTCCCTGCTACAGACAAGAGAATTAAGTCTTACTTAGTAGGCAGCCACAAGGACACATTACAGTAGCATGTAATGAAAAATAAAATTAATCACAATTATCTCTTTCCAGAATCTTGATTACTAACAAACTCTTGTTTTACTATTTCACAAAGAAAATCAGTGTCCAAAACAGTAGTTACCAGTACTATTGTGCTACACTGAAACCTTCAAAAATCAACTAAACACAAATATTCATAGAAAACACAAGCAATAATAGCGAGCACATGGCTATTCACAAATTATTTTGGTTCAAGAATTGAAAATAATATGCACAYTCACTCCAAATTTCCACAGCATATGTTTCTGTCTAAGTACTGACAATGGTATCATGGCACACACACACACAGAAGAATCAGAACCAGGTTAATAGTGACTAGGGAAAAATCTGTTAATAGTTTCGTGCATACTAGCACAAGAGCAGGCATGGCGATGCCCAGTGGAGGGCAGCAGTTATTGCTGTGGGCTCCTTTGCCAGCTTTAACACTGCAGCTCTTCAAAGCCACTGCGATGTTAATGGGAAGGGGATGCTGAGTTTCTTCAAGAAATGTGTAAACCTCAAGCTTAAGTCTTTCAGGAAAAGACAGAGGAAAAAATGAAAATAAACTACTGATGTGAAATTAACACAGATTTGCATTACATTATTAAAAAGTCTGGAAAAGCACAAGACTTGTTATTCAGTATCAAATACCTCACTGTTTAAAAATTCAGCACAAGCAAAGTCAAAAAAATCAAACAGAAGTTGGAGCAGCATTAATGAACATTTAAGATTTGTTTTTCTTCCTTTCCATATATGAATGAGAAAGATTATCAAAACTATATTATGTATTCAGTGCTACAGCAATTCCCCAGAAGCATTGGGCTATAAGACAAAAATTGGGCTATAAGACAGAAGTTTTGGGCTATAAGACAAAAACGAAAGTAKTCTTACGCAGTTTATCCTTTGAGCTTGAGTATCTCACAAAATAAAAATAACAAAATAAAAATAACTTCTAAGATCACAAGCTAGGAGCACAGGAGGATCTGACTGTTTACTTACAAAGCTTGAATAATGATAACTAAAGATGAAATACTTAAAACAACAAGATGAGGGCTTGCCATTAAAAAATAATAAAGCATAAAACACTTTGCAGGTGTAGTGCTGTTCAAAGGCTGGTATTCCTACAATCTGGGTCATGCAGTATTTATCCTAAACATGGTCTTAGTTAGTGTCTGATGTATAGGATGTGGAAACAGACTAAAGTTTCCAGTGATCAAGTAAGCTACGTTAACCCAGCGAGTCTCTAACCTTCAGATGAGGAGTGAATTCTTGTGGCAGGAAGAGAAAATGACCATGAGATTTTCATTTCCTTACTCCCAAACATCAGTCTCATAATCCAGAACAAATGACAGCTGCTTCCCATCTAAGAAAGGGAATTTAAGTTAAGACAAAACTGCTTTATTGACCAGGCAGAACCATCAGCCTGATGAAGTGGGAAAGTACTGTGCTTGGGAAGGGATTCTCAAAGTGTCCAATATTTGGCTATTACAAGGGCCATCAAAGTTCAGATTTTTAGGTTAACTCTTAGTAGAGGGGATGCAAATTCTTGTCAGAGTTACACATTTTCTCAATTCCCAGAACCATGAGCCACATGATTTTGAGAATTTCCAAACTGCTGGTGCTAATTCAGTAACAGGTGTTTTTCTTTTTTTCTTTTTTCTTTTTTTTCTTTTTTTCTTTTTTTTTTGGCTACAGTTTTAGTGTTTTTTTTGGTAAATTTGAAAAAAAAAACCCAAAGATTTGATTCCATCCCCCAAAAGAAACTATCATACAATTCTAGCAACAAGAGAATATTGATAACATTGACTGAACTAGTCTTAAAACTTAACACTCTTTTTTTTTTTTAACCTTTTTTCATACCTTTTTTTAACTTCAACAGCAGACAAGCTTTTATTAATTCCATCTTCAAATGTCATGAATGAGGCCAAGAATATCCAAGGCTTATCTTGCTAACAACTCATTTCATCCTTTGACAAATGTTTTGCGGGTGCCTTTAGTGTTATATAGTATTACAAAATTTTGTTCTACATTATCTGTTTTATATATTTTTCTGTTACATTTGCAACACACACACAAAAAGTCTTCTGCATAGATACTGATTAAAATCACTTTTTCCCATCTTGCTGATTCTCACTTCCTTTCAAAGGACTCCAACTCCACTCTGCTGCCACGAGTTCATTTAGTTTCAAGAAAGCTTTTGCGCTGATGACCCTGGAGTCTGACGTATTTGGCACTGTACCCCCACCTGGTCAAAACCCCATGCTCCTTCCATGATCTCATGACAACGAGATGCCCACTACTGGGCATGGATTTGAGTGAGAGAGGTTTATAGGAAAAATGGAATCTTACCTTCTGGCCTTTGATCCCAGGTGGGCCTGGAAAGCCTGCTGGGCCTGGATCCCCCTGTAAAACAAAACAGGCAGACCCACTGTGTTTCCTTGGAACATAACTCGGGGTACAAACATGCAGAATTTCCTGTTTGCTCTGCATTCTTGGACATTTGGGATGAAAAATTAGACAATTCCATCTTTATTGTGCTTGTATTTTTATTGATGCTGCCAGGCAGAGCAAGTGTCCTTCTGTGTCATGTACTGTGGTCAAATCACAGCTAGAGCAGACTCTGTTCATATCCTTAGAAGAATCACTACCAACCAACATGAGCAGGAATGAAGAGGCTAAATAATTCAAGACAGTCATTCCATAAGAAGTGAATAATTTCCCCACAAATTAACATATATCTCTAGCTATTACTATTTACTGTGTTAGACTTCAAGAAAAGGACTGGGCAGATGGAAGATTTTTTATAATTAATAGTACCTTTTCTCCACGTTTGGCTTTTCCTGGGGAGGATCCTGGATCTCCTTTAGGACCCTATTACAGAGAAATCAAACCCATTAATATCATCAGGGAACAGAGATTTTAAATCATATGGTCAGTAACAAATACTTTGACTGTTACAGCAAAAGGAAGTGGAATATTCAAAGGAATTGTACTTACTATTACAGTTTTGCTTTCTAATAGCCTTACTGGTAAAGAGCTATAACATAATAGAACAGTTAAAGCTTAGCCTGGAAYGAGATTTAAAGATTTTCTTAATTGCGTAATTTGCCAGAAAGATATTTAATAAAATCCAAATTTGTTTGCAACCTCAGTGCCAACATAGCGATACTCTCAGTTACACCTGTGCAGATGACCCGCTGTGCAGGCCTCATCTATCACGACAAGCTGAGASCAGCTGACTCAAGTTCTGTACAGTTATGTTTTAAACTCTTTTTTGATCTAAACCTATTAAAAGTTCTGCTTGAAGTGAACCCGATGTCTTGAGCCTCCTCCCTCCCATCACCACCGTAGCTCTCCACAGCACTAGCGTATCCCCAGAGCACAACGTAAGGACATTGTTTCCGACTGATAACATTTACCGCACTGTTCCCTGTTCACCCAAGGGAAACCCACCTCCATGACACTGCTGGCTGAGCCTCCCGTGGGGCCAGGGCACCCCATGGAGTTGGACCAGGCTCYCAGGGCCCTCATCCCACCTCCAGAGGCTTCAGTGCCCTGAGAGGCTCCATGGGGTGCCTGAAAACCCGATTCCAAGGTGGTTCACACTCATGTGCAGAGGGGTCCTGCTGGCCTACCAGCCCCAGTGACACCAGTGACACTCCAGGCCCAACATGTTGGTCCAGCCTGTGACACTGGGTGTCACAGCTCCCCAGAGGAGCCCGACGCCATGGTGAAGATAGGCCATGCTGCACTTAGAACAGTGCCAGAATCCACAAACTATATTTGCTTGAAACAATCCTCATGTATAATTGTAAGTGACTTCAGAAGACATCATACTGTTCATGAGGAGTTAAATGCTGCGGACCCTCAGCCATGAGTTATCACTGCTAACACACACCGGGAGAACAACCTGCCTCTCAGCTGGAAGCAATCACTCAAAACACGGCAAAACAAAATATAATTTTGTTCCATGTTTCACACAAGTGCATAAAGGATGCTTCAACATAGCAGGAAAAATGTTTGTACATCAAAGGCAGAATAAAATTATATCCTATGTTACTGCCAGAAAATTGTTCCAACTTATCTACTGTGCTTTAAGATTAAATAAAGTTTAAAGTTCTTCACTTCACCTTACACAGTCAGTGCAAGTCATCTTGTGGTTCATACTTAATCCTTGATGAGCACCTGGCTCATTTCTAAATTAAATTAAAACTGCATTAAAAGTTATTTCAACTGCAAAGTAACATATAGCCTAACAGAAACTGATTACTATGTTCTAGGAGTTAACACATGCATACATGTGTGTGTGAATATACATGTCTACACATAAAATTGCCTTCTATTCTGAAAGCATGGAATCTATCAGAGAACTCATCAGAACGATGATCTAATGCAGGGAGAAAATACATTGCAAAACAGGATAGAGTTCATTTATTTGTCTAGCAAGGTACTGTTCAATATACAGCCTCATAAAATAATAAACGGACATATAATACAAAGCTGAATTAGTTTATGGTGTCTAACATCACAAATTTTATTGCACATCTTTTTATGACCTCGAGCGCTTTCTAACACCTGTCATGACAGGTCAGATTCCTGCCATAAGGAGCTGCACTAAAACAAGTTATGGTTGCTTTTGCTTTTCCCTAACACATCTATCAAATTGTTCAAACTAGATATGAGTTGAAGGCATTTTGCAAATACACAAATCTGTCAAAACTATTTAAATGGCTTTCATTAAACAAGTTTGAAGGGTTTCCAGCTCCCCGATCTAGTATTTTTTTTGCTTTAGCTTTAAATATCACAGCCATAAATCAAGTATGAATGTCTGAAACATTGGCACATTTATACATGAAAGGTCAGACACTGGCAAAAAAGAAACAAAGAAGAATGTACGCAAAATGACTCAGGCTGTTCTTTGTTGTTGTTTTTAATCAAGGCAAAATGTTATAGCAATTAAATATTTATTCTCATTTAAATACCAGTTTAAGAGGCTGGACTGATTTACAGGAACTTTTTTGGGAAGCACAGATTACTTGCATAGATAAGAGTTTCCAGGTCATCAGTCTGTACAGAGGAATTTTTTTTCCCCCTCCATTTTGTCCCATATTTTTTTTCCCAGCTATTTTGTTTTGATCTTGAGTTCGGCTTGACTGGTTACATTTAAATTAAAATTGTTTACAATTGCAATCTCTATCTGTAAACCAATGAAGGCAAGTTGTTTCTATTATACAAAACTGTCTATAGCTTCCAAAAAGTGATTAAGTTCACATATTCAGTATGGATAAATTAACTCACCTTTGGACCTGGCAATCCTGGCAAACCTGGATTACCATGTGGTCCTGGAATACCCTATTAAAGAAGAAAAAAACAAAAATAAAGGGTGGGGAGGAGGGATTATTTAGTACTCCATTGAACAACTATGAACTGTTTGCAGAGAACCACTTTACAGCATCATTTTTGTTTTTAGAACCATCAGTTGAGATTTTAAGGATTCTGAAAATAAACAAACTTCTCAAAAATTACAAATGAAGGTAATACTTTCCTGTWTAAAACTCATTTTTATTGCCTTCCCATGTCATTCCCAACAGTTATCAAGGAGGTGGTCACTGCAGCATCATTCTACAGCTACAAAATATTCAAGCATGAGAATGAAACAGAAAAATTCTGATTATCTCATGCTGCGGTACACAGTCATGCATTACAAAAGGTGGGAATTTGATCAGCTCTCCCTGACTTCGAAAACAATTCAAATTTTTTTAACCAAACAAATCATTACTGGTGAAAACGAGTAGAAAGTGGGCTTGTTGCTGATACAGTTAGAGCACAACAATTTCAGTACTACAGAAACTAAGAGAAACAGAACGGGGTATTGGGGCCATCTATCTCTTGTTAAAACACTACCCAGGATAAACATTTRTTCCTGAGCTTGCTTTGTAACCCCAAGTCCTTGATAAACTAAGAGAAACGGAGGGAAATTTAAGGAAACATTGATCCTAAAGGCTGTAAAAGTAGCTATTTATTTCTTAAATCCAGAAGGACCAAATTAGTGAAAACCTTACCCCTGGTAACAAAGCTTTCGTTGACCCCACTAAAGTCAAGTCTTTACCCAAACAGTTCACCCAAACACCAAAATAAAAAACTGTTTCAACTCTCAAATTCAGTGGTTTTACAATGGATAAAATTCAAGGTTTATTTTTCCACCACATGACTAAATTTACCAATTACACCTTGCAGTAACTGACAGCTATACCTCTTAAGCACTGCCTCTCGCTAAGGATAACGTTGACATAACTCCATAGAAATGCTGATCCCACATGCTGTTGGAGAGATTAGTTTGCACACAGGCAACTTCACTGGCTCTCTCAGGGATTTAGGGAAACAGAAGCAAACAGAAAGTGTCAATGCAACCCCAGTACCAGCAGGGCTCCAAAGTGCAGGAAGTTGGGAGCATAAATGAAGGGCTGCAACACAGAGGGGCAAAAGCTTCCTGGCTACACAGAGGCCTCAGGGAATTTGATCTCGTTAGTTATCAAGTTCTGGGACAAGGCTGGTCCAAAAAATAAAGGTGCTCAAAACAGATTCCTGTTATTCCTGATAATACAGGGTTAGCCATTAAATTGGGGGATCCTGCCCATGATTCAGGAACACTGGCAATGCAGAGCATGCAAAGCTGAAGCAACTGAAAGAGCTGCTAGCTCTGATACAGGAGGATGATTTAAAAGCACTTGGGAAATGAGGTCAAGAAGATACGGACTGAATGGAACCATGCCTTCATATTATATTTTCAAATATTTCTGAGGCAATCCCCTTACCTTCTGCTGCTCTGAAGTGCCCAAGCAATACTCTGCCCTACTGACCTGTGCAGTTTCCTACCCAGCTGCTCCAGGTTTTGAATGCCAGTAAAGTGCAGGACACTTGGGATGGGTTTCAACATGCTCTTGAGCGACAGTCTGTTCAAATAATCCTTCAAATGCTGACTCAAAATTCCCACGCACCTGCCAAGTCTTCGCATAAACTCCTCTCTTCTCTCCCACTTGCCACGTGGCTTGTTGAGCACTCTCTGGCCACAGTCACCAGTGTGTCCCCAGCTCCCCAAACAGCTCAGCAAACCCTCCCTGGCTCGCACGTACCCAACACAGACACCCTCCAGAGGCACTTGCCAAGTATTCCTAGGCACACAGCTGTGCAAACGCAGATTGCCAAGGGAGTTGGCCCTCRCTCACCATGCCAATTAGCCCTTGCAGCAATGGCAGCTTCGTGGATGCTTGTGGTGGCCAGGACACAGGCCCCTACCTCTGCCTGCACCAGGGCATGCTCACATGCACACGTCCACACAAAATAAGGCAATAAATGCGTGCTTTACTCTCTCGAGTATGCTACAAATCACACATATCACTCCTTTTATTCCTTTATTATCACTCCTTTATTTATTGCTGCTGCAATACTAGAGACTAAAACCAATTCCTGGGGATTACTTTTTCCCGTCCAGCAGTGGTTAATTGTTTCCATGGCCTGTGGCAGGCATTGCTCGCTCGCCCTCCTTCCAAAAGCAAACAAACACAATCTTGATTTGCTAAGCAACAGACGGAAGCAGCATGCAAAAACTCAAAATTAATATTACAAGCAGCAAAAGCTAGGTGCAGGTGTAACACTATCCTGTGCACACATCCATGCAGAATCAACTCTGCTGGATGCTTGCAGCACAGAAAAAGGCTGCTCAACCTATCTGCCAAAATATAAAAACCATATACTTCATAATCAACAAGCATATGAATACAGTTGAGAAAAAAAATACAGACTCCAGTCTGATTAGTAATAATATGGCTAGAGCTATGCAAACAATATAACTGTTTTACTCACCCGTGGACCTCTCTTTCCTGACGGACCAGGTAAACCTGGAGGACCTGGAGGACCCTGGTGATACAAAATCAAAGGAGCTGAGGCTAACACGAACACAAGTATAGTGCCATAAGTCTAAATCAGACCAGTTAATGACTTTTTATGCAAACATTCTCAGCTTGAAAACCACTTTCCAAACTACAAGCATGTGTGTTTTTAATCTGGCTGCAAATCAGAGGTTTATGTTTAGAAAGTATTTTAATGAGAAGCTGGAGCCAACAATTGAGATAGTAACTTTTGCTAAACACATTCACATTATGGGAAGACGAACTCAGTTCAGGGACTAGAAAGGAGCAAGTGCAGTTCTCAAAGCGTTCGCAAAACAGAGAATAGAGAACAATTCAGGCTTTCTCATTAGCATGCTGGCAGGCCAAATGAATATTTTACAAAATTCAGAGAAATAACTGTAAAAAAAATAAGATAGCACTTCATTGAAGAGACAAAGTACAAGAAACATAATAAACATGGACAAATAGTTGTTTGGTTTTCTAATTACACACTTCTGATAATAACTGGCAGCACATTCATGTTCATCCTTCGTTTCACTTGTACATAATGAATAACTTTCTAAAGAAATGCATTTTTTAAATGAAAGCACTCATATATATCCTAGTATATATTCAGAAGTAGCTTTTGCAAACCCATTAATTAATCATTGTGAGAATATTAGATAGCATACCACCCTTCAGATATCTAGTTGCTTTGATCACAGAAGCCTTTGCTCTTCTATTAAATGGCTGTTGCTCACTTCCAAAACCACAGGGCCTACCTCACCTCACTCAAAGCAGCGAGATCAGTCTAAAATAAAATCTGCACTAGCTTATATTATATTCCATGCCTCACAGTAGAGTTTGGARGATGTGTGGGCTGAACTTCAGCTATTCTTAAGGGCGAATTCAGCTCCCACCCACGTCAGCACAGCAAGTCCCATCTGCAAACAGATGTAAAATACTCCCTCTGCTAGGGAAGGTGAGCACCAGGAAAGTCAAGGCTCCTGAAGGAAATCAATGAGTTAGCAGGGAAGGACTTGATCTGCTCTTTCATACAGGCTTCCCCACACTCCCTGCACTCCTCTGCAAGTACTGCAGTCTCCCAGCTAAGGCACTAGGAAAAGTACTTTGAATATCACACTTCTTATCAATGAAAGCTAGCAGGAATAACAGGCAAATTACAAGAGCAACTCTAGTCACTATAATGGTGAACAAATGGATTTTGCAGAAAAAGCGGCACTGAGGTCTCCCCTCCTCTGAGAGGGAGACAGAGAGAGAAAATCTCTTAACGCTACTTTAAGTTGTGCTAGGGTGACAGCTACATTTTTAGAAAACTAGAGGTTTAGAGGAGTGATATTACTTTTTCCTAGCAAAGATAATATCACTGGCAAAGATGACAGTGCTAATTAGGGACTTTACACAAYGCCAAGCCAATTACACCTTCACTTGGCCAGCATACAGACAGCTTTGGACAATTCTGGGGATAAAACCGCCTSGGGGAGGAAGGGAGAGATTCTCTCCACCAAATAACTGTAATAAACATAAGAGTTTAATATTTTTACTGGACAAAATTATATTAGATTAAGTCTTCCATAGTGAAGGACACAACAGCATTTCAATACTCTAGATCCAATGAAAGACCCTCTGAGCTCACTTGAGGAAAGTCTGTCAGAGCCATACTGATACTTCCACATAGGCATAGCTCTATTAACTAAATTAAGCAAACAGTGTAGGTTTTTCACTGGAAAAGAAAAGCTGCATTAAAATTGTCCAGCTGACATCTGGAACYCCACTGACTGCAGCAGAATTAGAAAACATCTGTTTCTGAAACTAGGTCCTGCGACTCACGTGGGCTTTCCTGGAAGACAAATGATCATCTATTTTTTTCTGGCTGATAATTATGCAACTCTTAGTGAAACTTGCTTAAACAGGAGATAACTGTACAGGCTGCTCAAAGATCCTTTATACTGTCTCCATGCCTTCTCACCTGTAGTCACTAGGTCATTAAGAGCAGAAGCCCTGACTCCGATATGCTGAGCACTGGTGATTGCCCCAAGCCTGCTTGCCTGAAAAGAGCTCACATGGACCCCAAGGTGATTATGAGGACTTACATAGTCCAGAAGATATTTAATGAGTTATATTACAGCTGTTTCCCTGAAGGTACTGTCATCACTATCACAGGCGTTTCAAAAGAGCTGCAGGGGAGGACTATGGCAGTGCAGAACGAGAGCTCTTTCTGCTGCAATCCTACTCTACATCTGCATTTGACACACTCAGCAGGAAAGAGTTTTGCACTGTAAAGTAATCACTGCTACAGAGCAAGGCCCACAGCACCTTGGATCCTGCTCAGTCCACATTTAATCCTAATCGTAGGGCAACTGCCCGTTCATAGTTGCAAATATTCGTACATATAAAAATACATCGTGCAGAACTACACATCCTTTTTTTCCTCCTCTGTGTAATTTAGAGGATGCAAGTCTGTTACAGTCCCAGGTAACAAGTGTTGGTCTTCAGATCAAACTGTAATACACTACACTTCCAGCTAAGAAAGCGGCCTGTTGACTCCATTTGTGTAAATAATTACTTTTTTTTTCCCCCTCTACAATAGAGGTTTCAATATATATATTCCATATCTAAAAACAAAAATTAGTAGATACAGRCATGGAAAGCTCTTGACCTTACATTCAAATTAGGAGAGTTCCAAAAACAGGCAACTGCTAAGGCATAGAGCTCCCTCCTACTGCTGCTGAAGTAAGGCTTTCCAATCCACCCGCTCAAAGTTTAAGAGATGCACTTTCTTTAGAGAATTCCCAAAGTGCTCCAAACAAAGTGAACTGTTGTAGATCCTGTACAGGCCCTGTAAACCACAGAAGTCAGATTCAGAAAGCGAGTCCATCTGATCTCTTTCAAACCAAGAAAAAAGTTGTTTGCATAGATTTTCCAATTGTTGTAAATATAATTAAGCAATCTGTAAGCAATTAAAAGTATTACTATTTTTTGGCATTTAGAACTTTAACCAACAACAAAAAAYACAACTATGTATAAATATTAGAGGTAAATTTTAAATTTGTTGCTTCAATATGATCAGTTTGCTCAAAACAAACTGTACTTATTTTCTTTAAAAAGGATACTGTCCTTAGTAATTGTGATCATTTCATTTAGTCAGTGAGGGGAGATGCTCAAGTTCCAAGTAATCGCGGCTCGATCCTGGAACACAGACGTAGATGCTGCACTTCAGCCCTTCAAGTGGTCCCCAGTGAACACATTGAACTTTCACAGGTGTTTTCTAGTATATTAAGCTCATTTGTGGAAACACATGTTTTAAACCTGCACCACTAAAGGTGACAGGAAGCATTTAATTTCCCTAGCACAAGCCCCTAGGGTTTCATAGCCTAGACCTGCCGCACCTTGTTCAGTACCCAAATCAGTCAGTGAAGTYCCTCTCTCTAAAGTGAGTGATTGAATCCATCATGACCACTTTTTAAAGGAAGAAATTAAAGCAACAAATTAGTTTAAAATCAATCTATCAAACAGCTAGAGCAGCTAGTTCTTCAGCAAAACAAAACACATTATCCTTCCAACACATAACAGCAGAGTACCTGAAATACAGCAGCAGCAAGTTCCCGAGCACCAAATTTCTTCTATAGAAAGCTACCCCAAAAGAAATTTTACTCCTAGTATCACCAGCTCTGTCACCAATATCGTTACAATGAKCCATCTTTTTCTAACGACCACCAAAATTTACTACTTTATCTTGTCTTTCTAAAACCATGCAGAGCAAATGTCTTTACATGAACTTACTTTGCAAAATTACAATGTTTGTCCCTTATCTCCATTATTTAACAGAATGGATTTGCTCAGTTACATTTTCCAAAACTACCACYGTTACCACAACCCTCTGGACTCCTTCCAGTTCTTTGTAAACAAAAGAACAACAACACCCCATACTTTTCTTTCCAAGTGCCCTAGAGCAAGCAGTCACTTTCACGGAATTTTCCCCTCCCTCTTCTATCCATGTCTCCCTTCTCTACAAGGAAGAAGGTCTACAACAGCCAAATCAATATCGTAAACATCAGAGGAATATATATATATAGCTTTAGGTTATGGATTAAAGCTTTTCAGGTTTTCCGTACAGAGGATGGGCAAACTGCCTCCATTTCAGATGAGCTAAACAAAATGGTCAAGAACCAAGATGAGTTTTTAAGTTGGCAGATTTTAAGATAATAATTTTKCTGCCTGAGCAAGGTGAGGGTTAGTGAATGCTGTTTGCAGAACTGAAGTACATGAAAGCAATTAACTGCCTGATATATCACCTGTGGCTCGAGAGAGCCTCAGCAAGCAACTTTCCTCATCTCTCAAATAAATTACAATGTAAGCACTCTATGACGCTAACATTGCTGATGTTACTCGAGTTTAGCACCATGTCTACGGTCTTTAAACTCCTTCCCTCTGTGTGGGGTTCTCACCCTCTCCTTGCTGTGCCAAGTCCCCCTCTTCTCAATGCCAGGCTTGCATTTCTAACTCCTTCCAGCCACGTCAACTTGAGAGAACTCGTTCTAACCAATCAGACACCCTAATGGACTCCATGTCTCTGTTTTCTACTGCTTCTCCTCCTAGCTGAGCATCCTTGTGATCCACAACACTTTTCCAACAGAAAAAGCTCATTTTTCTGGGAAAGCTAAGTCCTGCACAGACAGGCTTGAAGGAAGAACAGCACAGTCCTTATTAGCCCTCCACCTCTCAACGTGGGGCTACATATAATGTTACAGCAACTGAAATTTTAGGGCTGTGCAATGAAGAATATGATCCTGAAAATAAACAGTAAAATACACAATTATTTTTTTCTTCTCTGTTTATACAGCACCATCATGACCTGCAACACAAAAATGAGTCTCTAGGACTCATTTAGGAGGCTAGACCACATCTAGGACCACAGTTCAGGTTAAGAAGACCCTACTGTGCCATTTTGAACTTACATTTGGAAGGGGATTTCRGTCCTCACGTTTACTATTCATAGTAATTTTGAAGAAACAGGTGTGTTTTCCATAAAGGAGCCTCAGAGAGTAGCAATGGGTGAATCCCACAGCTRCAGGATCATGCAACACATGGGGCCTAATTACACATGGCTACAATCAGTGCCAGTAGATGATTAAAAGCTAAAATGAAGCCGAGGAGTCTGAAAACCACAAAAGCTAGTTATTGCCTGTCACTTCCAGGAGAAAAAAATGTAGGTATATATATACATATTTTTTTCCCTGTGTTGAATCTTGAAAGAAGGTTCAAACCAACCACAACATAATGAAAGGAAGAGGAGAAAGATAGATGGACAGAAACAGCTCTCATGCCTCATCAGGGTTTTTGTTGCAAGGAAACTTGGTGGGTTGCTCACTACCACTTTTTTTAGGCTCTGCACTGAGGAGACTTTGTGGGTGTTCACAGATTGAAATGATAAGGCAACACAGATATGACCTGCATTATCACTCCAGGAGGGCGTGAGGCTAGGAAAGCAAATCAGGAGCTCTCTCCTCATGCCCGAGGCCAGCAACAGCAGCACATGCTGTGTTACACAGCACCACCGTGCAAAGTTGTTAACAAAAATCTAGTGTGGAAATAGAGGCCTTTTCCCTCTTTGGCATCCAGTTTCTCTCTGAGGATAGAAACCATTAGCTTTGCTGGGGTCAGCGGGTGCTACAAGCCCCTCCAGCTGCCCTAGAGCCCAGGAAGGTCTAGACAGGCTCCTGACTGCCACCAGCCTCCTCTATGACCTTGCACAAGCTACTAAAACCTAATTCAGCAAAACAGCACAAATGCAACACATCCCCTGCCCGGGACCCACATCCCCTGCCCGGGGTGGCCGYACACACCTCCCTAGAGGAGACGACCCTCCGCATCGCCAGCCTGCCAGGCAGCGCCCTCCCCTTCCTTGCCCCTCTTTCCTGTAATTTCCTGTGTGCTTTGAACTCTCCAAATCACCTTTGTCATTGTACATATAGTGCCCACATCTAGCAAAAACCAAATTTTTTGCTTAGTGTTTCTTTGGAACACGAACAAGAATACAGTAACAGCAACGTTTCTGTGCCCTGGGAGAGGGAATGGATTCAGGTTTCTTGGCAGTAACTCACTGAAATCAAGATGTACAATTTTTAAACTAGCTGGCAGAAATCAAAGCTTTCCATTATTCAATGCCCTAAGCCTTAAAATAATTAAGATTAACAACACAAGTGATGGCAGTTAAGTATGAAGTGATATGCTCATATACATATTGTCAGAGGGGGCAAAAAAAAAAACAGAAAAAAAAAGGAAAAATTGGTATTGCATTCAGAAAAGATTAAGCAAAAGTACTCCTGGATTAATTTGAATTATCTTTAACACATTTTCAATCCCTTAGCATCTGGATCTTGTTTAAAGTAGAAATGGAACTTTTAAATAGGCTTTCTTTTAGCTGCTGATGACCAACCTTTAGAAAAAAATATTTCAGTGCTGACAGAATAAGAAATTTATGCACATATTCAAACATGTACTAGGAACTACTTAACACATATCAAATTACTTTCCAGTAATAACCATACACACAAAATAAAAAATGAAAAAAAAAAAGAAGTGGAATTATCTACTCCATGCTATGGTTTACAAATTTAACCAAACACTCAAGCATTTACTATCATATTTCTCAGGCTAAGAGGGAACTCTTGTTCTCTCTTGCCTGTAATTTCATATAGACTTCATTTCTACATATTAGAAAGTTTCTGATCATTGTACACAAAGGGAAATGAGCTTCTCTAAAAGCACTACTAAGCATTTGCAATTTTTCCAGAGATCTCTTACCCTGATAACTGAAAAATGTTGCTGACTAGTGTAACAATGGTCTCCATCCATCATTCTACATGCAGGTTTTCATAACCCTGCAAATTCGAGTTAGGAATAGCTTTCCTGTTCTAGAGCCACTTGTGCTCTCTTCTGCAATTATGAATTTTAAGAGCATTGCTCAATTGAGAGAAGTACGTCATCCTGCCAACAGTCCATTCATTCTTTGCATGGATCAGTCTCTACTTTCAGTACTGTATAAATTTATCCTGTAATTTTATTAAGTGAGCAGTCTCCATAATTAGCAGTTACAAGCCTCTGGCTGCTTTTCAAATTTTAAGGAAAAAAGTCTGGATTGCCTACCACTTCACCAGAATTGAATGCCTTTGAACCATGCCAGCAAATAACAAAAATACATAACACATGCCAAAATCGCATGCTGGAAAGAGAGAGACTTAGGGCAGACAAAGAYGTGTAGGGTACAATCAGGAGGAGCTGCAGTCACAGCTCCAGCATGCTCTGCAAGGTTTATTTCAAAGCCTCTACTAAATGCATGTTGCTGCTTTGTAACAGAAAGGGTAGAAAAGATAACTTACAGGAGGTCCAGTTTCCCCCTTTGGACCTCTGATATTTCCCATTTCAAACATTTTGCCAAGATCTTCATAGTCATAAGCATAATTAGCAATATCAATTTCATAACTGATTTCAGTGGGATAAGTCTCCTCAGCACCAAAGGCACCTTCTTCCTCCCAGGGACCGAGCTGATGACCCCACAACGGGTCAGCAGTAGCGCTGGAGAGGGTTGTATTTACGACTTGCTGCTTTTCAGTCAGTTTACCTAAATGCTGCTTTGCTTGACCCTTTCCCATTCCTTTGTTGGGTTTTACAAGGGAGGTCAGAGGAGGCTCACTTTTTCGGCCTGTGTTTTCCACGGTATTAACTGAAGTATTTGGATACAACACTGTCTTTTTTGGGTGGATGTTTTGGTCTTTGCTAAGCTCCTGGTGCAGCAGAGGTGGACTGATGCTCTCCTGCAGCTCCAATTCAGGCCAAGTTTCCAGTAGCAAAGGTTTGGCTGCCCCAAACCGTGTTGCAGACACATTTCTTGACTCCAAGTACTCCGACAGAGAGTGAATCCGAGCAACATCCGTAACAGGAGCATTTGATGTTTCTTTCCTTTTACCTTCAGACATTTTTTTCTCATCATTCTTCTTCCTCAAAAGCATATCCAGCCCATTGGATGCATGTTGAGCTCCTGGCAGAGATCGATAGGTTTCTGCCTGGCGACACTGCTGCCTCACATATTTACAATAGTTTGCAGAGGCTGCTGCAGAGGGAATGATATCAAGCTGACATATAACTCCTTGGAAGCTGATGGAGCGAGAATTCATCCTTCCCAGGGTAAACAAACCATCCAGGTCAAACGCCTGCACTTCCGAGAGCGCCTCCTTACTGTAGTATTTCCTTCCACACTCGGCAAACATGGAGACAGCCTTGTCCCTGACGCCGATGGCAAACGAATGCCACCGCTCATTATGAACGCTGTAGTCAAAATACACAGGCTGCTTCCCTCCCGTGTGCACCGCTACTTTCCTTGGCAGCAACTGGACACCAAACTGCAGTCTATTTTTGCTCCTAATACTGAAAAGAAAAGCATTATTTATGCTGTAGGAGTACAACCCAAGCACCAGGGTGAAGTGCCGCCCCAGAGGCACGGGTACCACTTGGGCGAGGGGCGCCTCGATGTGGGCCTCCCCAGTCAGCACCACTCCCGGCGCGGCCAGGCGCACACCCTGCGGCAGCGGACACGGTGTCGAGGGCGCTGCCCGCTCCGCCGGCGGTCGAGCATCTTTCGTGAGGCCCAGCTGGTGAAGGATGTCTATCGCTGTGGAAAGAAATAAAGGCATGTTGTTTCCACTTGTAAAATTCATTGCAACCGGATTAGAAGTTAATTGCCATGTTCAGAGCCATAGGAACATACACACACACAGCTCCTGAAGAAACGCGCGCTCCCTAGAASGTGTGCACTGCCCACGGCAAAGCCACCCGGCCCCTGCTGCAGGTGCACCAGGCTTCCCGTAAACCAAACGCAAGAGTAATTGCAGTCAGCTTTCCTGAGGGGGAAAATAATTTCCATATTAAAACAAACAAAAATGCCCTTTTTCCCTAGCAGGACCCTGCCTCAGTGCCACTTCATGGGGCAGCAGGGCCCTGGAGCAGGACTCTTGTGGCTGGGGGGCTGCAGAGGCGAGAATGGCCGCCCTCCCATCAGGACCCTGCTCTGCAAGGGGGTTGTTTTTGCAGCAGGATCACCCCTGATTGCACATACACGTGCCAGGAGCCAGTCAGACCAGAGGAAAACAAATCCATGCAAGAGGAGGAAGAGGGAGACTCTTTCAGAGCCAACCCCTYCTCTTCCTCCTGCTGCTCCACAGGGGCCGCGGATGGGGTCAATGTCACCACGGGGTGAAGGAGGAGAGGCCACCCCCTTGAGCGGGCTGTGAAAGGCAGACTGGACATCRTACAGCTTTTGTACATGGCACAGAAGCATAGCATGAGAGCTTCSCCTCTCCCCTCCAACTGGAGGGGGTCTGAGCTTCAGTGAACTACATATATTGAAAGCGGCCTGTAGTATATTTAACACTTGCACTGATGTACTAACCCTGACTGGAAGAAGACTAGCACTTTCCATAGCATTTAGCTAAGGGCACTCTTTCCTATGCAGTTGGAGAGTATATTAAGTAAAGCTAATAAACGATATAACAAGAGCTGGGAGTGACTGATAGAAGTTAGYAGATTCCCTGCCAAATAAATGAAGAAAGTATCTGAAACAAATGGATGTTCACTATTTTAGTGGAAAAAAGGTTTCCTTTCCCAGTCCTCCCTTTCTCTGTTTATTGAATGTATTCATAGCAAGCTGGAAGAATAGCCAGATGTTGGCTTAGCTTCTACAGTAAATTATGGAAAGAGCCCGAGATTTCCTTGAGAGTGGTTTGAAAATTGGAACCAAAAGCATCAACCTGAATGCACTGCACATCTTGAAAATTAATTACACACCTTGTAGTGTTTCTAGTCATGTTAAAGATTTGCAGACATGCCAGGATTGCCCTGGCAGGTAGCCAGCACACAGAGAGGCATGGAGAAAGCCTTTTTTTTTTTTTTTTTCCTCCACACAAACTCATCCCTGAGCCAATTTCTCAAGATGTCCTGCCTTGGAGCAATTAATTTACAAAGGCTGCATTTTAATCTGTCAAATTGATAACAGAGGTTAGGTTATAGCACAGCCTCGAAGCCTAATGCATCCGGTAATGAAGGCKCGCGCTTTCCGAGGACCTGCGTCCCGCCCGCTCCATACGTGGTTACGGTGGKGAGAGCTGTGCGTGCGTTACCCTTCCCAGGCTACCAAGAAGCAAATCCCTGCGCTTGGGGGGACGCGAGAGGCTGCTCCAGCACCGCTCTGTGCACCAGCTGACAGAGCCAGGCAGCTGAGCAGAGGAAAATAAAGTAAAACACTACTATGGAAGCTGCTCATCGAATGTAAGCCTGTAACAAAATGGAGCATTTTGGAGCATGGAAGTCTAGACAGGCTTCCAGGTATTTGTATTTAAAAGCAGCAGCGCACACRTGATCTTTCCAACATCCAAAACAGAAAGCATCTCAGACTGGCTTAAAAGAGTTCATTTTGAAATGATGTTCTGGAGCATTGTTCCTAAACTTCAGGCTTTAAGTAAAATTGCCAAAGTTTAGGCCGTTATGGTTTGAAAAGGGAACATCGTCTAGAAGCTATGGGGAAAAAAAGGAAAAGCATTCAAAAACACTATGAGAAACCAAATAGATTCTCCGCAGCCTGTGGTGGATTGCTATGAATAGTAACAGGTCTCAAGAAGGCTGAACATAATGAAATGTTGYATGGAAAACAGCAGCAAAAGACTAAGCACCAACTAATTACTCCTTGCTGACTTGTTGCCCATTAACCCACCTTCAAGCCAAAAGTCCGTTCCAAACTTTTTTGGCCGGTCATTTCATTTCTGGTCCAATATACATATAGATACACTTTYTTAAGCTTTCAGAAGCTCTTGGCAGTACACAGGGCTTTGGGAGCTTGCAACCCTCTTAACTCTCCCCCCAGCATGAGAACCACAATTTGCTTTATCTATCAGGAGCTATTGTGCAGATATTGATAAATAAAGAAAACCATCTGTCTCCACTTACTGTTCACTCAAACTGTTAGTCGCCCAAACTGCAAAAYTGAAACAGTATTTGAAGGGGGTGGGGTGTCAAGTGCTTTCTCTTTCTGCCTTCCACAATATCTCTAAAAAACTCAGCAAGTTCTTCCACTACAAGGGGAGGGAATAGCCAAGATGGGCTGTGGTAAAACCTTCAATCCATTTGCCGGTCCCCAAGACAATGCCCAAAAGGAAGATGGGGAAGAAACGTGTTCTTCAGTAAGTGTATCAGTACTCACTGGCCTTCAGCTTGCTTATACTCCACGTGGTGGATGTTATCTTACACCTCAGGTACTAAGTCTCTTCAGTGGGCCGCTGACAAAACAGTGTCTGCAGCATCAGCACCCTTCAACATCAGTCTTTTTCACTCACAAGGGCTGAAAGAAAACCAGTATAGATCACTGGTGCTTACACCTACCGCAGGCACCTTTAGCTGGAAGCAGCTTGTGCAGAAACACGTGCTCAGCCCCGCAAGGCAGGCAAGCAATGCTCCACCCGGGCAGCAGCACCGTCTCCCTGGGGCAGGGACACGCTGCCCTGCACTGCCGCAGTATCCAGCAACAGCCCTTTGCTCCTTCTGCAGCGCTTCTCTGTTAAATTCCTTTTCACATCTCCCTGCACTCACAGCTTCTCTGAAAGCTTGATATTCAGTGGCCTCTCTCCATTTTGGCTATTCTGCTATAAATATTTCTCACTTTCCCTGGACTGGTAGGAGCAAGAGAATGGCCAGGGTCATTCATCAGTCAGCCCTACTGTCAGTGGAGGACACAGGCAGCGGGATGCCCATGGGCAAAGCTGGGCAGCACCTGGGGAAACGGGGCTGCAACTGATGCTCCCCTGGACACCAGGAAAGCAGTTAGCGTGAGAAGGCCCATGCCTAGCAAAACATTTTTTTTTCTCTAGCAAAAAAAAAAAAAAAAAATAAGGCATAGCTCCTCAGCTAAAACATGCACAAGTTGTCTCGTTAGCTCAGGAGGGAAGGAATATTAATTATGATAGCTAGCATCTGTGTATTTGGCAGAATGTGCTCTATTTTTTTTCTCCTTCTTCAAAATTTAAGTGCCAAGAAAGCTTTAAAAACAGGGCAGCACCTGGGGAAACGGGGCTGCAACTGACTCCCAAAAGAACACAAGAAAAAAAAAAAGAGTGAGAAGGCCCATGCCTAGCAAAACATTTTTTTTTCTCTAGCAAAAAAAAAAAAAAAAAAATAAGGCATAGCTCCTCAGCTAAAACATGCACAAGTTGTCTCGTTAGCTCAGGAGGGAAGGAATATTAATTATGATAGCTAGCATCTGTGTATTTGGCAGAATGTGCTCTATTTTTTTTCTCCTTCTTCAAAATTTAAGTGCCAAGAAAGCTTTAAAAACACCCTAAGCATCAACACATTCCTAGCGGGCAGTATCCTGTTCCTGGACAGACTCCAAGCAATGTGAAGGGAGTACTGCTACCGCTGGCTCTGTTAGGTGCAGAGGCTGGAGGAAGACTTGAGTTGTTTTGACTCTGTACTTATTTTTAAGAGCTTCCTTTTCTGAATGACTTCTTARTTTTTGAGAAAACTGGTTCCTTCCCTTGTACTTCTTTCCCCAATGATTTTGAAATCTACTGGTCATTTGCAAGATTTTCTAACTAGAGATTTTTGACCGAGTTTTGGCAGGTGCACTTGTTYAATCACTTTTTCATGAGCCACTATTTTTGGATCCTCTAAAGCAGGAGGCTTTACAGGCGAACCACATTGTCTTTACATTGKTTTCCAAAGCAAATAAGTCATATTGTCTGCATGGAGCACAGTCCCACCATTTTTAGGATCCCTAGCTACTTTCCACCAAAACTGATATAAGAGCACAGTGTCAGACACCGACACAGACAACCAAACTGAGAGATATAAAATGCTTAGATATGAAGCTGTCTTGGAGTGATGTTCTCAGAATTACTTTTTGCAGCCTTGTTTACACACTCAGCAAATAAAACTGCATGTGRGCAGACAGAAAGTTGTTTTGAGACTCGGTATATCATTTTGATCCCAATCAAGCACTTGAAAAGAATCTAAACAGTGCATGGGATGTGTGCATGGGCGTGCGTTTCCGCTCAGTAAGGCTTCTGATGTGGCTATTTGGGACTGCTGTTGAGTAAGAGCAGTAATAGAAGCAGGAAACCTCCTTCACCAGCTGACAACAGGAGGAAAAAAGAAAAAAAAAAAGTCAAATTAAACATGTTGTGTCTGTTACTTAAGCAAAGACTAGACTGGGCATCAGAGCTGGGAGGAGGCGATGCATTCCCAAACACACTGCAGCAGAAAGATGCTGTTTCCTTTGCCCTGTGTTTTTGGAGGCTTTACCCTATTTCTACAACACATACATGTGCTCTTCCGCTGGACACATATGCTGTAACAAGTGCTGAGCATCTCAGCTGAGGGGTCAATAAGCTCCAAGCTGCACTCGCTCCTGCAGGGACAGTGTCCTGCTCTGCACATCCCGCCTGCCCTCGTGAGCACAGTGCACAGAGTTGCCTGGCTCTGCAAAGGCTCCACGTTTCTCTCACCAGAATAGACTTCTCCAAAGTTTGACATTGATTTTAGGAATGACCATCTATCAACCCTACTGCAGTAGTGACCAAAAATCAATTGAGAGTCTTGCCAGGCAAACAGTAAACAACAAATGGAAATAAAATTTACAGGGGTAAAGGGAAAAAACACACCATCTCCCCATTCAAAATAAAGAGAAAACTACACCTCTTATTCAAGCAAGGAGTAAGATGGAAAAAGCACTGATGGGACTAATGATCACAGGATGCTGAGGAATGTCAATAGGGCTCTAGCAAAATGGAATCAGAAACGAGTCCTGTCTTAASCTTGCAATCCATCCGTTTGGACTCGCTTGAGAATTTGCACCTAGCACATTTATCAGCCAGGGACAAGCAGTTTCTTGCTTCACCTGTATGGCGAGGGGAAACGGAAGAAAAATTGACGCTGCCACTGTCCTGGGAGATTAAATGACACATCAACCTCCATGGGCTCGTGATGATAACATTCCACAACCATCCCTAACGTAAACAGCGCATGCAGCAGAGTAGTTACAGGTGGCAGACAATAAACAAGACATGACCCTATTTCCTCACCAACATCCACACGTGAATACGGAYCCAAATGAACGTACAATTTCCACTTTATGATGGCATCCATTAATGATGCCAGCCTAGACCAAGCCTTTATTCTACACAGTGGCTTGCCCCCCAAACCCCGAGAAGTGCARAGGTAACTTCGTCATAGCTTGCCACCCCCAACAACACCCACTTGCAGTGAAGACACAATCCAAGCCTTCTCACTGTACAAGACTTCTCTTTTATGAGGAGATTGTGTAAATATGTAAGTAATTTCATGGGCAGAAAGTCTGACTAATTTCAAAAGGTCATCTTTTCCAAACTGGTTAATTTAAACTTATGCTCCCATCACACTCTATCTGAATTTTAGTTAGTTACAATTAAGGAACTGAATGTAAGTTTGAGTAACAACAGCCATATGCTCATTTTACCTAGAAACAGATTATCCAAATGCTTTAGTTTAAGAAAGATTCTCACCTTGTTCAGGTAGTTGTGCAACACCCACAGCTATACATATTGCAGTAAAAAGGAGGAAGGTTTTCCTAAAAGGAGGAAAAAAGAAAAGGACATGTAAGAAAATATCTGAAATTTCGCAGCTGCAAGATTAAGCGTGCCCAGTTCAAAGGCCAAAATCACATCACTGATTTTAGCAAGCTGTGGACCCAAGCCATTAGGCCCTCGCATTGTAAAACTTTCCACTGATGCTGGGAAGGCATTTTATACAGAGACTAAGGATTACTTATATCCATATCCAATGGATATTCATATCCAATACATGCATTTACTGCATCCATTTGCAAATATTTTAGTGCAGCAATCTCCAAATAGAAATACTGCTATATATTAAAATTTTAAGCACTATTTCTTCTGTAAATAAAGAAACCAGAAAACAGATGACAAGTTATCATCCACAGAGACATTAGATACTTTTTTCCTGCAATGTAGCTATCATCAGCCTTATCACCATACTCTATCATTTCACCATAAATGAAAATATTATGACACACCTTTTTGGAAGGTGATATTAAAAGTATTAAAAATAACAACAATTTGACTTAAAAGCTCACGGTCAGATAGAAAGACCCAGTTTTGAAGTGTACTGCCAGGTCAGTGATTGAAACTAATATAAAGCAAATATGATTCCATATAGACCATGTGCTTGGAATCTGCTTTTAATGCAGGCATCCATAATGCTGGATCATTGGCTTCAGCAGAGGGAAAGAATTTGCTTTTACTGTGGTTAAAAACAGAATGCCTGCTATTTTTTAACTCTATTTTCATATTAACCAGATTAGCAGCTAATCACATACTCTTCTCGTGGACTTAATCCTTTAATAATGTAGAAATGCATTTTCTGTTGAGGTTGCACCATTGATCACCCAGACACAGAAACTGGTTTAAGGAGCAATGACAGCAACCTTCTTCTTAACCTTCAGTGTTAAGAAGAAACACTTCTGCAAGGTGATATTAATTACTCAACCATTCCAAGTTGCTACRAATCCCAGCTCCACAAGACATTTATTTCCAAGCACCAGGTTCAATGACACACACAACCTCATTGATTTTTCATAATATTAAACCCTAGACACACAGAAAGTGTTTGTCAGGCCATGCCAGGCAGCTCTTGAGTATCCAGGGTGGATAACAAACAACAACAACACCCCCACACACACATTTGGAAGCAATAAAGATGCAACTAGACACTTGTAGAACTGTTCAATTCAACCCTATTACACTATTAATTATGCTTGCATGCCGAAAACAAGGGCAGGAAGAAAAAAAAAAGCCACAATTTTGCATAAGGATGTACAGTCCAAACAGCAGTGGCAGGCAAGCTCTTTCCATTAAGCATTCATTCCAGGATCATTTTCATCTCTAAAGTCAAAGTATTAAGAAAAAAAAAACAAAAACCTTGTATTACTAGTGCTGCAGTGACAAGAAATTCTCCATAATTAAAGTAGTAATATTTAATGAAGATCTTATTGGTCTTTTCAAGAGCTCATACACCAGCTGTAGCTGCTCCCACCTGCCCCGGTGCAGCCCCTGCCGGGCTCTGCCCTCCGCTCCCGCCCCGGGCCACACACCTGGGATAGGTGCTGGGAGCAGACGGGGGCTTTGCAGACACGGACTGGAGATAATGGTGATAACAAGGTCCACGCACTGCATCCTGTGAGCCAAAACTTCAGAACCACTCTTTTTCAGTTGACTCTCATGGACACAAAATGCATTCTCAACTAAAATTAGTGTAAAACATCTTAACTGAACTGTAAAGCCAGGCTGGTGCAAGGAGCCTAGAGCACAAAATACGAAGGCAACTCAGCTCAACACCGCGACATCCCTGCACCCGGGCAGGCAGGGACAGGGCACGTGCCAGCCACCGCACAGCACTGCAGGGACAGAGGACACGGCCAGGGCCCTGGATTGCACCGATGTAACTGGATATATAGAAACATTAACCAGGAGGTAAAGACAAACGTCCGCCCTGCACGGCGCTCTCCAGCTAATGTCAAGAACAGATGATGATCAACTAAGGGAAAAAACAGACCAGAGACAAGCTTAGGGCAGCAGGTCCCCTACCGCGTGGGAAAAGTCATTTTTCCTCCTACCTCTTCCCTCAACAACAGGTCAAGTTTTTGCAAGCAAAGCTATGTACAACTCGAAATTTGTGCAAGGGAGCTCTCCATGGCAAGAGTTGAAAGACAAAACAAAAAAACAAAAACACACACAAAAAAAAAAAAGAGTTAAGTGAAGGAAGTGTACTCGTGCAAATGCACCTTCGTGCTGAAGACAGCTACACCTAAGTCAAAAGCCACCTAGGAGCCAGCTCGTGCTCTGCACTCCCACGCAGGCTCAAGCTCAGCCACCAGCAGTATCCCCTGGCCACGTCCTTTCCGCCCTGGTGTCCTCTCCCAGTTTCACGTGCACACACAAGCTGAGGGCAGCTACATAAAACCACATCAGGGAATGAACTATCAAGTGCACTTGAAGCTCCCTATCACTAAAAATAGCGCTTATCTTTCTGATAATCTTTAGCAYGCTGTGCTACAAGCCTCCTCCTATTGACTTAAATGTTTTCTCGGTTGCAAGAAATTGCCTGGTTTAAAACATTCTTAGGAAATGTTCTTATCCTTCTGTGAAGGCTTCTGCTTCTCAACACAGGCAAGCAACCAGATCACTCTCTCTTGTCAAATGTCCAGCACAAATCTACTTTTTTTTTTTTTTGACTAATTCCTCTGTGACGCTTCATGTAAAACACATAAGCAAAACCAGCTCTATTTGGAGCTATACAGATATATGACAAGTTTTGAAGCTATCTGGACAATAAATGCAGGTAAGCTGCATCTTTGCTACTGCACTACTCCACAACCCCTGGATTTGCTCCTCTATCAGCAACACCACTTGACAAAAAAATGAATAAATCCTTTAGCTCACACTTGATTAACCCCCTGGAGAAGCCTCCCAGACACGGGGATTAAGAACACGGATCTCCTGGGAAGGCTGCCCCCAGGTGCACATGTAGCAGCTGGGCACACTCAAGCACCCAGATTACAGAGCAGGTTCAGCTGGGCAGCACAAGCCTCTGTGTGGCCCATGCAGAGCTCCCAGCAAATGTAACCCAGCCACAGCCAGCCTAACAGGAATGCTTTAGAGGACAAGCATAACCTCTTTAATATGTCCTTACAACTAGGGGGAGAAAAGAAAAAAAAAAAAAAAAAAAAAAAAGGAAGAAAAAAAAGAAAGAGAGCACAAGCTTTGCTGCCTAGTATACTTTTACAGCCTACAGAGGAGCTCTGAGCTCTGCATTTGCGCCGCACCTCACCCTACGTTACGGACCCCGTGTCAGCGGCGGCAGCAGGTGACCCCGGGGCGCCTCCTCCGCCGCGCGGGTCCCCACGCGCAAGCACAGCCCCGCGCGCGGGTCCTGCCGCCCGCCAGCCCGGCGAGCCCCGCGGGGCTCCGCGCCCC